CCAATTTGTTAATACAGAGAACACTGTTGTCTGTATGCAATGAAAGAATAACAACGCAAGCATAAGACTCAAGTTACAAATTAAGTGAAACCAGACGTTCACATATTTCTTCATATATATTGAAGCCCCAACACTATTTCTTCTGTCAAATTCCTATAGGAAATTATCCTTATTATGAGAGCTAACTTCACGGGATATGCATCATCGGGATGCGGAATTTTTCGGGATAGGCGTCCCGATAAATCCCGCGAGATATCCGCGTGTCTTGCGTACCGCGGAGCGAAAAAAACAAAACTTGATGCGAGATCTCAAAGTCTACCGCGGGTCCTATCACCGATGGCGGCGTGCCAAATGTTTTACGTCCTGTCGGGCGATCTGGGCAGGGCCAATGGAGCACCCTGACGTCAGTCAACATTGCCATAATTGTGTATATTGTGTACAACGCGTTCCTCACCCGGTCATAGCTGAACTGCTAAATTTTTAAAAAGCTCTTGTGCAGCGAAAACTCACAAAACTGTAAGAAAATAGCAGGAATGAATTTGTAATAACCTCTTCGTCTCCAGTGAATTTTTCGGCAAGTTTTATATATAAACAATCAATCTGTCAAGTTTATAAACCATCTAATAAAACGGGGCGTACCGGCTGGAGTTGTGTTTCATTGTGACATATTGTACTAAATTGGCTTGTTGAAGTCTTCTCGTGTTCTCGTGAGCGTCAAGTAGTCTCTGTATTACGAAAATTAGGAAAGTTTTGCCCATCAAAATCGGGGCATGCGTCTCAGTCCCCTCCCCAAACACGTATGAATAAACCCTTGCATCAACAATCAACAACGATCCGGCCACGTTCATTCACGTACGTATTACCCTGAAAGCAAGTTCTTCAATGCGGCTGGCAAAAATTCTTCCGGTGGAAAAGCATTCTAGTTCTCGATGTCACTTGTGAAAAACGTTTTGGAATGAAATCGGGATGAGAAAAATAGAATGCCGCGTGCAGGGCTGAGGCGGAAAATCGCTACAATACGTCAGGCGGCAGAAGTCTCTGGGGCGGAGAATCGAGCCTTTGAGTTTGAAATCTTACCTCCCAGCCAGTGGGCGGGTCCCCGTCTGTGTGCTGTGATTGGCGCCGCGCGGTCTGCTAGCTATGCTGCGTGTCGTTTCTATGGCAACATGTGCCAGTCCCAGCAACACGAAATGTATCAATTCTTGATCGTCGTAAACAAGCCAAGGGCGTAAAGAACCTTGGAATTATGCTTCGCCCCCTCTTTTGTATAATGTTTAATCTCTCTTCCGCAACTCCGTGCGTCGACCTCCCATATCTAGGAGAAGAACTTCTCGAGTGGCTGTGTTAGATCGATTTTATATCTGAGATAGCGCGGGTCGGGTGACATCAAAAGCAGTACTTAGCGGGCCGTCCACATCGCAAGGTCAGACAAAAATTCTCGTACCAAGACGGTTGTATTATTTTGTTATCGTTCTAAACATTATTAAGCCACTAAAATTTTCGATATCAAAAAAAACATTTGATTAAAAACACTATTCGTTTGTGCTACTGTTATCATCATGCATAATTTGGAAACAAACATGCGCTGCACCGTCTGTCTGTAAAAATCTTAGTCAACATGGTTCCCGAAAAATCCCGCGGGATATCGCCATGAATCCCGATTTGATGCTTATCCCGTGTACTGTACTGTGTTATCCCGAAAAAAGATTGAAACTGTCTGACAAAACGACAAAATGTAATGTTATACTAGTATCCATGTTAATTGTTATATCATGAGTAATAAACGTAAACAAACGCCCCCCTCCCCCTGCCCCGCACCTACATAATTACAAAGTCGACAATAGTTACGGATGAACACAATTCTGTTTAATTTATTTTCAAAACAGCAACAAGCCTAAATCGCTAAACATACGAGATTCTATCAAGTCAGGAGCTAGTAAATTACTAGAGCTTTATTTTTAGATTTGAGCCGGCTAGTTAATTGCTAGTGTTTTTTTTTTTGAGCCGGTCGATGACATGCAAAAAGTTAACAAAGTCTCCCGCGTTCTGTGGAAATCTGCAGTCCTAATTGTGGATATTGAACCCAAAATCCCAATGCAATATTCTCTACTCGAGACTGGTATTCATATGACCGTATTTTACGAAGAAAAATGAAAACTTACCGCTACATTGGTCCACTGATGTCTTCTCGTGTCATACAAGGGCGGATGCCCATATTTGGAAAGCTCGGGTGTTCCGTGCGTAGCGCTAGGGTCAATGACCCGCGGTTATCGAACACGCTGTTCCATTGTTCCATGGTTGTTCGAATGTTCCAAACGCGTTCTTTTTGTTCGATTTTTGGCTTAAAACGCAACTTTTTTTTACCAATTTTTTGCCAATAAAATCATTTTCTGACATCTATGTTGGCCAAAATGACCAAGGTTCAATGTCTAACGTATCAACCTACTAGCATGCTGAATTTCATTTTCCTCCAGGCTCTAATTACGAAAATATCTACGATTTTTAGGTGTTTGGAGAAGAAGAGGAGGAAATGAGCAAATATAATATGTTTTCCTTCGGTAAACATAAAAACAAAATTGTTGACTTTTGAACATTGGCCTTTGTGATTGTATGCTGAACCTTTTCACCCATTTTTTTCCACCCAGGAGCTGTACAGCCAGTCCTATGAGTTTGTCTGTGTGATGTTTGCATCCATCCCAAACTTCAAAGAGTTTTATGTGGAGACAGATGTCAATAAGGAGGGCTTGGAGTGTCTTAGATTACTGAATGAGATAATAGCAGACTTTGACGAGGTAAGAATGATTTAAGACATCAAACAGAATCTTGAAGATGTCAAGGTAACAAAATTTGCCCCTCAAATTGCAGAAAATAGCTTTTTTATCAGGTTAAGATGGCAAAATTCTGCCAGGGGAGATGCCCCTGGATTGTTGCTTAATCAACAAGATGTGACATCAAACAAAATTAGGATGACAGAAAAAATTCAAGCTGCCTAGAACTTTAATCTGGTATTAAAGTGACTGAAAAATGGACAATTCACTAAATGTGTAGTAGCAGATGACAACAAACAACAGTGATACAAGCCTGTTGTTTTCCCTCCTGTAGCTCCTGTCCAAGCCAAAGTTCAGCCATGTCGAGAAGATTAAGACCATCGGCAGCACCTACATGGCAGCAACAGGGTTAACCTCTACTACAGGCCAGGTCAGGGGTCATGAACCTTGACATTTTTCTTACTCATATAGTCTCAGCAACTTTATGAGTATATCATAATGCATGATATCAGTTATCGCTTACAGTGACAAAATAAGGAGGACAATCATTTGGTCCTGGATCAACAAAGGTTCAAAACTATCCTACGTCTCTCTGACAAATTCTATTTGAACTGCACCATAGCTCAACTGTGTAGTTTTACATCCAGTATAGTTGAATGTTTGATCATTGTTCCCACAGCAAGGTGTCTCCTATCCAGAGAAGTTACACCTGATGGGGAACATGGTGGACTTTGCACTGGCTTTGGTACAGAAACTACATCTCATCAACAAGCACTCTTTCAATGACTTCAAGCTCAGAATAGGTAATGTCAGATGCATCATTTGTTTAACACAAGCCAACATTTCCATGAGCATCTGTCACCTTCAGTATTATAACACCTAATTCTAGTGCACAGTCACATAAGCCCTGATGAAGATGGCAACTGGTCATCAAAACATTGACTCTTTTTAAACAATTTATGGTTGTGAATAAAAGAACTTTACTATTTTTCAGATTTATGTTGCAATACATGGTAGATGCAATGGTCTGTAGATTGGCTTTGATTATGGCAGCAGGAATATGGTTGAACTTTACAGTTTAACATTGTCTGAAATGATGCATAGTAGTATATTATTGCCATATTTTCCTTAGATGTGTTACTTAATTTTTGGTTCATGCTCCTTTGCCCTTTCTGTCATGGAAAAAGCAGAATGTTTTGCCTCATCATTAGAGGGATGCTTTACCTTCACTGTAAGCTTGCAGCATGTATGAAATTACTCAAAACTCTCCTCTGCTTTGCTTGACGTGTTAGGTATTAACCATGGCCCAGTGATAGCCGGGGTGATTGGAGCCAGGAAACCTCAGTATGACATCTGGGGAAACAGTGTCAATGTGGCCAGCAGGATGGAGTCCACGGGGGTCATGGGGTGTATACAGGTCAGCAACTTTGTGCATCTTTCAGGACATTTGAAAGTCACTGGATTTGCTAACCAAAATGGATTTGGGCAGGGCTTTAGCCAGCTCAATTTTTTTTTGTCAGCCCAGGTTCATGAATTGAACCTGGGGGAGATTGTCTGCAATCTACATGTAGGGACAAATTTTGTATTTTCAAGCCTATAAAAATGCAATTTCCTATGTTTTGAGAGGCAAATCATGAGGTTGAGAGAGGTAGTTGCCAGTCCTTTGGATATCTTCATATTATATTCTTACCCAAGATTTTTGTCGATTTTGTCTACCAAGGTTGACAGATTGGTTTAAAATTTTTTTCCGTCACACGCCACAGAGTTCCTGCAATTGACAGAAAAACGGGTGCTGGCTAGAGCCCTGATAGAGTAAAATCTAATGTGGTTTCAAGAGGTACAAAGGTGAAGTGGTTTGTCATTTAGTGCTGTCATTTGATGGAGAAATAATATTTTGGTAACCATCATAGATATTGCTTGCAGAGTGACATGTACAATGTGGTTAGTTTGAATGTCATTCAAAACATTTGTGGCACAGAAAAATGTCCTTTGGCACTTTGGCCAGTGGAATATAATTGACATAGGCTACATAGTATGTTGCTTGAAAACACAGTCCGGTTTGGGCTGTCTTATAAAGATTTATACTGCCATATAAAATGTTTTTCCTACTTTGTGACAGGTAACAGAAGAGTCTGCTCAGTTCCTGACAGAGTTGAACTACCAGTGTGAGTGCAGAGGACTCATAGATGTGAAAGGGAAGGGGAAACTGAAGACATATCTTATAGACACCAGCATGGCCACAGGGATGCAGCATATGGCAAACTATAGCCACCGGATGTCGCTGGAATAACTTTGAGAACAACACTGTGGAAACATTTTGAATTAAATTACACATTATTTGAACTGATTGGAAATTATACAAACCATTGTGACAGTGGAACAACATAACAGTTTGTATTTCTTGCAATGGGAAAGCTACAATGGAAATTCACTTAAACCTGTTTTGTTTGCTTGTTTGTTTATTTATTCATTTGTTTGTCTGAAAGAGAGACATGAGGATCATGGCAAAGCTCAGGACACTACAGACATTGCCAGAATCACTTCGGGACAGTCAAGATTCAAATTTGCCAGATCAGTCAGTAGTCCAGCAAAGATATGAGCCAACAGGAGAATACAATCAACATGTTAACATACTACAGTATGGTGTGAATTGTGATATCATCAACAGTAGAGGACTCAGGGATGCTATCTTAACAGACAGGACAGCTCTACATGTCAACTCTCGGATGCTGAGTGGAACTGGCAGATGTGGACTAACTTACTGAAAATGTGTCACATACTTGTCAATCTATTGCTGCCAATCACTACAGAAGGCTTAGGGCATAAATCCAGCCAAACATCCTATTCAAAAAAGGCTCTGGGGCAACAACATTGTCCTCCAGTAACTGTGCAGCTTAGTCTGGGGTGGTAGAAACAGAGAGTGACACTAGCAACATCTCATCATTTGTCAGCTTCAATACTTTGACCATGTCAATAATGCCCCCATGCTGATGCAGTTAGTACTGCGCCAAGCTTCCAGAATATTCTACTAGTAAATCTGCAAGGTGGCACGTTATGTTGTCAGTCAGTTGTACTTAAAGATATATGTCTCACTTCCACACGAGTATTTACAATAGGAGAATTTGTCAATCAAATCTCTACCTATCCGCCTGGTTTTTGTGAATGTTTGCTATATTCTTTTTCAACCCGATGGTGGCAAAATTTACATGGTCAATTTTGGACTATCCAACAAATCATACATATATATATATAATATATAGATTACACACTGGCCAACAGAGTGTCAGCAATGATGTTAACTACACTTGTACCTTATTCATAGTGATAATTATTGTATGTGCAGAGTAAAATGCTTTTTCATTCTAGAAAGTTTACATAATTTACTTGATTGATATGACAACCACAAAGGCCTTTTCTTTCATTATTTATTCTTTATTTTTTCTGACATAATCATTGTTACAGTAAAATTATCATAGTTGTGACTTGTAATTGCTGTTTTCCAGAGTATAAGTTTATTTTTGATCTAAAATATACATTGCAATGCACCAAAACAAAACTACAGGAGCCTGTTGATGTTCTTTTGTCAATAATCATGACGTGTGTGGTTTATATTTTCTTGAATCTTGTAACTGCCTTACTTTTGGAGGATTATTTCTTTGCCCTGGAATGTGGTACAGGTAAGACTTACTAGTTAAAACCTGACAGTGTTTCTGCCATGTTGTTCATGGGTCTGAGGTTGTTTATTGCAGTCTTTCATGCTTTTATAAGGTTTATGACAATCAGTTTCTAGACATAGGTCTGTGCATTGGAATATTCTAGCTGCAGTGCAATTTAGTTGTTTCTTTCATTTTTCTACTCATTTTTCTATTATTTCTTACGTAGAAAATTTCCTTGCATTCTGGGCAAACTAAACGAATATGTTGATAAGCTATGCATTGGTCATGTCATTGTAAGATGAACTAAATATCATTTAAAGTCCCTGATACATTGTACTAACATCAACATATGTGGAACATTTGCCTGTGATTCGCTTCAGTCACTGTACAGAGATTTTATTAAAAGCCAAATTTTTCTGACATGTGGTTGTAATGTTTATTCTTGAAAAAAATCTTAAAATCTAAAACGGACATCCATATTTTATCTTCTTGACCTACCCGCATATCAAATACCGTTAAAATCCATTCAGGCCTTCTTACTTTAAGTTGGCCTCTAAGTTCTCTAGCCTTACGTCAAACACTCGGACAGGAGGAAGCTCCTTGTATCTAGTGGTACACAAATTTCCTGCACCTGGTGTGGTTCCCTTAATTGAGGTAGATCTAAAAGTTGAGGTAGGTTACGTTAGTGCACTGACACTTGGATGGTTTTGTGGATGTCTATCTGTAACGTTACATCTCCCAGTTGCAGCTTGTGATACATAAACTTTCTGTGCCTGGCATGGTGTGGTTCAATCTCCAAACGGAGGTAGACTTAAAAAGTTGTGGTAGCCTGAAGTTTTGTGGATGTTCATCACTGTAGTGTGCTTTTTTCTCCGTGTTGTGCGGATGTTGCGTGTTCTGTATGTGTCTCTCCTGGTTGCGGCTAGTGGTACACGAACTTCCTGCGCCTGGCGTGGTACTCCTTGTCCTGGAAGCACTGCCGCATGTACCCCAGCTCCTCCTGACGGTGCTGCTCTAGGATGGACCAGAGGGACGAGGTGGCCGCCCGCTTGACCCGCAGGATCTCTCCGGCCTCAGCCTGCAGACGGAGGCACTTCAGGTGGATCTGGGCGTTCAGCTCGACCGCATCCGACCCGATCACGTCGTCCAGCATGCCTGGGACAGACACGGGAGGGAGAAAATAGGTTTGGACGTGTACCTACAAAATCAGCAAACCATGTCCCAGACACACCCCCATGAACCACCTACAAATCTGATCCCATCTCCCTCACCCACCCCATGCCCAGACCCACCCATGCCCTGACTCACCCATGCCCTGACACACCCATGCCTAGACCCACCCATGCCCTGACACACCCACATCCCTGACTCACCCATGCTCCTGACCCACCCACATCCCTGATCCACCCACACCCCTGACCCACCCACACCCCTGACCCACCCACATCCCTGACCCACCCACATCCCTGACCTACCCATGTCCCAGGCCTCTGGGGCGAGCACTGGCTGGAGTCGGGTGGTGAGTTCCTCTGCCATGGGGAATCCCACCCTTTGCGGCAGGGAGTAGGTCCAGTACTCGGACCCGAACAGCGCCATCTTGCGGTAGTGTGGGTTCAGCACCACACCGGCGTGACTCACGACCTGTGGAAACATGACGCCATGTGTCAGCTGATTGCAAGCTGGTACGTTTTAGCAGGGCCAGAGGTGGGTGCCCATCTCGCCTGGGAAAGGCACTTTACAACTATTTCTTCACTCACTTCATGACACAGCTTTGGTTGGGGATGTTCTCTCTGATGGGATGTAAAGCTGGAGGTCCCATGATTGAGGAGAGCCACACCTCAAGCATGCAGTGATCAAAAGGAACAGGGCTTCTTCCCAATGTTTAGCTCTTACAGCCCAGTCTTATGTAGCCAGTGTGTACTTTCTGTGCAAAACTGGTATGTTATACTTAAAGGTGGTTTACCAGTTGTGCAAAAACAAAGCTGCCTCAAACCAGTTTAGTCGTCTCAAACCAGTTTCACTCACCCGATCTGCAGCAAGCGCCATCATGACACCGCCAGCTCCCGCGTTCCCCTGCAGCACTGAAACCGTCACCTTATTCCGCATCCGGAATATTGCCTTCACCACGTCATTGATGGCTGTGATGTTAGCCCAGGATTCGGCGATGGCACATTCGGAGCTCTCGATGACGTTCAGGTGGATTCCGTTGCTGAAGAAGTTGTGCCTAAATATGGGAAACAAAGGTTTTATGCCCAAATATGGGAAAAATCAACATTTTAAGTATTGGTAAACATCAACATGTGCGTTGCATTGTCCCCTAAAGTTGCTCGGGTCAGGTTGATAAAGTTAATAAAGTTAATAGATTAGTACAGTTAAGTTAGTGAAGTTCACAGCTCACCTGCCTATCAACTCGATTACTAGAGTTAATAAGTTAGCGAATTTAAATTATCAAAGCTCACAAGCCCATCACTGAGCAGTCAGAATCTTGCTCCACCGTCCACAGAACCTGCTCAAGCCATGTTGATATGTTAAGTTGATAAGTTGATAAAGTTGATAAGTCAGTACTTACCCGCCCATCAAGGCGACCACGGAGCAGTCTGGATCCTGTTCCGCGTCCCACAGAACCTGCTCCAGCCGCTTACACTGGTCCGTGCTCATCGCGCCGTTGTAGAAGTCGAAGTGCACGTAACAGACGCCGTCTTGGCGCGTCGTCCAGACGTCCTGGAAAGTCTCAGGTCGGGTCCCGTAAGGAAGGGGGTCGGAGTGGCTGACAGGAAGGGGAGGGACGTCAGCACAAGGCAGGACAGACGTTGCGGGAAGCTTCAGGCTGCTTCTCTGGGGGAGTCCTGCGAGGGCGGGACAGTTTTCTTGTGGGGGGGGGGCTGTGAGGGGGGAGAAGGGGCATCATCAGTGTTAGATTTAGAACATGTACTTAGGGTGGTCAGGAAGGGTGGCTGAGGACTTTGGGGACATCTTAAAAATACTACTTAGGATTACCTATGGTCATGGCCTCCACTTATTGATGAGAGAAAGAATATATAAAAGATATAAGAATAGGCCATAAGACTTAAGCCATACTTTTAAGATGGGAGATCCAGATGGCATCTTCCCGATCTTTACAGGCCACCAAGACAGCACTGTTCCTTCTCGCGATGATGTCACCAGGGGTAGCATGCCCCGCCCGCTCCTTCAGTTGCCGCACCATGTCACGATTTCCCTCCACACATGCGCCGAACAGCAAAACTTCATGCTGCTGCAGCTGGCCTTTAAGACAATTTACAGATATCAATTTTAAACTAGGAAGTTAATATCTGCATACAATCATCATGTTTACTTTGACATGGTCTAGCTTAACAACCTACTGTTCTGTTTAATCTTACTTGTACACATTCATACATATAATGACCAGATGAGCATTAAATTTTATTCATACATACAATGAGCCCTCCAACTTTGTCTTGCCATAATGTAACCCAAAATGACAGGATATCTGCTACAGCACCAGTTACCATGGTGACAGCCGTTCAGGTCATCGGCCTTAATTGGAATGAAAGAAAATGGAAGAATGGAAGAAAGGAAACAGAGCGAAAACAAAGATAAACATAACAAACTTCTGACCTTGCACAGACAGACGGAGCAGGCCCATGGCGCCTGGCTGGGAGTCGCAGGCGCGCACAACTCTCGCCACGTCCTCGGCTGGCTGTGTCCAGTCCACCTGTCGGTCCTCGGCTGTCAGCTTCCGCCTCAGCTCACCTTTCACCTGGAGTCAGACAACAAACGGCTTTTCATGTCAGAACTGTCATCATAAAGGCACTCTTTCGTAAAGGAGCACATCAGCAGAATGTACTGTGCAAAAAACAATTTTTTTCTTTTTCAAGGATTTCGTTGGGTGTTTGGTCAACGTTACATCAGAATTTTGCCCATTGCACACAATATCTTTTCCGGCTACTAGACTTAAAGACTTTCTGTCAGTGACTTACAGCATATAAATCTGTACTGAGATACAGGCCGCTGACCTAGGATAATGCTACAGATACTGCACTTGCCAATTTGATACTGTTATGATAACATCTGCTTGGAGATTAGATTCAAAAGCAATGAAAATCACAAAGCAGTACCTCTGGGTGTGAGTAGTCTAGCGGGGTGGGGGGCGTGCCTTGTTCCAGGGCTTCTAAGGCCCCCTGCACTGCCAGAGCCGCCGCTTTGGTCACCTCCTTGCCGTACAGACTAGACTTGGTCGCCTGGCGGTTCACGGGAAACTTGCAGGCTGCCCAGATGTCGCCGGCATCCATCTCATCTGCTGCCTGCAGAACAGTCACGCCCCACTCGGTGGCGCCCTCCTGCAGAGTAGTTATGGCAGCAAAACCTTGATGAAATGGTTGCAGAAGTGGCAACAGACATCTACACATACATACACTTGTACGTATTTGTAACGTTCGCAGAGGGAAAAATATTGTTTTTGCTCCATTTTTCTTCTTTCAATACAAACAAATAAGGTCAATGACCTAGATCAGATAGCTGTCACCATTACAAGTACTAGCAACTGGTGCTGTAGTAGACATTCTATGGTGTTGGAATACATTCATTAAGTAGCAAATGGCAGGACTGAGTTGGAAGGGCTGGTCACTATACATAAATGTGTTGAAGATGAAGATGAAAAACAGTGAGTATATAAACATTCAATTATGTGTTTAACTTACTTTTCTAGAGTCTGGTTATGTAAAGTTATCCATCTAGTGAGAGTAGACAAGCGGAGTCTGACCTTCAGTGCCCAGTCGATGGAGGACGGCCCCCTGTCCCCGGGGATGCCCGGATGTACGATGAGGACGGGTCGGGCCGGGTTGTTGTACAGGCTGGGCGGGACCCGGCGGGTCAGGAATGGGCACAGTACCTGGCAAGGGAAGAAGAGGTTGCACACTTCTTTATTGTAAAGTGCCCTCTAGCTGTCCGCACATAAACCTTGCTAAGGGCTTATACAGGAGCAAGAAAAATCAATTAAAAGGCATTTTTGCAAGCTGTTTGAAGTCAATGTAGTGTATAATTTTGTTATCTATATGTATATTGTATTGTAAACATTAACTCCGTGAAGAGTAGTACAATTTTGTGTCTAATGAAGAGTAAACAAACAAACAAACCAGGTCCGGCTTGTCCGCCTCTGCCGCCTTCGTCATCTCCTCGCCACGTGGGTTCTCGTGCACAGTCACGTGATGGCCACGTGACACCAGCTCCAGGTACAGCCGCTGGGACAGACCGTTGAAGGAGTTGCAGAGGAAAGTGATTTTCTGTGGTTTTCCCGCCTTTTTAGTCGGATCTGGGGCGGCAAAGTCGACCCATGGGAGGGCTGTGGGCTTGGAAGGCTCACGGGTAGGCAAGGCTTGCTGGGACGGCTGCCATGGTGCTTGCGGGGATGCCCGTCGTCGCGGTGGTTGCTGGGAAGTCGGTCCGTGCTGTGATGACGTCGTCGCAGCGCGAGTTGTGACTTGCATGCGCCTCATGGAGCGCCAGGCGGTGCCGCTGGTCACGTTGGGGATTCTGATCATTTTCCTGAGACTGGTGAGAGACTAGAACAAGTTCGCAACTTGAGCATCACGCTTAGGTTGTTGTGCCTCAAATCTAGCTATCATAATTTGGAGCATGCAGTTATGACAGGTATTGTGCAGCACCAAATGCGGATTTCAAAACCAAGCAAAATATAGGGATATCTCATGGTTTAGTTCGTCTTCCTAACACGTCTTAAAGTTTGAAAACAATTTTCAGACACTCCCGACCGATTACCCTTTGTCGCCATTGTTAGTCAGACGCCAGCGTAGTAAGCCAAACTTTTGAATTGGAAGCCATGCTATTCTTACCTTATTACCAGGTACTACTGCAATGAGGTTTTCCCTATAACCTCATTGTCCTTGCTATAGCTAGGTTTACAATGAAATATCTGACAAAGAATTCGAAGGTTCTAGGGAAATTATGAGATGGCATGCACTTAGCATTCCACCACGGCCTTTGTTCTTTTGTTCCCCTCCAACCAATGCCATTATAAATTTAGATAATGTCCTTGCTAACACCAAACGCTGAGTTACAAATATGGGATAGGGTACGTACAATACAAATAGGACGGATACTACGCAATAAACTACGAAACAAGCTGTACAATCTATAATCTACGGAGACCAACGACTACACGTGAGAACGTACCTGGATCCTGCGTCTGGAATGAACTGGAACCCAAGCGGACCAGCACACCTTGCGCGGGGCGTCAATCCAGCCCTCTCACCATGATTGGTTCACGGACTGGGATGTGCAAGCTCCGCCCATAATGGTCTAATTGACTCACTGATTAATCACTAATTATGTAGGTCGTACGTCACGGCCATTGCAACGAACTGTGCGAGTCAGTCTGCTCAAGGAGGTTTAAGAGTTTTAAACCTCTGTGGTCTGGTCAAACATTTTTTTGTCTTGTTTATAATTTGGTTGTAAATATTGAGATTGACTAGATTATGAGATTATGGGGTGTTGACTAATACTCAAAGTTCAATGCAAATTCTAAGGACGTTCTATCCTTACAAATTCACGCCCGACAGACCAAGTCACCATGGACATTCTACACATTGAAGCTCCTTGGACAGACTAACAACGTGGGTTCCAAGTCAGTAAAATTTAGCCAAAGAGGGAGAATTTTCCAGTGATGGAAATGAAACCCCAATACGGTGGACCCACTACCCTGGCCAGTCGGATTCTATTTTGCACCCCCCCCCCCAAGGAAGGCCTGATGGAGGCTACTATTATGTTTACAAGCTTAGAGGAGAGCGTGTTAATAGATTCATAAGACAGAACGGGTGTTATTTACTCAGGCAAGGCGACAAGAACAAGCCAGCAAACAGGGTGGGCGAGCACGATGAATAATTTAGCCGGCATAAATTAACGCGTTTAACAAGTAAAGAGATCCGCTGTTGTTTATAATGATAGCGCAAGTTCAGTGTTCTTTTTTTTCGAATTCGAGGATCTTTTGGTGGCTACTTTATACAGGTCAATACTAGTATCGTCACGACACCTTAAGATCTGTTGGCATTTGGCTATAAAAGGTGTGCGTGGCAAAAGGTGTTAGTACATGTTTCTGCTTTAATTGTTGCTCCTCACAGGGAGCCGTCAGATTTTTATTACCATTAGATGTAATCATTTTTCTGCTGGATTTAAGACCTTAAATTTTTGCTTCATTAGGGCGAGTGTGTAAGAGGTCGTCAGCACTGGATCCGGACGTCCAGTACTGAGGCAGCTTCAGCGCTGGAAAACCCCTATCAGCACTGGCAACCGAGTGCTGAGACTATGGTTAGTACTCTCAGCAACAAAGAGGAAGCGAGCTGAATGCCGTTTCCGGGTACCCCACCCCTTTTCAGTTACTTTTGTACATTTGTGTAGTTAGTGTTTGGTCTGGTTTGATGCAACTTCGTTTTGCGGTGTCGCATTGCAGGTACTTCCTAACGAAGGAAGGGACGCTTGCCGCTGTAGTTTGTTTGAACCGCCTGAAATCCCCCATGGCCAGGAGTTAGGCAATGCCCCAGATGGACAGTGTGTGGCGTGAGGTGTGGCGAGGGACGGTCGCCAAGGTGTGTACTCGCCGTTTTCTCGCTGGAGTTCCATTGCCCAGTTTGGTAGATCGGTAAGGGAAGCAGATCGTTGCGGGTTACGCCCGCGGCCTCGAGCTCCGCTCTCGACGATTTTCCATGGCCAGTAGTAGGTGTTTAGTCGCGAGGTCGGCGAAGATACATTCTGTACTAAAACGCTCTGATAAACTTGCCCCTCCGTCGATTGAGACGGTTTTGCAAGATCTGGCATGCTCCGGATGTGTGTGGCATTCGCCGCCTTTCCGTAAAACGTTACGCGCTGTTGGGATTCGGTTCTTCCATACGCAGCTGTAGCTCGGCTAGATGTCTTCTTGAGATGGCGCGAACTTCTGCCCAGGCTGCCATGGTAACGGGAGGAGTCTGCTGCCCTTCCGTAGAACTTCACCTGATCCATGGATTTTGGTTCTCCATACAGAGTTTTACGTCGGCTGAGATGGCGGGAATGTTTGGACTGGCTGCCGAGGTAGATATTGCGGCTCTCTCCCAAAACTGCAGGGAGCGTCAAATCGACTGCAATGCCGTAGAATGGGAGCGGGGCATCATCATCATCGTTGTTGTCGCTGTCTGGTATGTTACAGTACGTCGGTTCGGTGGAGGGAAGGGCAGCAGGCAGTGACTGACAGGAGACTGCGTCCTCCCGTCCGTCCTTCCGTGTGCGTGTTCTAGCGGGGAGCTTCGTGAGGCAGGCTGATCTGTTCACATCAGACATGCCGCCATCTGGGATTTCCCAGTACGTGTGGTGGACGAGGTGGGCAGCTTCGTCCGGGATCTCGCAGTAGGTGGGTTCGACTGAGCGTAAGGTCGTAGGCAGGGATCTGCAAGGTACTACTTGGCGGTGTGGAACGTCGCTGTGTGGGTGGGGAATGGCAGGGAGGGAAGCAGACCTTGCCCGCCCAGATGTCGCATGCGGTACGATGCGGGCTCGGTCGTCCTTGGTGTTGCTTAAGTTTAACACCCTCTTCAGCATCACGACGATGAGTACCAGACCTAGACCTAATAACGACACAATCGGGATGGCGGGATAGATCGAAGTGTCGTCTGGGGCAGGTGTGTTCAAGACGGTACTGACTTGCGGAGTAGACGCCGGTGACGTAGTCTTCAGGTCTTCTGACGTCAACACCACCTGAGTCTGGTTCCTCCGTGCAGATGTTTCATTGGATGGCGGGCAATGCCAATGGCCGGAATCTCGACGACATGTTTTGTTGTTCCTCTTTTGGTCTTCTGGAGGGACAGTAGTGAGCACTAGCCGAGTGATGTTTCCATTGGCGAGCACAAGGCAGGTTATATTTCTATCGTTTGTTTGGGTGAAGTTTTTCAGGTTGTCAGTGGCTGAGCCATTCGTGCTTGTGTTCTGTGTTGTCCGAAACAGAGTAAAGGCAAGGCCGCTCATGGTTGCGTTCCCCTCCCATAGTGACTTCAAGTGCATGCGTAAGCCATCCTGTAAAGCCACAAGCAATGTGCCATTTTGTTCCCATCCCTGTCTACACTGGGCTGTGTCGCCATGGGGTGTGTGTTGTTTGGAAGATCCAGTCTTCAACAAGACAACAAAATGGGCTCGACTCTCTGTCAAGATGTTTGACAAACCGTATGAGCTCGAGATGTTTTTTACTAGACCGGGGTCATACACATTCGATACATTACTAGTATACCCCAAAGTCTGTTCATTGTTTAAAGGGTCGTGAGTGATCATACAGAGGAGGTTGTTGGAAACCATGAGTGACACGTATTGCCTTCTGATGATGCGTTTGCGCTGTTCATCCATGTGGTTGTAGAGATAAAGGCTCCACGCCTCATCTCGCACCACCGAGTCACGAACCGTGCCCAGCCTCTCGCGAACAACGCGAATCAGGAGAGGGGCATTCCTCAACCCCCAGAACGTGTCCCCGTCCAGAAACGGAAAGTTCCCACCTAGAGTCAAATCGGAGAGACCATCGAGGTACTGGAATGCATCCAGAGGAATGCTGCTTGATTCCAAGTGGAGCTCTGCTATTTCCTGGAGCCCAGGAAACCAGTCTGGGTCTACAGTCTGCAGCGGATTGTTCTCTAGATTCAAAATTTCAAGCAAACCCAGGTCCATGAAGGACCCTGCTTCCACCCTCACTATCTCGTTATTGGACAAGCTCAGCATGTGGAGACTTTTCAAACCAGAGAACCAATTCTGCCTGATGTGAGTGAGTTTGTTATAGTCCAGGGCCAACATCCAGAGGCTTGAAATTCCGGCCAGCACATTCTCTTCAATATCGGCGATTTCGCATTTCACTAGGGCAAGAGTCGCTGTACACCTAGGGCAGAGACCCGCCAGTGTTTTTACCGATACAAATCCCACTGGATACCCCACTACTGCAACCACACCTGTATACCCGGTAAGGCAAGGTATTACCTGTGGTACGGCAACAGTTTCATTTACGCCCTTGCACACAGTCCATATATGGAAGGGTACCCACTTCGCCAAAGACCCGCCAAGATTGGATCGTATGTGCTGAGCTATAGGCACAGGTCGGCTTGCTTTTCTACACTGCTGAGGACAGAAGCTACCAAAAGCCGTACAGGCATACACCGCCAAAACCAGGACAAGTAAGGCACTGCCTTCTTTCCGAGAAAAAATTTGTTGACCGAACGCCATTTCAGAGGCAGTGCTTTTTTTCTAGATTCTATTCAAAGGCAGGAACTTGAGGATATGGAAAGGAAACTCGAACCTAGCGACAACGTCGTATACCCGGTCTATGGACGCAGTTTGGGCTGCAGTCCTACTAAGACGCCACCGACGCCATCACTGTTTGGCGATGGACATTCAAGAAGATGAAGATGAAGAAGAAGAAGATTCAAAGGCTCTAAACTGACCTTGCTTGCTTGCTTGCTGTTCCGTGGAAGATCACAATGGACCTGTAATGTGGAGATACTAAATTTTCGTCATCACTATCGTCGTCATTTCTCCACATTTACAGAAAAAAGATAGCGCAGGGTTCGCAATACCTTTTTCTCAGGTTGCCCATGTAGCCCAAGCCAAAAGCGCGGTTGCCCATCGAATATTTCAGGTTGCCGTCAATACCGACATTTTATTTTAGAAGGCAAGACGTAAGCCGTCACCTGTGAAGGTGTGGCTCACAAGCTGGCTGAGGAAGGACACGGTCCATCTCACGAGCCTCAAGCTGGGCCGCTAGAAACTTGTAAAATGTTGCTTTGTTTGTAAAAAAAATGACAACTTGCGCGCCGGGCAACCTGGCGTCTCCAAAAAGTATCGCACAGAAAATACGACTTGCTCTCGCGAGGGCGAGAGCGGGTATTTGGAACTCTGCTCCTTTCAAATTTCTTATTCTCCTAACGCTACGAATGATGTCTGCTCCTTTCAAATCATAAGACCCGTACATTTCCTAGTACAGTCTAAGAAAAGAGAAATGTTTGTACACTTACCTTCCTTATAAGTTTTTCGGCTTCTTGTCGCTGATTTTGTCAGTCACTATCTTGTTGCTGAACTGGCTGTTACAGTTGATATCTCTCTGTCTCTCTCTCTCTCTGTCTCTGTCTCTCTGTCTGCCTCTCTCTCTCTTTCTCTCTGGAGAAGATCGTTGCCTAATGTCTAGTTCCTCCGCCGCTCTCTCTTTTATATATTCCTGTGTTTTCCATTTTAATCAGAGAACCAACTCCTCTTATTGGTTAGAACCATGTCCAAATCGGGCAAAGAAGGCCTTAACATTTTTTTAAATCTTCTATGCAGACACATTAATTACTTAGCAGATGAAAATGGAAACTTATATAGAATATAATGCCCCGCTTTTATTACATGATTGCAACACCAAAAGTAGTTTTATAAAAAAAGTTGTGTAGACAAATGAAATCAGAAATGTAACTAGGTTACCACACCGACTTCAAACGATACTTCTAAATTGATTTGTCTACCCCGTGCCTTACAAGGCTATATTAATTTCACCTTTATCTCACTTTTGTATGTATAAATATAATTGCAAGATTAAAAGCGTTTTTGTGAAAAAAGACGTTGTGTAGACAAATGAAATCAGAAATGTAACTAGGTTATCACTCCAAATCAAACGATGTCATCAAATTGATTTGTCTACTCGGAGCCCTATAAAGCTTTATTTATTTGTCTGGACACTTTTAATCTTTCAAATTCGGGAAAATTTGTAACCGCCGTCCACGCGTGACCTCTAACCTTATATGTGACTAGTGTTAGGCAACACACGTCGACAGAACGTACTGCGCCTGGGCGAAGCCCGGATTTTTTTCAATGTTTTTTCAATCAGGATTTCGCCCGTTGCAGACGATATTGTTTTCGGTACAACACTGGTAGAATTCTTTCGAAGTGCTATGCACGAATTTTTGCATTACGGGTTTCGCGCAGGTGCAGTACGTTCTGCCGACATGCTGTTCTAAACCATTTGGATGTGGGACTTGCATATATTATATGTAATGATCAATGGCTGGTACATTGTAAGCCACGGTCTCCAAAAATTATGAATTAGCCGGCAAGAGCAGCTAAAATAAATAATCAGTGAAGCTCCCTTGGTCTGATGATAGTCGCTGTAAGGCATATGTACGCGTTAAAAAAAACTAAGTCTCCTACATGCCCCAAATCATAAAAAGTCCATTGCTCTTTTCTTGACTTATCCTCTTTGAAAAAAATTGCCAAGGACGCCCCTACACAAGGGGCTAGGGTCGCCAAACCTAGGGGCGCGTAAAAACACGTTCGAGCGTAACAGTATACCCGGCTTGTTTTGCCGTGAGTCAGAGACAAAATCTCCATAGGGTCATGGGTCGATCTTAGTCAAAGACAAACCAAACAAAACACAACTCAGCCGAAACCCTCTCTTTCTTCTTGTTTTCAACTGTTATGAGATTTTTAATGTGCACTATTGTGTCTCGGGTATTAGTATCACACTTCTGCAAACTCAATATTACATGATAAGTAATATGACACTTATGGCAACTATCCGCCCTACCTTTGTCAGCGGTAACACGGCCGTGAGATAGATACCTGACAGTACAACAACACACAGTCCATTGTGTTTTCTTATTTTCGCTGGAATTATTTTATCTGCATCCCTTTCTCCTTCATATTTGTGCATTCTATAATTTTGCCTTTCTGTTCGTACCAGAAATAAGTTAATGTGCTACCCAGTGTTCAGAAAGTTACGAAAATGATCATATTACAAACAGTCTTTGTACTTGGTGCTGGGGTTGATGACATTGAAGCCATACAGCGTTACCCAGTCTTTTTATGCAGGAATGTGGGTAAACAATACCCATACAGGCAGTTGGCGCCAGACGCGCAAGACGCTACTGAAGTAGGGACAGACACAATCGAGGGTATACAGGTATGTCGCGTTGCTTTCTGAGATGTTACTAGACGATTATGTACTTAAGCTGTGTAGGTATAATTTGACAGTTAAAATATCCAGTACGCAATACCGTCATAAGGTTCTAGGGCCCTGTTCTTTCTACTTCAAGGTTGGTAACGTTGTATCTGTAGTATACCTTTTGTAGAAACCTTAACTGTGTTCTCGATTGAATAAAACAGATTGATAATGTTTGTCCATCGTATGTTGATGAAGATCTTAATGTAGCCCTTGTATAAGTATACGAATGGAGGATTTATCGTTTTTTATACACCTATAGCGTTGTGTATTTCGATAGATAAATACACAACGTTGTTTTCTTTTATCGACATAATATGCCCCCCCCCCCAACCCACAAATCCCATTATCATTCTAACTCTTCACCTCACATACACATGTACGATAGTCGATTTCTTGTCAATGTCTCTGTCAAAACTGTGAACATTATTACGGCGTTTACAAGACTTAGTGTTCACGTCGTTGTCGTTAATGATCGAGGACCCAGGGTCTTGCCATGCCAATTAGAGGGTGGCGTATCGTAAACAGTAGCGTGTTCGGTTTAGTACCGAAAGGTCCCGGGTTCAAATCCTACCATGTCACTGATCTTGTGCCCTTGGAAAGGCACTTTACACGGCTTTCCTCACTCCACTCAGGTGGAAATGAGCACCTAACTTCGGTTAGGGACGTCCCTCGGATAGGACGTTAAATGGAGGTCCTGTGTTTGGGGAGAGTCACACCCCACGCACGTTAAAGAACCCACCGCACTTATATCGAAAAGAGTAGGGGTCCTTCCCGGTGTGAGTGGTTCAAACCTTAAAGTCTGGTCTTACGCAGATTGTACTTACATGTAGAAAACTGGTGTGTTACGCCTTAAAGGCGGTTTACCGGTTACGCGAAACAGACAAACAAACAAACAACTGTTATATATACTACAGGAAACGGAAGGTCAAACATGGCGGCAGGTCAGACCCTCCAGCCTCAGACCGTCGACGGTCGCCTCCAACTTGACCTGAGTAACCAGGGTCTGACGTCCATCCCGGAGGAGGTGTTCGATATCGCTGACTTGGAGTTTCTAGATGTGTCCAACAACAAACTAACCAGCATCCCGGAAGCCATCGGTCGTCTGCGGAAACTTTACCGTTTGGACGCTAACGGAAACATGCTTACAAGGTTGCCACAGGCGATCGGCACCTTGCAGAAAATGACATCCATGCGCATTTATTCTAATCACCTGATAGAGCTTCCGTCAGAGATTTGTTCTCTTTCCAACATTGAGCTGTTACATGCTGGTTATAACAAGCTTTCCACCTTACCCCCTGGTGTCGAAAAGTTGCAGAAATTGACAGACCTTCGCATTAATGATAATCAGTTAACAGAGGTTCCACCAGGGGTGTGTTCTCTGTACAACCTTGAGGTGTTTCATGTTGGTAACAACAAACTTTCCACCTTTCCTTCTGTTGAAAGGTTGCAGAAATTGACAGACCTGCGATTTTATGATAATCAGCTGACAGAGTTTCCAGCAGGGGTTTGTTCTCTGTACAACCTCGAGGTGTTGCATGTTGGTAACAACCCATTTTCCACCTTTCCTCCTGGTGTAGAAAAGTTGCAGAAATTGAAAGACCTGCGTATCTTTGCTGCTAGGCTGGCAGAGCTTCCGCCTGGAGTTTGTTCTCTGTACAACCTTGAGGTGTTGCATGTTGGTAGCAATCGATTTTCCACCTTTCCTCCTGGTGTCGAAAAGTTGCAGAATATGACAGATCTGCGCTTTGATAACAATCAGCTGACAGAGGTTCCACCAGGGGTTTGTTCTCTTTACAAGCTTCAAGTGTTGCATGTTGGTAGCAACCGATTTTCCTCCTTTCCTCCTGGTGTCGAAAAGTTGCAGAACATGACAGACCTGCGCGTTAATGATAACCAGCTGACAGAGGTTCCAAAAGGGGCTTGTTCTCTACCCAACCTTGAGGTTTTAGTTGTTGCCCGAAATCCCATCAGATGTTTCCCCAGTGACGTCACACGGCTCTCCAGGCTGAAGACTCTTGATGTGGAAGGTTGTGAATTTGACGAGTTTCCAAAACAGGTGCTGCAGCTGAAGACACTGGAGGAACTGTATGCTGGACACTGCAAGTTGGGCATTGTCTCAGATGAGATGGGGAACCTACAACACATGTGGTGCTTGTCACTGCATGATAACCTCCTCAGAGATCTCCCTAGCTCCATGCGCAACCTGCACAACCTACGGGAGGTCCAACTCTGGAACAACAAGTTCGACACTTTTCCAGAAGTCCTGTGTGAGCTACCTGCACTGGAGAAACTGCACATGAGGTGGAACAACATCGCCAGGCTCCCAACCGCCCTTCACCGAGCCGAGAAGCTGAAGGGTTTGGATGTTTCTGACAACCCCTTGGCATACCCTCCACATGATGTGTGTAGACAAGGGACCGGTGCTATCATGGCCTTCCTGAAAATGGAAGCTGAGAAAGGTAAGTCGTGTTTGCAAGTTTCAACTTTAAGCCATTGAAAGAATACCAGTAGTAACATTAAAAAGCTACATTATGTAGGACACAAAAAGTAATTTTTTGTCATTTCTTTACAAAGTAAGTTGAATCAACCTTACTCCATTGCAAATAAGTGCAATTGTAGAAAGTGGGGGTGACAAAATATGACGCCTCACAGCACGCAAGTCAAAAGTGTGTTCAAAGCTGGAAACACAGCTGTCAGCCATGTTTGTTTACATTCTGGTAGTTTGTGTTGGCACCACAAACTGAGTGCACCTGGTGCGGGCTGTTTTTGTGCCAATTATAAATGTCAGAAATGTGAAGTAACTGCACAAATGTGTTGAGAAGTGGAAGTGGATTATAATCACACTAAGGTTTTTTTCAACATTTCAACTTTTGGTGCAAAAATGTTACATAATGCCTTTAAAGCTACCGCGGAATGAAAAAGTAAACAATTCAACCTGCCTACCAATGATAGATGACTTATCTCTAACTCTACGCATTCAATATCTATACTGTTTCTGTTTCCAAGGTATTGATGAAAAGGTCCGTCAGGCCTTCAACCGTCTGTCCGTGAAGGTGAAACAAGCCCAGTGGAGACCTCTCGCCAGGAGCTTAGGGTTCAACAACACGCAAATAAACGCCATCAAGGTGAGATGATCATCATTTTCGCCACTTTGTGCATTTGTAGGGAAACCAATACCTCTATGATAAGCTCCCATGTCTCTGAATCCGAATTCTTTATCCGCGTAAACATACCGCTGATACATTTTTGTCTTCGGTGCTATTATATTGTGGAGAGAATTCATTTCTCAAGCTAACCGACATCTCTCACACCACAGTCGTCCCACAGTAAGACATATGGAGCCGGATATATAGTTCCCATTTAGAATTTTTTATTCTTCCATTTCCAAACATAACCACTACACAGAGACACTAAAATGCCATCTAAAGAAAACATCTGATATTTTCCCTGACATCTAAATTTTAAAGTACCTCTGATCGCTATACTACATTTTCATTATCTTGTTATCATATTTGTATGTATTTGTAGTTATTGAGTATGTAATTTTATGATTTAAAGGACGACTAATAGACGCATGTTGTTTTACTAACAGAGCAGCCTAGTAAACAAAACTAACGTATCTTTCAGACGAGCACCCCAGACGACGTTTCTGATCAGGTGTACCAGACCCTGGTACAGTGGAGGGTGAGGGAGGGTGAAGCGGCCACACTGCCCGCCCTGGAGCAGCACCTGAGAGATCTGGACTTTCAGCAGCTAGCGGAGCAGCTTACGCCGGCACCCGGGGTAGGATACTGTTTATTTGTCAGTTTCATGCGGACTTTTAGGTGGCCTGGATGCCAGACTCATAGCACACTGTACCGAACGTATCTCAGTGTGCACTGAGATACTTTGGGTTCAGTGTGCTATGGTCAGCTGGCATCCAGGCTAATATTTAGCCTAGCCTCCTTTGCAGACTTGTAGGGCGCTGCGTTATTATTTTTTTCGGTGAGCCCCGCGAGTTTATATAATACGCCGCGGAGGGACGATTTTGCCGCCGAGGGAGTTTTGCCGGGGAGGGACGTTTTCGCTACATAACTTTTGTCTTTCCCCGGCAAAACTCGGTAAAATCGTCCCTCCGCGACATAACTCGCGCCACTCACCGAAAAAAAATAACGCCGCGTCCTACAAGTCTGCGAAAGAGGCTAATAGGCCGTCTTAACGCATTCAAGCCAGAATTCAGGATTAATGTGGCTCCGTCTAAACGCTCCCAGCCACATTGAAACCGGCTCGATCCCAAACCACCTCCGGGAGGTAATTTCGAACTGGCTTCAGGGCATGGCGACTTGCAATTGAGTCTGAACACCTGAACGCAACGTATTTGACCTTAGCTTCGACGAAAATAGCTTAACTAACATTTGCAGCGTTTCCAGTTAACTGTCTTCAAATCTGTTAATAGTTCTCGGTACGGGTAACCCATGCATAGCTGTAATAAGCAGAGTTCAGGCGTTGTATGTTTAGGGAGAATGTCGAACTAATGCACTGTGACTGCTACCATATCATTTCAAAAGGCTTCATGCTACGGTAAATATCCAAATCCGCTAACTAAGTAAAACGACAAATAAAAACGTCTTTGATTATCAGACCCCAGATCGCAGAGAGCACGAACTGGGAGAAATCGGTGCTGTTGGTGGCCAAGAGGAAGATGAGCCGCAGAACAGGTATACAAGCATGCTTCTTCTAATTCTAACTGAACGGCCTTCAACCGTATGATATCTAAGGTAATTTGACCTGCACCAATCAGTTTCATGCCAAAACATCTCTCCTTAAAACTAATTCAGTGCAAGATTAAATCTCTGAATTTACTTCCAAGATTATTTTTGTCTGATTGCTGACGCGTTGTAACTTAGCCTTTATTGTTATTTTTTATTATTTTTTTTTCGAGCAGATATCCCAGCGTGACGGTTGACCGCAGGTTCCCTATCATCAGTTATGAACGACTGGAGAAACAGTCCATTCTTGGCCGCGGGGGGTTCGCCGACGTGATGAAAGCCCGACATCCCGACTGGAGACAGGAGGTGGCCGTCAAATGTCTGCAGGCAGGCAAAATAGAAGATGGAAGGTCAGAGCTCAATTACATTCCGCGAGAACGACAGCTTTCCATACAACTTATCATCAATGTCATATTTTCACGTTGGTCTTGGCGCGCTTTTCATAGATGCTTGTAGTATTTCACAGGTAAACATGTCGCTGAATAATTCTACAAACAAACTAGGTGCATTGCTGTCCAATGGTATTGCATTGAATATAAATTCAACTACAAAACTAAAGATTTATGACCTGTACTTGCATAATACTCCCAAAAATTACTATTCTTTTATACCCAAAGAGAGCAGGAAGTGCTGTATTCTGAAGCAAGAAAACTGAAGCTGGCTAGCAAGTCAGACCACGTCATCACTCTGCTGGGGGTCTGTCTGGAGCCGCTCTTCGCCATCGTGATGCCCTACATGGAGAACGGCTCTCTGGCCCGGCTGCTGCGGGATGTGGACGTGCCCTGGGCACTGAGGTGGAGAATGGCGCACGAGATCTCCCTGGGGATGACTTTCCTGCACTGCCAGGACCCGCAGATTCTCCACTGTGATCTGAAGGCAGAGAACGTGCTACTCGATGGGGACTTCCACGTAAAGGTACTACTTTATTTTATTGCTCTTGCTGAAGGAGTCACCGCTAAAGGTCCCCGTTCCACTCTATTGCAGAACATGGGGGTGATGACCGTATCCATTTCTGTAGCCCTTGGGCGACACACAGTTGTGCAATATGCACTGGTCCGCAGGTAGTGCTGTGTGTTTGACCTTCCCACACTCTTTCTCATATGTACTGAGTGCTAAGCAGAGAAAGAAGTCTTTGGTATGACCCGGCCGGGGTTTGAACTCACGATTACAAAGCGAGCACTCTACCAATTGAGCTATTGCACTTGTATAGTCACCGCTAAAATGCTAGCCAATTATGGCCTACCCCAGATAACATAATTGTATCATGTCGTCATTATTTATAGTAAAAACACGAGACAGTGCTTCAGCATGAAGTGTTACCTGCAAACTGAATTACTTTTTCTATTGGAATCACTTGATAACGTTTATTTATCAGATTTCAGACTTCGGCTTATCCAAGTGGAAGGCGGGATCCCGTGTTCTCACGAAGACCAGTCCAGAGGGTTGTACAGTCACGCATGTGCCACCGGAGTACTTCGACATCGACCTCGAGCTCGTCCCAAATGAGAAGTTTGATGTCTACAGGTACTTCTAACTTCTGTCGTTTTGTTGTACTGATCCAATAACAATATAAGAGAAACGGAAAACTTCAATTTTGTGTAAACATTGTATTTGTCTCTTGGTTTTCGATTGGAAACAGTTTCTTCTCCTTCACCAATCTAATGCATGGGCGCTTTTTGGTGCCTCTATGTTCTAAGAAGAATCTGTCTTGATTTCAGTTTTGGAGTGCTGTTGTGGGAGATAGCAACAAGAACAGAGCCGTATAAGAGTGAGTACACATGATATCGGTCTTTTTTCACGACATCTTGGTCTTCTCAGACTGTTAAAACTCAATATATACAATGTACTGAAGAAATGATTAGTCCCCTACCTGCATCATGAAAGGAACTGGTTTTATTCGATGAAATGTGGAAAATTGGCACTTTTTTTAGCAATAAATGAGACAAACCTCGAAAGAAATGCTCATCAAAATCTAGTTAGGATGAGTGCTTTGACATAGCCAGAATGGTCTGAATGTATTCATTAAACTTTCTTTTTCTTTGTTTCTTTGCAGATGTCGTGAATACGGCGCTCATCAGGCTTGCCGTGACGACAGGACAGCGACCTAACATGGCCTTGGTCCCTACAGACTTGCCTGAAGTAGACACAGTCAGTCAGTTAATGCAGAGGTGCTGGAGTCAGGACCCGGAGGACAGGCCTTCATTCCAAGGTAACAACGCTGTACATGTATTTGTACAAAATACAATCTCCTGTACTCACGTTCACGTTCACAATCACGTTTCATTGCAGAGAATTTAAGAAAGGAGAAGCCGAATCTGAGAGAAATATCACATTTGATGTCAATGTTAGTAATAAATCTGTAGTTTTTTTATGTACAATATTGACTCCATTTCCACTGGATGGATAGCTTTGAGCGACTTAAGTTGGATTTGTATATGACCAAATTCATAAATGTAATGATGATGAATGATGTAATAATACAATCTAATAGATCTAATAAAACACACAAAAACTACAAAATGCACTTTTTATCAGTGAAATTTATTTGAACAGTTAATGGCGCAATGAATATTTTCATCAGGTTGGTGAATGATAGTAGCCTGGGTTCCGATTGTGCGACTGTGGGAGCGGACGTAAACTAACCAGGATGGAACCCAGGCTAGAATGATAGAATTATGGATAGCAAATTTCATTCACAACCTCTTGTTTGTAACAAGAGCCGACGTTTCAATGACGGTCTGCCCTTTTCATCAAGGCAATTATGACTGGTACAATTATAACTGGTTCATATTGTCATGATAAAGACGACGGATGGCCATCGAAATGACGTCGGTTCTTGTTTAATTAAAGAAGTGGTTTAACAATGAATAGATAACTTCGCTATTCACTCTGTACTGATGAAAGATACACTCCATCATTTTATGTTGTTGACTTTCAGAGTGTGAAGACGATCTGCGTGCCGTGAACAACAAAACCAGCAAGCAGGCAATTCTACATGCTATCATCGACGTGCAGGAGAAGATGAAGGTAATAACAAGAAAGTTTCAGTTGTTGCCCATTTGGCAGCAAAGATAACGTCCTTTATGCCTGTAACATCGTAAAACAAAATTGTGTTTTTTCTTACTTATAACTACAGTATGAATTGTGATTGTACTCTTTGCCAGATGATGAGTAGGCTAAAATATTCATTCAAACTATATATCCTAATATCACGGTATGTTGAATTTTGGTTTATGTGATACAATCCTAACAAGACCTTTTTCTCTTGTTTGCAGGCTCACGAAAAGTTGAGTTGACTCATTATCAGCTTCGATACAAGGTTATTATCAGCATCAGTTTTGTCTTCATATCTTGTGCGTAATGTGTTTTAAAAAGGATATTATGTGGACATCTTCCGTTTCACTTCAACACCTTTGGCTTTTTATTTGACTGTTCATATTTTTTAAAATCATCCAGCTTTATTCAGTGTGCAGAAATCATACAACACAAAATAGATACATAATAAACAAAATAACAAAAGTAAGGAATGTAAAGTTATCATTTGTCTTTCGTTTAAACAGTTGTTGATGTAATCATTTATATAACAAGAAAGAAGGTTTCATATTTCACAAAAATACACATAATAGACAAAATAAACAAAAGTAAGGGAATGTAAAGTAACATTATTTGTATGTCGTTTAAACAGTAAGGCAATCATTTTTATAACCAAGAAGAAGGTATGTATATGTATAACAAATCATATCATAATTGTGTAATTTAACAGATTACTGGGGGAATATTCGTCATTGTCAGGTGTCGTCGTTTTAGTTTGCATTGGGAATATTATATATCTGGCTTCATATTTTGTATGAAGCAAGTGTATGTAACATATTTGGCGACGAGGATACGTTCTAGCAGGTTGTGTGGTGTTTCTGGTTTCTGTATGGTGTTTCTGGTATGCCATATATTATCAGTTTTTCACTTAGGGTCAGTTCATGTTGTGTTTTGCTTCTCCACCATATGGTGAATTGTTTCCAGAACTATGTAAAATAATGACAGTGTATCAATTGGTGTTAGATTGTGTGCTTTTCATTACAATTATTATGCTTTTCATTACTATTCGACTGTTCATATGGGGCAAGGGACTGTCAGAGAAGTCCGGTCGTCTCGACTCACAAAACATCAACGATCTTCCAACACTAACATCTGCTTGGAGAATTAAGCTGATTTTCTGTGACAACATTGACCTGTTACTTGACTATTTATCCTCTTCTATAAGTAATAAACATCATTGTGACCCAACAAATATCTGGATTTTTAAACTTCCTTCCATAATGCTAGACAATATCTAGTACTACAACAGACAACAATCTACTAGTATTTCATCGCCACGCCCCCAATGATTTCCTTAAGAGAACGGCAGGGAATTGACGAACCCTATTATTTGGACAGCAAAACCGGTTTATCATGATGATTGGGCTGATCTCATTTAAATTCAAGGGGTTTGAACGGATGGTCAGAATTTTCGTACCCTCCCGTCAACTTTATCTTGAAGTTTCTAGCGCCTTTGTAATTTTCATAAACATTTACTTTTGAGAACTTGAAGCTTCGAAGGAGACCGATCTTCTGTTACAGTGTTAAGTGTACCAAAGGCCTTGACTATAAAACGTCCTTGAAACAAGCCAAGATATGTGCGGAATGACAACAAAACCAAGAGGCCTAGGTGAAAGGTCATTACTAAGTATGGCGCCGCCGGAGAGAGGGCGGAAGTGTTCTTCTCTACTTTCTTTCGCCGCTAAAATCGCCTGTGTGGACTTCCCATGGATCCGACTTGTGCTACTCTGGGTCCTGGTCATTATCTGTTCCCTTGTGCACCAGTTCGCGCCCCTGAAAGACTCGTACCTGAACAACACAGACAACGTTTTGAACGCGTACTTCGCGGAGTGGAGCTGGGCTTGGACTGTCATCCCTACCGCCATCTTCGTCCTGTTGAGCAGCTATGTTTACACCGTGGGTAGCGTCAGGGCTGTTCTCAAACACCAAGTCCGCATGGTTGTGGGTACCGTGGTGTGGAGAGTGTGGGTGGGCTTGTTTCTCGGCGTGCGACAGTGGACGGTAAGCTGCTCGGACCGCAGCTTTGGCGCCAACTCGACGGCGTGCGAGGAGGCAGGACACCGCTGGGAGGGGTACGACATCTCCGGTCACACCTTCCTCCTCAGTTTCTGCATCTTCTTCATCACCTCTGAACTGTCGGTGCTCCTACGATGGGACAGTATCCCTGAACGGTTAGAAAAGCTGGGAACCGTTCGTTTACGTGACGAGCAGCCGTCGGATCGGAGTGATGAAGGAGCCGAAGATGAAACCCACACCGTAGAAGAATCAGACTCGTCCCTTGAGTGGTTTTACCGACTCACTCCGTTCCTCTGGCCCCTGTTTTGTCTACTGGTCCTCCTGAGGTTGTTGTGGGGATTCCTGCTGACTGTCACCGCCCTGTACTTCCACACGGTAGGAGAGAAGCTGATCGGTCTGTTCTGCGGGACGTTCTCGTGGTGGATGACGTACGAGGTTTGGTACAAACGCGCGTTCCCAGGCAGACCAGGGGGAGGGCCACTCGGGCTTGACGGAACACACACGCACGGCACGCCGCAGCCTGGACAGATAGAGCTACCGGCTACCAACTAGTTCGCTACAGTGAGAGTTACCGAGGATGTGAAGTTTTTGTTGTATGTTTATGTCATACTTGAATGGGATGAAGCGTGTCTGGGATGGAATTTCAGGTCAGGAAAACTAAATTTTCATAAGTCAATTCTATATAGATGTAAAGTTTAATCAATGCTATCCCATAGCATACGGTGTGAGGCAAAATTTCGATATCGCTGACGCAAAACGGGTACTAGTACTTGTTTTGTATCGTAGGCTGGTTCTAGCTATTTATGGGCGGTACCCGAAAAATAAATAGACGCCTCACGTACGTATAGCTTGTTTGGCGGCTACATTTGTATTTCAAACGCTTCAAGTATGAAATGATGACGAAAATGTGATTAATTAGAAATGGCAATAGATGTCAATATTAGGCAGATTTCCTCATCTAAAATATTTTTTAGATGAGGACTTAATTGTAAAAACGTTGACCTTTGTAGCATTAGACATGGTGTTGGCACAGTAGCTCTGGTGACTTGAATTCAGTTGCATTTAATTTACTCTAAGTAATTTTGTCTGTATATGTACAGCACTAGTATTGCAATATGTTCTTTGAATGAATGTTATGAATGCTGTTAACATGAGTAATGGAGCAGTGCACTCGAGATTGCAGGAAATAAAAATTAATTTTTATTAATTGATTAATACAGGCGAAACTCTTGATTACATCTAAGGCACAAATATACACATGTACTGGTATTCTGCATGCAGCATCAAACAATCCTTTTACATTATTAACTATCTTTGGAAATAGCTCCAACAACAGGATATTAAAAACCTAGGTCAACAGTTCCAAACTAACAAAAAGCACTAAAACTTCAATCAACAAACCAAACCTGATAACCACTACCGATCAATTAACTTACACAGGTAGAATGAAATGTCAAATACAGATTGTGACAAAAATTATTCTTTAATTTAAACAGCTGGGCATGGACTACATATTTTATACAACTGGCTTTAGTTGTTAGTTCTTACACAAATCAACTTCCTATAGCATACTGATATCTGTCAGGCAAAAATGCGATGTCACTGACGAAAAACTGATACCTGAACTGAACTGAGGCTGGTTTTAGCTATTCAAGTGTGGTACCCAAAATAGGTGTTTAACGTAGCATGTTTTCAGGCTATTCTAAATGCCCCAAGATTTCCTAATCCAGAATGTTTGTTTGTTTTGCCCCCCCCCCCCCCGCAATTGCAATGGATGCCTTTAAATCAAAGAGGTAGCTGTACTAAAATCAAGCTACAACAAAAATGAACACATTTCATGCGTACCAATAACACATTTTGTAACATCAAAAATAACCTCTTTTCTTCTTTACATCACAACATGATGCATTACAAGATATGCCTGTCGCGTTGTAAGCCCTTGAGTAGCGGGCCGTCCCCAGGCAGACCGGGGAAGGCGTTCTTGTACCACCGCCCGTAGGTGAGGTACCAGGAGACCGTCCCGCAGGCCAGGCCAACCAACTTGTGACTGATGGTGTGGAAGTAGATCGCCGTGGTCAGCAACATGAACTCCCACAGAAAGGTCAACGCGCTGAGGACACCAAACAACACCGAGACGATGGGAGTAAGCCTGTAGTACAACTCCAGACTAGTCTCGCGATCGTCCTGAGGTTGAGTCAAAATTTCGTTTCTGCTTTTAGTACCTCTCTTCTTTTTCGAGCCGCCGCGCTCTTTGTTTTTCTCCTCGAGAGCTTCTTGGAGCCTGTCCCACGTCTTTAAGACGGAGAGTTCCGAGGTGATGAGCAAGGCACAGAAGCTAAGAAGGAAGGCGTGGCCCGAGATGTCAAAACCGTTCCACGTAAAACCAGCTTTCACACATGTCCGCTTGTCCGTGTAGTCTGGATCAGTACAACTGCCGGTGTAGTGTAGTACGGCGTCAAAAATAGACGTAAAGACGAACCAGATGCCCGTTCCCACCAGAAGCCGCGACAGGTGTTTGAAGACCGCTGACGTGTTGGTTAGCGTGTACACGTAGCTCGTCAGCGCTATGAAAACAGTAGTCACGAGCAAAGTCCAAGCCCACGAGAGTTTCACGAAGTGTTGGTTCAAAACGTTGCCCTTGTTGGAGAAGTAGGACTCCGGTAGGGGGATGAGGTCGTGTACGATGGACAGGGGGATGAGCACGAACCAGTAGACTACGATTCTCTTGTGGGGATCGACGAGAACGACGTTGGCAAGAGAGGAAAGCATGGAACTGAACAGTCGGTCGTTTTTCCTGGTGGCCGCCATTTTGGTTTGACCTTGCTGACCTTGATGGGTGAGGCCATTGCACAAACGGGGGTGGCCATCATGTCTGAGGCAGTAATGGTAATTTATGAGCGCATGAATTTGGTCAGTTTCTAATGAAAACAAACAAACAAACAAACAAACAAAAACATGCTGTAAATCATACAAAGCAGCTACAGAATGAGCAAATGTTGGCTGTAAATTGCAAAAAAACAAACTTTTTGCCAAACTTTTTATTTGCATGCTCGAAAAGGACTGGCTGGCTAATAAAGCTGACTTATAATGACAATTTGTTGAGCAACAACCTTTATTAATGCTTTTAATACCATTTTTTTTCTTCTCTAAAATGTTTAAAAAAGTAACGTTATCAGGTTAAAATATTTTCCACAATAATGACAACACTATTCCGACTAATTTAATTCAAATGATCTAGATTTCCAACACAGCATAAAACAAAGCACCTATGACCAAGCAATTCTAAATTATTCATGTTTAACTTTTCCAATCACGAAAGCGTCTGTAATACATGTAATATCTAACGTTACAGTATAACTCAGTGTTCATATTTTTTATCTAGATGCAATTAACATTACAGTTGTTGTGTGAAATAACATTAATTACTTGACTATAAAGAGCATGCAATGCACCAAAACATTAATCTTTTAATGACTTATCAATTCAAATAAATATAAAACATATAAAATTGCAAGAAGCAGTAAAATCAGTTTCATCACCCCAGATAACTAAGTTTGTTAAAATGTCATACATGTAGTATTTTTATTCAATGATGATTACAATGAGAAAGTTAGATGATGAATAATTGTATGATCATGAAAGGAAAAAAAAATGAATAAACATTATACTACTTTAACATCATCGTTTGCTCTGTCTTTCAGTACCTACTGCTATTCCTGCATTGGTACTTTTGTCAAATTGTTTTTGCTTCCATTTTTCTCAAAATGGTCATATACTAGCTTCTATTGCTGTACAAAATTTCTTGTGTATTTGCTAGCAAGAGGGTAAGCGATTCTAATTAACTTATTCATTGAATGAAGTTAACCCATCTTGACATTTTCTGTGAAGTCATAAAATATTGACAAACTTGCATACTAATGAAATAATTAAATTTCAGTTTAAACATTTTCCTGCGTTATTGTTATAGTGTAAATCAGCAGAAAAATATGCCAACTCTTTAATTCCTTATAACTATTGATGTAATCAAAGCACAAAACTATCAAATAAACAAGAACATGATACACCTTTCTTTTTTTACATTTTTTTTCGCTCAAGACTTACAATTAATTTCTTTCTGTTTCCATTCTACAGTGTAGTTTTGCTTGAAAATGACCTGGTCTGGATGCCATCACTGTTAAGAGGGATCAACTAAACAACAAAGTCGACATAACTAGAATGGCATCCAGTCTTAAAACTTTCAAGTTGTTCATGGCTCAAGAAAACTTGCCGTCATCATGAACATAGCCTTTATGATTGCACTGGGAGTAAATTGGGTTCTTAAGCATCTTCTTTTGTACAATCAAACTCCGAACATTAGGAGATGTAGATCCTTGCTCATTTACTAAAAGTTCTGTTACCACATTTACACATCTGCTTTGAAGTAGAAGCTTTAAATTTTGTGAAGTATTGCGGGTGGGTTGGGGGAGATTTAAGCTCAGCAAGGGAGAAGAGCAATATGCACCATCTACTTTTTAGAACATTTGCCGAGATATCCAATTGAAAAGCAGGCTCTACTACGAGTGACAAGTCTTACAAGAATTATGAGGTATGTATGGTACGTAGCAGATGTAGTGATCGATGAAATAGTTTGCACAATTTTTGCTGATGCACGAAAATGCCTTAGAGGGGAAGAAATACCCACACACACCCACACGCACACACACTGGAATGATGGTTTTGCAGGGTACAATACAAATGGTCTTTGCTGAAGAGAAGGTGTAGAAATGATTTACCCTGCTCTAAGTCCAAGCATACTTCATTCACGGCCATACAAACAGGAGATGTATGGATGTTCTTGACATATGGAACTCACATTGTGCGAGTTCTCAAAGCTGAGCTTTAAATATGGTGGACTGACGATCACTCTTCTTCTTAAAACCATTGCAGGTACGTACAAATTATCAGATGAGTGTTGTCATAAAAGTTCATCTGTGTTGGAAGTTACATGTTTGATCGTTCACCAGATACCTTTGAGTCAGTGTTGATGTCACACTTCAGAGGATCCACCTGACAAGTTTCACTGGGTCAGTCTACTGAGGAAGACCAGAGTGACTGGTCAAAAGGTCTAGTCTACGTGAGAACAATTCTTTGTACTGGAACAAAAGTTTTAACTTGAAACACCAGATGAGTTTACAGTGACATGTTTCTGTCTTCGACAAGGCCGTCCAATACCACCATATTTCAATCCCTGCTTTAAAATAAGAACAGTTGGAGAACATTCTTGGAATTTCCACTTGCAACTTCTGATCTTGTGTTAAGTATTAGTCAAATAATGTTGATGTGGCCTACATGTCCATACCACCTCCGTAATGCTAATTGTACCTATAATATATGTCGTAAAAAGCACTTCCTCAGAGATGCCTGCTTGTCTGTCATGGCTTCAGTCTGTTCTGACTGAGATTTGGCAGTTTTCTGCTTCGAGCAACTGTGGACATGTCGTAACAAGATTGTCTAATAGTACCATTGCTAGGGCTATGAACATCATGGTAAGAGATTAGCTAAAAATGACACACTGTAGTGTGAGGTAAATAGATGCGCAGGCATGTCTGGAGAAGTGCTACACACGACGTTGCCTCAAACATTCGAAGATGACCAAATATTCATAACCAGTCTCTGTCCTAGCCACGAACCCCGCGCAAAAACCCACTTCCTCTTGAAATACATGTACATGAGTGAGGCTGAGAGAGCGAGAACGGACGCCCCTGTCATTATGTGTGGACTCCTCCGCTTGACCATGCGGAATATCGTGGGCATGACGGCCGACCAGAGGATGTTGTTCACGTTCCCCAGCACCTGTCAATCAATCAATATCAACCAATCAATCAAATGCAATATTCAAAACAGAATGAGCAATCCAACGAGATGTCATAGAGGCAGTGGATTGCTCTGGTGAGTCCTTGACAAAGACTTAGATTATACAGGTGAAAATTTAGCTAAGTCCAATTCCTTGTGTTGGAAATTACAGCTTAAACTTCCTCCATAACATGCCCTATCGTTAAATGAAGCCTTTTTGACATTGAACTTCACCTGTTTGAATGACGGGTGTTCCTGTACCCTGGTGTAGTAGTTCTGGATGTGCGGGCGGATCCCGTTGCCCCAGTAACGGCGGGACAGCCCCAGGAATGTCAGCCGGTGTAGGAGGGTGGACAGCGCAATGTCAGCCGCTGTGAAGGTTTCGCAGCACAGCCACATCTGCTGTCCTGACTCTGTGGGAGGAACAGCGGGTCAGAAGACTTAACAAATTTGGAAAGGAAAGGTTATCTATTCAGTCTTGTAAGACATCAAGAGGTAAGACCAGCTAGTGGTTAGCCACCCTGCCACTGAACCAATTTTAAGAGGTTGTGGGAGTTTGAATCCCGGATGTCACTCACGCAACATGCACGCTTACTTTTTAACGATAACAGCCTAAAAGTATTATTATGGAGATGTACTCATTTGTAGCCTCTATTTTCATGACTTATCTTTCAGAGCCCCCTACACACCTATCTTTATCTAACACTGTTATATCCTAAGAGATTTAAGTGGAGAGTATATGTATATATGAGTGTATTCTATTAATCTCCAAGCAGAGGTTGTAGGGGATAATTGTGACCTTAACATGCCCTGTTGTTTTTCTGTCGCTACCCCCACCAATACAGGAAAAAACCTGGGCATATTATAATTCTTGGTCACAATCTTCCCCACCAACCTCTGCTTCGAGAGTAATATTGTACATGTATGTGAGCTTCATTCATATTAGATCATTGATAGCAACTCCTGATCATGAAAATTTAATGAAGCTTCGCCACCCTAGTAAAAACATATCTCATGCAAGTCATCATTTGATATGCATCAGCAATGACAGTTTCCCTCAGAGGTCGTTAGGCTAAAAACTACATTGTGTGTATGAAAGAGACGGAGGCCTTGACACAGTCATAGTCCATAGAGAATCCATCGGTGACTACACTATATAGCCTTATCAATAATTCATGGTATGATTGGAATGTGATTAAGGCTTACAGAAGACATTGTTACTCATCACAACAAGCATTTGAAATACAAAAACATATAATACCGGTAATCAAATTTGACTTCTCATGTTGAAAAGGCACCAGTAAACTGACTTTGCAAGAGAAAATGCATAAATGAAAAAATGACCATGAATCCAAAATATTTAAAAAAAACAGACATACATGTATACACAGAACTACGTCAATGAAGGTTAGAATCCAGGTAATGAGATAGACATGAAAACTCAAGCAACTGGATAGATTTTAAAAACTTATTTCAAAATCTACCCAGATGCTTGAATAACAGTTTTTTTTATGTACAATACACAGAGCTGTCATACTGTTGTGCCTATGGGCTGTTTTCTGATTCTCACTCACTCACACTCACACACTATCCAATTTATTCTGAATGTACCAAACGGTACAAGGTTGTCAGGAAGTGATAGATGGGTAGGTGTGGTGCACAGAGGACATTAAGGACCTTTCCCTGTCATTATGTCAGTAACAGGGGTGAAAATACATGGTTTTCTCTTACAGTTTGACACATCTGGCACACACGATATGTTGTTAGATTACAGAATTGGTGCTTACACTAAGAGCATACCGATAAACTCTGTTCTTTTTTTTTACTAGTGTATTTCTGTTAATGGAGCAATAGAGTAATGGAGTATTCATTCACAGACCTATTCAGGCAGTCAACCTATTTTCAAAGTATTCACAAACCTATTAGTGATAGCATATGAGCAGGAAGAAAGCCAAAGAATTTTGTCATTTTACTTACATTTGGCCAATACATACTAATCTAATTTCTTGGTTCACACAATCAGATTTTTATCTGAAGAAAACATAATATCACATGCACCATTTAGGACATGAATCAAACATAAAATGCTCCTATTTTGATACCTGAATTGTTAGAGAAAGTCCTTGACCTCCAAGTCACATTCTACAGACTGAGAATAAGTCTTATTCTATTAGCCTAATTGTTTCTGGTGACCCATGATGTAATTTAAGTTTGAATGATGACAGCAGTTGTGAATGCTACGCTATAAGGTCCTGTACCCCAAATTGAATTGTCTGTAGCAAGTTCTAGTCATGTGGAATTTCACCTGACTCCAATGTGATTACGCCTGGCTGATCTAGTTTTCTTTGACTTTTTGCTCATTTCAACTACTAGTATCCAAATGATTTATGAAATTTTGTTTTTCGACATGCTAAGCTGTGATAACTGTAGGAAACATTGTCAGAGCACTGTCTGACTAATGTAGAAAAATGGTTTCATCCAATCGACTCAAAACATCTTATTTATTTAAAACATCTTGTTAGCTAGAAGAATTAATAAATTTTCAGAAGATTTATCTATTTTAACTCTCCAAGCAGAAGTTTAGCTTGCGAATTCAGCTAATTTTTGGCATGTTTTTAGCCATTTTTATTGAGCTGTCTTTTCTTAAATCTATTTTTTTAAGGCAAATGGTAACTGTCTGGCAAATAGATAACTGCCTGACCAATTTAATACTGTCTTGCAAGTACTGAAAGAGTTCCTTGGATATTAGAAAACTTACCTAATTTGAGCAGGCATAAACAAGAAAGCAAACAAACCAAACCTCTGAATTATTCCTCATTGTACATTAAGATATCGTTAGGATACAACATATGCCTTTTGACAGTGATCTATGTGAACGCACAACCCAAAGCTCATTCCCAATAATCTTGCTAAGACTGATTTGCCAGGATAAGGCCTGGCGACAAATTGTTGATAGCAGTGCGTTTGGCTGATGTCTCCTGTAGGACTTAGGCTTAGCCTGAGGTCTGTTTGAAGTACTGACATGGTTTATGGCTTGTCTTACATTCCCATACAGTGTCTGTCTCCGTGGAACAATGAGGGAAATGGGGTTCATATTTTATCTCTAGAAATGAGGCTATGGTTTTAGTTTGGAGTGTACATGTGTGTTTGACCATGTGTACTTGTGTATGGGTATATATATACATTATGTAATTTGATATTCAATCCGATGGAGTATTAATAGAAGTACAGTCAAACTTCCAAGTGACCACTTCATTTTCAAGTGTATGGCGGAAAACGTTTTTTGATGATAACTAGCAAGAAATCCTGATGGAATCGGCCACTTTTCCATTGATTCGACAGCATGACAGTCTTTGTGCTGTGTAAGCTGGTACCATGCAGGTGGGTCACTTTGGATCAATGGAGCAATCTCTGGTAAGGTGGGTTGCTTTTGCTGCATTTTTGTCACCCTCACTTTTTGTATAAGAAGACCACTTTTCCTTGGTCCCCTGGGTGGTCGTCTTAGACAAGTTTGAATGTATATCAATATGTGTCTTGTTAATAGCCTACCTTGCGTCTCCTTGAACCTGAGGACGAGTTCCTTCTCCACGAAGTCGAGAGTCTCCTCCAGGTCCTGCAGCAGCCTCTTCATGTAGTTGATGTCGTCATGCTGCTGCAGCTGCTGTTGAAGCTGCTTCTGTTTCTTCATGTACGCCTCGCTCAGGTCGGGGTGTTCGCTCGCGCGCTTGGTCAGCGTCTGTTCTGTCTGAGCTATCATGCCTGGATGGACACAGGTCTGGTTTTAATGTTTGTTTGTTTTATAGTACGATGCTAAAGTTTACTGCAACACAAACCTGGTAATACACCAGAATTGTATTCAGTAACGTTGAGGAAAGTACTTCAAGTGGTACTGTATACTAACATTATACAGCAACAAGGAACTGTTGTATGGCTGATGAAAGCACTTCAGCACTGGGACAGAAACTTATTTATAATATCATGATACATGGTTGTGACAAGAATGTCTTTCAGCACCAAGGACAGAAACACTGGTGGTGGGATACTTAAAGATATGGCAAAGAACACTTTTCAGACTTGCTTGACATGATGTTACATCAAACAAAACTGAGATGATGGGCAAAAATAACTCAGGCTGGCTGAAACACTGCTTTGTGCTGTTCACTTTTATTACCTTTTAGTTTAGCGGTAGCGTAGCTGGGAATCATGCTGTCTGCTGTCAGCTGCGGGTGGAGGATACAGCCGTGGGTATACGCCGCCACGGGCAGGTTGTCCAGGATCTCACGGAAATATCGGACGCGCCTTCCCGCCCTGGTGTCCTCGGGAGGCACAAGCCTCGGTACGGAGTCTACACGGAACAACGGAGAAATGTATGCACAACAGTTACTTAAAATGGGAAAGTACTGTAAAAGTGCTATATTTCAGATTGACGCCTTATCAATTTACTAGAGTTATTCATCATAATTATCAAGATAAGAAAATCTAAGTTATCATGGGAAGCAGTCAGATCTTTTTCTTTTCAAAGCAATAATAATATATGGTTGAACCCTTGATTGTTACTTAGATGGTTATTGCAAAAATTTAAGTATGCTTTAAGGAAGGGTATCAATTGGCTTATATTGACTTTTTTACTTCACAATTTATTGTGCTCTCATGGAAAAGCAACAAACCTTTGAACAAACAACATTCACAAAAACAACGCAGGAATTTCGAAGAGGAAGTTCTGGAAGATACAGATAATGCTACAACAGAAAATAAAAGGAAAGCGGGACCAACTTACTTCAATGGAAATCTCTCATTCTGGGGCACAAAATTGTACAAAGATGAAATTTGCTGGAATAGTGAAATAAACATCAAAGCTGCTCAGAGCCATGCAAACATAATGATAAAATGAAACTACAGTAAACATATATATTACATATATATCTATAGACAACAAGAACAGCAAAATAAAATACATCATAGAAAATGAAAGAGACAAACAAAAATGCAAGAGATAAGTTTTAAATTTTCGTTTGCAACTGTGACAAGTGCAATGTACATGTATAAAAGACCTCTCTAGTCATATGCATTATGTAACATTAGGATGATACAAAGAGTAAATTTTCCAGTCATTTTTTTTTACAAATTAACTTGAATCAACCCTACTGGATTGTAAGTAGGGCAGTGAATGTCAATTTCAGACAGATTTCTTAATTTAGAAAATTTGTTTATTAAGCCGCCCTGAAATTGCTTTTGATACCTTTAAAATATGTCACTTTTGGCGAAAAATGCTACATAATGCCCCTTAAACAGGATTTACCATCAGTGAAGGTTTCCTCTATGTAGTCGATGATACTGTTGGCGTCTGCCAGGATCTGTTCCCCGTGTACCAGGACAGGAACCTCGCCCGACGGGTTGATACGCATGAACCACGGCTCCGTGTTCTCGTTAAGAGGCAGGCTGACATCATGTTCCTCGTACTTTAGACACTTCTCTATAAGGGCCAGTCGTGCCTGGGGAGTGAAGGGTACAATGTAAGGTTAGGCCTGGGGAAAAATGTTGTGTTTCCTGTTTAGAGTCCTGAAAAAATTTGTGGTCAATCAGTTGGAAAAATTTATGTAACGAAACCATTCAATTTACTGTATACTTACAATATTAATACACTGTTCAAATTTCAAATTGTTGAGAAGCATTATATTTTGTACTGCTACAATATTTCCATCTTGTTTCCATCAATGACCACCACTTCATCTGATATATCTAAAATATCATATCTCAGTCAAATGCAACAAAATGACCATTTAATACGATAACTAAATGAATTGATGCATTAAAAACATCCTAAAACCATACTTTGTAGATGAGACTGCTATCAAATCCCCAATAAATTTTGCTGTTCTTTATCCCCCACCAACCTACCATCTTGTTTCCATTGTTGCAATGAGTATAAGCTATTGTTTTTCAGTGGAAGCGTATATCTATAAGCTTCTAGTTTTAAGGCACATGGTTTTGTTCTAATTCTGTAAGTCTTGATGCATATCAATTGATTTGCCATTGGTAATGATAGTTTCATTGCAATCGTGCCACCAAAGGTGTACATTTCTATATTGTCTATAACTCACTATTGGGAGACCGAATCAATGAAACAAGCAGAAAATTACATATTCATTACTTTTCATGCCAAGTTAATGACCCATATATCCTAGTGGCAAATTGAAAAAAATGCCACACTGTCTACTGAATTCACCCTTTTCTGATCTAAAGCAATAAACAGTTCAAGAAAAAGAACACACTGCTAAACATTAACAGGGTACGTAGCATTCATGGTCAAGTCAATGGTACAGAAAGTATATTGTATGTGCTTAATTGTAAAGAGTTCTCCAATATCATTAATAGTATCTTATCAATGGTCCCAACATAGCACTGTACTGAGTATGTACAATCATTACATTGGTGTTATTCAAGAATAGGAAACATCACATGAGAGCTGCTATGGTACAAACACAGTGGCGTGAGATTCACCAAGCAAACATAATGCTCTAAAAATACCACTGGGGTATATTATTACACTTCCTGTCCTTCTACTTCCATTCACCGTTGTATATAATATAACAATTTCATACTTAATTTCTATAGGGAAATTAAAATTTAACAATTCAAGGAAAATTCAAGGAATCATACGTTGTGATGATCAGAAAATTTTGGGGTAAGTTTTTTCTTCATGAATTATATTCTAGCAAAGGTGTTATGCTAATAATACCGAACGGTGTCACTTTCACTAGTCGCCCCGCCCACCACTGCTTCAATATTGAATTGCAACGTGATTTCTGCACAAATCTTGGAATTTGCAGAAAGGTAGGGTGCATATAAGTGTACGCTGTGTCTACACACCTTCTGGGAGTAAAATGATGTAACAAAATGGTACAAAACCAGCTTGGTTTCCCGCGGCCCGTCGTCACTTTCACCTTCTGCGGTCGCCATTGTTATCTTCCTATTGCCTGGAACGCATCAAAATGTGCAAGTCGGTAAAGGTACATAACAGACTAATAGAAAATAACTAAAGGACTAAAAGCTATTTAATTCTGAATACAAGGCAATATATCATGTAGAAGGAAAACATGGGTTATTGGTTTTGTTAGCACTTTTGTCGCGTTACTAGCAATTTAATTGAAAATGCCGGTTTTGGTTTGTTTGCGGTGTCTTATTCACCCTGACCCAGGAGCCTTTGCGCGAAAAGTGGACTGTACTATTTCAAAATCAGGGTCCTTGACTATATTTTGTATTTGATCGAAACATTTGTCTTATGATTCAAACCTCCATTAACATGGACTATTAACATGGACTAAATTTAATTTAATTTTATTTTCCACTGCATTTTTACTTTATTTATTGTATTGTTAATTGACTACGACTATATTGCAATATTTTGTCTTTTGTTGTGGATCAATCCGGTCAAGGGTCACCATTTACCTGCAAAGGGAGGGTGAAATTTTACCACGTTTTGTCTCTTTCTTGTCGTCAAAACACTTCTAGCTAGCTACCCCTGGAGAGTGACAGTCGACTCCTAAGCTTCTTCCTGTATAGAAGGGTCCTTTGTAATCGTTTGGAAGGCAGACAAATGGAGAAGAGCGTGCAGCCAAGCGAAAGAGGCGCGGGCGATTCTTCTTCAGCCTCTGCGAGTGCAAGTTCCAGTAAAGCGGTTGAAATCCCGACCGTGGCACAGGTTATCGAAACGCAGGCCAAGTCCGCTTCTGCTTCGGGCGGGTCGTCTGTCTCTGGACCCCCGGGCTCGCTTCCACACCCGGGGTTCACCCTCTTCAAGCAGGGCGCCGAGGCCAGGCTGTACCGGGGCACGTTTCTAGGCAAACCCACGGTACTGAAGGAACGGTTCAGTAAGAAGTACAGGCACCCCAGACTGGACGAAAAGCTGACAACCAAGAGGACACAGGGAGAAGCCAGGACAGTGGCTCGGGCAAGGAAAGCAGGTACACTGATGAGTGATAAGTTATTATTATATATGAAATATTTGGTAATTTCACAAACTAGTCGAAAAATTTGCACACTTAATCTAAATCAAACTTTGAAAGTTGCACTATTTGTACTGTACACTGGAACATGTAGTAGTATTTTGATATGTTAGGAGAGTACTGGAGAGATGATTGTCAATAATAGCAACACCCTAAGCCTTTTCAAACTCAAAGAGAAGATTTTAGTATACTGTACAGGGTAGTAAGATTTCAAATTAATGTGACTTTCCAAATTTATGCAGCACTTATCTACCATTGTAATCCAAATCAAATCAAATACATGTATCTGTTGGAGACTTGGAGTATGTCAACTTTGAAAAAGTCCCACTTTGTAAAGAATTGCTATAGTGTATGAAGCTCTAAAATTAGAGACCAGAGTGAGACACATTGTACTTAAATCAGGATGAGCTTTGTAACAATGATTTTGAAATGAACAATAATAATGGCTGATAATGATTTAAATTGTTCTATCATGAAATTTCATCTGTGTTGGTAGTTACATGTTTAAAGTTAAAACTTTTGGTCCAGCACAAAAAAAAATTCTCTCACCTAGAGCTTTCGACCAGTTGCTCTGGTCTTCCTCAGTAGACTGACCCAGTGCAGCTTGTCACGTGGCTTCTTTGAAGTGTGACGTCATCACTTTGTCTTTCTCCCACTCCTACAGGTATCCCCACCCCCTGTATCTACTTTGTCAACTACCAGTCCAACTGTATCTACATGGAAGACATGCAGTCTGCGACCACCTCGCGTGACTACATCGTGGCTGTGCAGTCCATCCACGCAGGCGACAGCTTCGGCGCCCTGCAACCAATCATGGACAAGATCGGAAAAACCCTCGCGACCATGCACGACGGAGACATCATCCACGGAGACCTGACCACGTCTAACATAATGCTGAAACAGGACGCAACGATGCCTGAGCCGCAGGTCATTCTGATCGACTTCGGTCTTAGCTCGGTGTCTCAGCTCCCTGAAGATAAGGGGGTGGATCTGTACGTCTTGGAGAAAGCGTTTCTCAGCACACATCCAAACACTGAGACACTGTTCCGTGTCATTCTTAAAAGTTACACTAAACACTCAAGAAAGGCAAAGGATGTTATTAAGAAGTTAGATGAAGTAAGGCTGAGAGGTAGGAAGCGTACAATGGTTGGATGATACTGTACATGTGTAACAGTGTAATTTACGGAGCTTTTTTACATTTTGTTAAGAGTAACTCTTGGCATGTTCCTCTTTCTTTGAAAAGTAAGTAATTTTTGTACCAAACAAATGCTTCACAAGACAGGTACCGGTGATATGACCTTGAAATAATTACGTACACGTGGGAGTATCACTAATAACTTCATGTAAGTTATACCATTTAGAGTACACACCAATGTGCCCTGAAAACAGTTCCTTGCAGAGGTTTAAGTTGTTCAGTATATATAGATTTTGCAGATATGGCTAGTCTTACAATAAAGATTTCCTAATAAGTGACCTAACTAGAGTTAACTCGTGTTGCCTTTTCTTGTTCAGAACTGGACTTTCTAAATCTGGTCTGTCCTTTGGTCTTTAGACCTGCTACCTGTTTACATTGATGTCCAAGGTTGTTATGCTATCTCGAACCGTTTTTGCCTAGAATGCAACAGGGAGAAACACTTAGAGACTTTATTTGCTATATAATGGTGTGAACAAACGTGTCAACCAAAACTAAAAATGAACATGAACTTTAAAATCAAACTCGAAACATTAGAGTGTATGGTGGTTCTACCATTACTACCATGTGGCATACTCTAAAATTCTACAAATCTGTGCGTGATAATAATATTAATAACAGTACCGCAGTCCTGTCTTTTAAACAGCATTTCCTACAGTCTCTACCACTACATAGTACTGTACTTCTAGACGAAACTAAATGTTGATAACAGGTTATGATAATATAAATGTACAAAATTAACATGCTACAGATTAGTATCAGATAGTAGACTGACTACATGTCCTACAAGTTTTTTTCTCAAGACTAGGTTGATATAACAAAACATTAAATAAGTTCTCATCCATAAGCATATAACAAGCATGACTTGACTTGCACAACTGACTTATGACTATGAGTTGACTTATTTAAACTATGAGCCAACAACTAGAACAAGAAAAAAGGTAGAATAACTAGTTAGTCAAACAAATATTTCCTAAGTTTCTAAAATACAATTGTATCAAACAACTATGAACGATTATTGAAAAAAACTTTCCTACAAGTTCAAAACCAATATTCCTACAGTTAGTATAGGTCAGAAAAACATCAATGGTGCATTTCTCTTCTTTGTGGGTCACAGAGGTGTTCGATTCATCAGAGGATTCCTTCTTCTCACAGCAGTCTTTACAAATGGATTTTGTTTTGCTTTTCAAGTAAACAGTTTGAAAACTGGATACACTACATACATCTTCGACCTCATGGTGAATGCTTGCATGCATATTAGATTATCAAATTTGTGTGAAGTTGTTTTGATAAACTACGTGCTGCCCTCCTTTCTGTATGAGTCCACTTATGGAATTTCTGAGCACCAGTTTTTATTAACCGCCCGATCCAATTGTTACTACATCTGTCATTCTCTTGTGTGAGACTGCATATGTCTCTTCAGACGACCCAGCCGACTGAACTGTCTGCTGCACTCCTCACACGTGTAGGGTTTCTCCCGTGTGGGTCCTGATGTGTCTCTTCAGATTAGCCACATCACTGAACTGCCTGCTGCACTTCTCGCACGTGTAGGGTTTCTCACCTGTGTGAGTCCGCATATGTTGCTTCAGATTGCCCATGGTACTGAACTGCCTGCTGCACTCCTCACACCTGTAGGGTTTCTCCCCTGTGTGAGTCCTCATGTGAGACTTCAGACTACTCAGCTGACTGAACTGCCTGCTGCATTCATCACAGCTGTAGGGTTTCTCTCCTGTGTGAGTCCGCATGTGAGTCTTCAGATGACTCAGCTGACTGAACTGTCTGCTGCACTCCTCACACCTGTAGGGTTTGTCCCCTGTGTGAGTATGCATGTGAGTCTTTAGACTGCCCAGCTGACTGAACTGCTTGCTACACTCTTCACACTTGTAGGGTTTGTCCCCTGTGTGAGTATGCATGTGAGTTGTCAGATGACTCAGCAGACTGAACTGTCTGCTGCACTCCTCACACCTGTAGAGTTTCTCCCCTGTGTGAGTCCGCATGTGAATCTTCAGACTGCCCAGCCGACTGAACTGCCTGCTGCATTCCTCACACCTGTAGGGTTTCTCTCCTGTGTGAGTATGCATGTGAGCTGTCAGATGACTCTGCTGACTGAACTGTCTGCGGCACTCATCACACCTGTAGGGTTTCTCCCCTGTGTGAGTCCGCATGTGAATCTTCAGACTGCCCAGCTGACTGAACTGCTTGCTGCACTCCTCACACCCGTAGTTGCAGGCTTTTGGGGTGGAACATCTGCTGCCAAGTCCACCTTGTGGTTCACTGCTGATACCATCTGGGCTGCTGCTATTTGTAGCCATGGTATCAGCAACTGAAACCAGTCCCACAGACGTCTGTAAAAATCAAACTGCATTGTATAAAGGCATGCGCATTTGTGAAGTTAAATGTTACCTTACAAAAGCAGCAAAGTGAAACATTTCTAATTGGATATTTAGAGTGTTTTTATCTAGTGATGCATACCAGTTCACTGGACTTGGATCCGGACTTCCGGACTTGTAAGAATGTTTAGGTTCAAGTTCAAAAAACCTTCCATGCCCAGACATCCTCACTACTCTCACGGCCACGGACACCATGTAACTCACCTTACCAGACTCAGGCTTGGTTTCAGCCAGCTGAACTACCACTTATTCCAGCATCACTGTATCAGTAGTCCCGAGTGCAAATGTGGGCATCCAAATGAGACACCAGAACACTATTTATTACACTGCAAATGTTATAATACTGAAAGGACCAAAATGTTGTTATCCATATCTTGCCTTCATCTTGAAAACATACTCCCTTCCGACCCACTCAACGTAAACGACGCCACATTATGTACTTTACTTCTTACAGGTAGCCCCTCCCTCCCATACACTACCAACTGCCGTATCTTTGATATTGTGTTTAACTATATCCACCACTCTGGAAGATTTTACCAATCTCAATAATGTTATGCTAGGTATTGGTGCGCCAGCCACTTTCATTTTATGTTAATGCTATACTTTATGTCATCTTTATGTTTACATTTGTATTATGTTTTATGAGCAGCGGATTTACATAAGCACAACAAGTGCTTCCTATCCAATGCTCAAAAATCCATGTGAATAAAATAAAATAAAAAAACCTTAATGTCAAGAACCGAGTCCAGACTTATTACCATGGAAGACCATTTCACATACCTAAAACCTCCTTAGATTGCAAAATATTTGCTGCAAAATGTAGAAAACATTGCCATCGGGCATCGTCAAGTATCGGCCTCCATGTTATGTGGCCAAAGTTTCACCCAGACAACATTGCAAGGTTGCCAACATGCCATTTTGTCTATGCCATAGGTTTAGTTCCGGACTTTTAGTTCTGGACTTGAATCCGGACCTGAACCTAAAATTGGGTTTAGGTATGCATCACTATTTTTATCTGTATCAGCATAACCGGTATAACAGCTCTTCGGCATAACACACCAGCTTTGCATGCACGTGGTGTGTTGGCAGCTAGCTATACAACACTACACTGAATGACCTGCTACACTAATCTTTCAATTTCTTTGCAAGTCTAACTGTAGGAGTTTTTTTTATTATTTAACCTCCTTGTTTAAAGCTTTCCTGTTCCACTCTATGTCAGTTCTTGGAAGATATGAGTTTTTGAACACCTTCAGTTCTTGGTTGATAACTCTGATACATGTATTTTAAGTAAAGTAAGTACATGTACTGGTTACTGATATTTGAAGTAAAGAGAGACTGATATTTGAAGGATATTAAACTCGATGTTTTTCAGAGTAAGAACATATTATTTGGTCATCTAACGCCCAGGTTATATTTCTACATGCAAGTTTCTGGGGTCTGCCTAAATACCTCAACCGACCGCAACCTACCTCAACCTACCGCGTAATGGGTTAATATGCAGTATACATGGGCTAACAACCTTTTCCAACGCTCTGGACACATTGTCTATGCTTGTATGAATGAAATTTAAAAGCATGAAGGGATCGACATCCAACTTTTGAAATAAATGATCTGTCTAGCCACCCCCCCCCCGAAGTTCGTTGGTTGGTTCCGCAAAGCGTTCCTCCTTGAGGTCAATGGAGGTCAAGCCGGTAGGCGTACGTGCTTAGCAGCTTGGATGTCAGGCTGGAAAACACTCGGTATATAGCTATTATAAGTTGGTTATGGTACTATTTGTTTACGGTCTGTTGCCTGTATAAAGCAAAAAGTGTCCAGAGATTCCCCATGCAGGCGCAACAATGAATAACTTTTAAAAACTGGTAAATACGTCAGAGTTAGTGTTTTTTACCATTTTCGCATGCGCGAAAATGGTAACTCAGACGAGATTGAGATTGGATCAACGGATGGATGGATCAACGGTTCCACCCTTCAACGGCCATGCAGACATGCTAAGTCACCGCATGTCGCTAGATGTCGTTGTTGCGACGGCCATGCAGACATGCTGAGTTGCCGCATGTCGCTAGATGTCGTTGTTGCGAGTGCACTTTTTACCATTTATGCCTTGGACGTTTGTATACTTTCCATTATGGTTGCTAATTTCAAAATCATAGTTCTATTAATGTTGCATAACAAAGCTGCTGACAAAACAACTTAATTTGTCTTGAACAATAACTTGATTTTATTATTTGCCAAAAATGTTGATAAAGACATGTCTATAATCAAGGATTCACAGTAATCAAGGATTTTAATAAACTGCATAAATTATGTCAATGAGCATTAGCAGTGTGGATTAGTCTAGATGTTCAGATTTCCATTAGCCGGCAGTCCAGAGGGTCACACGTCCGACCAATCAAGGCGCTGCAGGTAAAGCTTATTAAAAGCCTCCTTTTCAGGCGTTCCCGGATCGGTGTTTTTGTGTGTGTGTGTGGTTGGGGGGGGGGTGTATTTTCTGACCAAACGTAGATCGCACGCAATAGAAGCTCCGGCCTACATAGCTGTCTGTGGAACTATTTATATTACCTGGGTGCCTAACTTTCACCAACATGTCTTTTGTATTTTAGGAAATTAATTAATTAATGAGTGAGTGTTTAATTAACTTAAATAGGTATTGCATTGTTTGGCAAGGTATTTTCCATTGACAATTTTTAATAGATCAGGTTGATCAAATGATATAATGTAAACAATTATATATGATTAGTAAAAGATGACTTTTGAAGTTCTCTTCGAGTATTATTTTAGGGTTGAATCAGGGTCAACGCGAAAAAAATCATGATCCGGTGATCGACATCATGCCCCCCCGCACACTTCATGTATTCAGTGTTCTAATACCGTCTTCAGTCTGCATTTGCAGATAGATTTTCAAGATTTCAGGATAAAAATTACACAATCTGCAATTTGAAGAATGAAAAAAACTATGGTCCTCACAACTTCATATTCCCTTTGTTTGACCCGCCCGGCGCCCAAATCCCGCTGCGATTCAAGCCGCGGCAGCTTCCCGAGCCATGCAAATAAACCTAGTCCTGACGCCACAGCCTCCGATTTCCACCGAGCCAGCCCCGAGCGCATGCCGACAGCGAGGGATGTGGCTCAGATTTCCGACGATTTCCTTATTTAGATCATTCGGAAGACTTCGGGTAGCAAACAAAATGGCCGCCATGCACATGATTTTATACTAGTAGCTTCGCTTCTCAACCGAAATGAGGAAGTTTAACCTCATTTGCAGACTTTAGCGGCCATGGAGTTGATTTGGGGAAGTGCTGAGACGCGATTTCGCTACGGCATATGGGATTTTGCCGCGGAGGGAGTTACGTACGCCGGCAAAAACTTGCTTCAGCGATCGGCTCCAGAAAATTTATCTTTATGCTGCCGCTCAAGTCTTCGAAGGTGGTTTAACGAAGTTTATATAAATAATAAAGCCACTTTGCGTAGATCGATCTCCGTTTTCTTGCGATGGTATGAAAATTCAAGTACAGTATATTTTCAAAACGTTTGATATTTCTTTGTTCGTTGCCACATGTTGTTTATTTATCTTATTGTCATGTACAGTTACCAGCGTGAGTCTGAGTCGAGCCATTGTTCTTATGTGGCCGTTAGCACATGTTGTTTAAACAGACAGCAACATTGAAGAAAAGAACCGAGTTAACAGACATCGGCACGTTCCTTGAAGTCAGGTTTCCCGCCGTATTTAAATAAGAAATGTGTGGGCCCGCGGCGTTTTGAAAAGACGCGACGCGCTTTGGAAAGACCCCGCGCCGTGGCTCATTCAAATTCGCTACATTTTTTGCTAAGTTTAATGTCTTCACCCACGATTTTTGACCGTCAATGTTGACGGTAGGACTTATATTTTTACCGTCCGACGGGAAAAAATACCGTCAATTGTCGGTAAAACGGGCGCTGGCTAAAGCCCTGGTTGAATGTCACGAGGTTTGTAAACTTAGATGTTGGGGACAAAGCCATAGAAGAGATTTTGTAATAAATTATATATATATATATATTAACGTTACTTATAATTTAAGTTAAAATGTACTTTTGTGTCTCATTTTTTATTCTGTTAAAAAGACTCTTAAAAGAGAGAAAACAGGTTATAAACTGTTATATACTTGATTTTTGTAATGTTTTAAACTTAAAGAGTTGAAATATAGAAGTGCATGTTCTCTCATTATATACAATGTTGATGAGAACTAGAACCATTTATATAACTTAGGTAAATTGAAATGATAGGATGGGGAAAATGTTCGTAAAAACTGTAAGCCTGTAAGCGGCGAAAATGGTCAGCTTTTGCAGAAGCACTTGTTTCCATGTATACAAGTATAGACAATGTATCCAGAGCATTGGAAAAGGTTGTTAGCCCATGTATACTGCATATTAACCCATTACGCGGTCAGTTGCGGTCGGTTGAGGTATTTAGGCATACCGCCAGTTTCTGTGTTCGACTGGCCTACAATAGTTAGTGAACCATCCCTCACGCCCTCTTCAGATAGCCTGGGTGCCATCCGAATTTGTAACGGCTCCCCCAAGGGGGGCACCCAGGCTACTCTTCAGACACATGACGACCAGACTCATGATGGAAACCTCGTGAAGGCGGGAAGATGAGGGGACGAGACGAGTGAGGGGGTTACGGATATACGTAACAAACATCAAAAACCACAATCTGTTTTGCCAATCGATACTTGTTCAAACCTCTGCATTGATGTCAGCACGAGACATTCAAACATTATAAAATTAGATCAATGGTCTTCGATTTAACACTTTACCAAGAATCATTCAAGAGATCCAAAAACCCATTACAGAGCCTTCACTTTTGTTTACGGATACCAAACTTCCATCTTGTGATAGATAAAACCAGTCAAACCGTCTTTTTGCGAAATAATAGCACAGGTCTACGAGGGGTAATGTTGGGTTGTAATGTTCTTTTTTGCTAGAATGCAAACATCAAGTATTTTGGGGTGAAGACTTTTCATAATATATATAGCGATCCACCACGACACGTCACAAAAATGCACGAGGCATTCTTCATCATTTCTTCCACTAGTACTGAAATCTGTTACACGTGAATGTTCTGTGTACGTACCTGCAAGGTATGTTGGAGCAAAACGATGCAAACACACAAAAACTAGGATGAAATCTCGACAGAAACTGGTGAAAGACTCGGCACAGACTCGACCTCTCTCACCCACACGACGTGAAGAGAAACACACGACGAATCGAAGGACTCTACGCAAATGAGCTCCGCGGAGCTGGAACAACAATTTTTTGGCGACGCCATCGGAACTAGCCTAATTGGTCAGCAATTTTCATACGAATTTCAATGAGAAAATTGTGCTACATACCATATTGGTAAATGGCAAAATTTCATATTTGCAGATAATTAGAAAGTCAATCAACCATAATTATCATATCACATATCAAACTCAACTCATAAATACCACTAAATAAAAATCTAAAAACTGTCATCAGCCTTGTTTATTTGTTGACTGTCCATTTCTGAAGGATTCTCTGTATTAAGAGTCCCACAACACATTTAATTTCAAACCTATATATGTACATGTATTCTATAAACATGTCTATCTATATGCAATGGAAAATACTGTCACAGATTTGTGATGCAAGCTGTCATTCTGAATTCTAATTCTTCTGCTAATTTATCATTGGCTGCTAATTATGTTTACCTTCACAGAAGGAAAACAGATTGTTTTTGACCAGTTTTTTTTTCCTCTTCTTCTTCTCCAAACAAATAAGGTCAATGACCTGAACCAGACATCTCTCACCATGGTAACTGGTGCTGTAGCAACAACATGTGGTGTTGGGTTACATTATGTGGTGTTGGGTTACATTATGTAGCAGAACAGAGTTGGAGAGCTTGCTGACCATACTTATGAATGTATTTGACTTTGAGGAAGAATAAATCTTGCAGTAGTTGTTGAGACAGATCAGGTGAAGGTAAAAATTATGCATTTTCTTTGCAAATGTTACCTCTCAGACTAGTTTATCTTTAGCTCTTGATAGTTTCCTGGGTCATTGACCATCTGTTTCTGATGGTCCTTCATTTTGATCATCATCATCACCATCATCATCTTCATCATCATCATGGCTTCCTCCATCACTGTCCTCCTCTGACTCCTCCAGGTCTGGGAAGTCATCCCCCCCTCCTAGCGCAGGTGGGTACATCCTGGCTGCCAGGCAGCAGTAGGTGTCAAACACTGACAACCTGTTTTGTATTTGAATAAGATTAGAAAAGTTAGTATGTTTCAGCATGGTAAAATGGTACCAGCTGCGGGCACTTTGGGCAGTCTATTATAGAATTCTAAAATAATGGGTGGAAATTTTGCTGAGGTTTTCTATCTACATGTAGACTTCTCACCAATTTTTTGCTTTTACTATATGAAGACCAGTTTTCCTCCATCACCTGGGAGGTCATCTTAGATCTCTAATTATCAAGAAGAAGCAAATATGTTGATACAAACCTATTGGGAATATCCAGTAGGTGTTCCCACCTATGCGCTCCTTGGTTGTACCTGTACAGAAACTTATTCACCAATGGTTGATCGGGGTCTGGTGGTCGACTGGCCAATCCAAACAGTTCGTCACGAGACTCGGACACGACGAGGTGGAAATAGCTGCAGTCGGGCAGCTCGCTCGTTGCTGTCTTCCACTTGTCCCGAGCTGGGTTGTATGACATCATCTTGGTCAGGTCGTAGTCAATGCAGAATATTCTCCCGCCACATGAGACAGCGTTGGCTATCCCATCCAGCTTGCCTCGGAGGGAAGCATTTAGGCTCTCCCAACTGTCGATGTTGTGGTCGTAACGCATCGTCCTCTCAGGACCAATGGCGTACAGCCGATCGCTTAAACTCACACAGACAGTGTCATCATCCAGTGAGACTGAAGCAACTTTAAACCTATGGAAAGATTTTAAATGACCATAAGAAAAGGATCTTTATTTCAGATAGAAATGTACTCTGGCTACTCTAACCCCAGTTTCTCTGAAATGTTAGATTGTATCGATGGTGTTCAGAGAATGTTTTTGCAGAAGTTTGGCAACTTCACACCATTTCATTCTAATACATTACTGTGTAATGTCCTTGGTAAAATGAAGGAAATACAATCTGTAACATAACTTCTTACCACTGGTTTACTTTAGGCTGATACTGCTGGACAGGCGTGTTATCATCATCGGAGAACAGATACAGACAGCCATGGGAGCAAATCAGCTCACGGGGATGGCGGGGCCACATCAGCGGTGCTGCCCTCTCAACCCAGCAGCTGCCAAAATGGTCATACTGGAGAAACCTGTGAATGACATGTTCATCATAAAACCACAGGTGTGAATCATCCTTAGGCCACACTGATTTAATTTCATGGATGACATCTGCACGCGCATTGATTTTCAGCACAACACACCCCTAAATACTAAAGTATGAATGCAAAGACTTAGTACTTGTAGCTGCACCAGTTGTGATGAAATTTAAGCTTGTTATAAAGGTATAGGCATTTTGCATACTAGTATTAGTAGTTGGTCACTCAATTATGGATATGCTAACCTTAGCATGGTAAAAGTCAATGAGAAATTGGACAAGAATTGAGCTGTCATTGGATGGCCTTTTGTACAATGGTTTCTAACCTTGGTGCTGAAGTTGTGTAGATAGCATAAATGTCGCCAGATGGCGTGGCTACCACGGCTGCAGGGCAGGTGTCCCCAGGTTTGGACATACTGTAAACTTCTCTCGTTAAAGGGCTGTAGCAGGCCAGAGTCCCGTCCAACTCCTCTGCACTCGCCAGGCGGCCCGCCCTGAGGTCCTCCCAGGCAGAGTCCGTGTGACAGGCACCGAAGATCAGCAACATTTCCTCCGCAGTCATCCCGTATCTCTTCCGACTACCCTCCGGCGGTCCCCCGCTGTCTCCTTCGGACTCATAATTCGGCTGGATATGAGTGGCTATTTGTGCCATTAGTGGCTCACTGATCAACTTGTGGCTTTTTATTATCTCGATGTCGGCTTGCGTCAAGAGAGGGAACCGAATCTTCTGAAGGATTTCCGGCAGGTGAGCGGATCTTGCAGACTCGTCCGATTGGACCCAACTTGCGGCTGCTTCCCAGACCATGGTTTCAGATTTCACGTCGAGCTCGTCACCACTGATCAAGTCTAGGAACTGGTCTGGGGACAGGTCTTTAAAACCTTCCGTCATACTCACACGAGGAAAGTATCTACAGATGAACGCCTTGCTGGACACTCGCAGCTTTTCAATATCATTTGAAACGGCAAAGAGGAAGGTCTGGACGACATTGCCGGTGTCCAGTTGGGCTTCTAAAAGTGCGGCACAAGTCTCGCAAACAAAGTCAACCTGCAGAAACTTTGCCGCAACAGCCAGTCTCTGAATGTCTTCTAACTCATCAGTGGCCAACTGGAGTTCTCCGCTGTAAGCGTACTGTAGGATAGATTGGATACTGTTCGGGTCCAAGCAGGGCTCTTGAACAGAGACGTGGTCGTCCTGCAGACCCACTGAGAACAGAGTACGGAAATAAGGGCTGACACCAGCTAAAACTAGCCGATGACTCGGGAACAGGCGCCCGCAGACTTCAAGAGTCACATCCTGGAACCCACCGTCTGCCTGAAGGTTCTTCAGGACCGCGAAGAAGCCCGAGAAATGCTTAGGATTTGAGTAAGTCACGGCTTGAGCTTCGACGAATTCGTCAGCACCGACGGCCGCCATGTTGGACAAGCTACAGTGACCTTTAACTTTTAACCTTTAGTAGTACATGTGGCGAGTCCAAAGTGCTACATGTCAGGTGGTTGTTCAATGGTAACATTACTGGTTACTGCTTCCAAATATTATTTTCGACTTAAGTTGGTTAACACATGTACTACGATGGTTTGACTTTCAAGTTTGTTTCAGCAGCCAAATCTACTATAATGTGATGTTAACGTTAGTCACAAAAATAACTGCTTTTCATACGGACATAGCAGACCCATTCTCACAAAAAGGAAATCACACACACGCATTGACCACAAAGAAATAACAAAAACAAACTTTAGTACAAGTAATAACTATATGTATTTCCTCATCAACAGAAGTGCATATAATAATAGATATAAGAAAATGGTGAAAACTAACAAAATGCAATGAGCAAGAGGTGCAGAACATTCCAAACTAGAGAATATTATAGTGAAACAAGAAACGAAGTGTGTAGGTCAGGCAAAGTAGAACAATAGACAAAGTGTGTAGATCAAGCAAAGTGGAACAATAAACATAAAGTGTGTAGGTTAAACAACAGTAGGATATCTATCGAGTACATGTAACATTATATAATTTCGGGTAAGAAAAGAATATGAATACAAATCTATGTAAGGTAATATATACTGGGCTTGTGAAATCTTATTACATTTGCAGAAAAGACTAAAAAAAAAACATGCTAAAGGGGCTGTTTTTCAAGTTGTGCCTAGAATACCTAATATTAGAGGATTTTCCCTAAAGCAAGGTCCTATATTGCCAAGTTGAACATAACCCTTTCTTGGGATAATTTTCTAGGATGTTATTGTGTGTTCGAAGCTCAAAATCATTTTCTTGAGTGTGTTTAAGCTTTGAACAGGTAATCACACTGTCTTTGCAGTATTTTGAAATTTGGCCATGAAATTTGGCCATGAAATTTGGCCATGAAATTTTAACCACAACACTAGATAATACATCACAGTCTTTAGAAATACATGTACTAAAATGTTATAAAAACATAAATACTGAATCAGTCATTGAGCTTGAATGACCAATGGCTACATTTGGCAGTGACTGTTCATATATGACTGGCCATGTCGGACTAAAAGAGATTGGCACTTTTGTCTTTCCAGTGCCTTTACAGAAAATGATGTCTATACCTATTGAAGGTGTGTATTGCCTATATTATACATGTAGGTACTAAGTGTTCAAACACATAATCAACTTAAACTAACTAGACCACAACTTAAACTGACTAGACCACATGGCTTCATAGTTCACATTGCAAACCTGTGTTCTTAGCTCTATTCAAGATAACAATAGATCAAGTTGTCCTTGTTATCCTACTTACCAAGTAAATAGTATCACTTGCCACCATTGTGAAGTGTTAACTCACTACCTCTACATGTCTTCAACATCACAATAAAGAACTACAAGACAGTACCAGTAATACATGTTAACTTCTAGTATTATCAAGTCACATTGCTAAACTTTCCATTTAGGAAAAGTCTTAAGAAACAGTGTTGTTACACTATCATGAAAATTGTTGAATGCAAATGATCTGTGCAATGTTGAGTTCTACCATCACCTGTTCCCCTTGTATGAGATATCACAGAAGTACAATGTAGCATCCCTTTTTAAGTCAAGAAAATTTCATCAAAAAGGAAAGTAGGAAAAGTATCACTAAGTTTTTCACCGGAAAGTACTTGAGACACTTGAGTAAATGGTTGCATTGAATGAGTGAAGAAAAGATATTTCTGCACTGTCTCTAAGTTGAAGAGGTTGGCCCTGCATCAGTGCTGAGCTGGTCCAGAAGAGACAACATGGTTCGACTGGCGTAGTCATCCCCACTGATGACATCAAACGACTCTATGGCACTCGTTTCAGTCTGTTCCTTTGGCTGTTCTATCTCGTTGTTTAACTTATCGATGAGATTTAGCATTGTCTTTGTGGCATAGCTCTCGTCCGCGATAGCCTCTGCTACCAGAGTACCGCCCCCTGACGGTGCTTCTTGGACAACTTCGGTTGTTTCTTCTTTCTTGGGTGGTGGCTCTGGCTGTGTAACAGGTATTTTGGTCATGTTGGGTATGCTGCCATCTTCTGAGGTGGGTTGGATGACAGCCTTGTACACCGGCTCTGCATCTGGACCCGTTTCGGACAGCACGGTCACAGAGCACTTGTGCACCTTCGACAAATGCCCCTCCCATTCTTCGAAGGTGGCAAAACTCTCCGGGCAGAACTCGCAGTTCAGCTTCTCACCGTCGCTCTGACTGGACGCGGCGGGAGCCTGGTTTTCCTGCGATGTGGATGGAACTTCAGCTGCGACCGCCTCTGTGGCGGGCAACACAGCAGGAACCGGAGGGTCTTCCTCCGCTGCCGACTCCCTCGGCTGCCTGCGACGGTACGCACGGGTGGTTTTCCTCTCGGTCTCGTGCCTCTTCTGGTGGCGCTCGAGAGCAAGGGTTGACATGAAGGACAGGTTGCACTGCGGACACTGGTGGCCCATCCCGTGAACCTTGACCTTGTGTACCTTGCGGTAATGAGTGTTGATGAACTTCTCATCACACAAGTCACACGGCCACTTCTTCTCTCCTGTAGGTCACAGAAAAAAAATGATTACACGGATCAAGGACTTCTTCATACATACTTGTCACATACATGACACATAGACGCATAGCTGCAGAAGCAGCTAAAAAGAGTAGAAACTGGCCAAATAGACAGATAGCATGCCAGGGGAGTTGGTCCACTAAAGGAGTACAGTCTGCAACTCCCTGATATGTTATCTGTCTGTTTGGCCAATTTCTACTCTTTTTAGCCACTTCTGAAGCCCAGTAGAGGCAATTAACAAGTATACATTAAACAGATGAAAATCTGACCAGTGTGAATCCTCTGATGGTCCTCCAAGGCATGTTGTTTGGAGAAGGACTTGGAGCAGTAGCTGCAGCTGTAGGGCCGGATCTTCTTGTGGATGGCATCCACGTGTTCACGCAGGGTACGGGCACACACAAACTTCTTCCCACAGCTGGGTACAGAAACAAAATGGTATGGTTGTGAAAGTTGGTTTTACTTTAGCATGTTGGCAGAAACATTTTAGCACACTACATTATGAAACACCTTGCAGTTACCTTTCAGTCTCAGAATTTTGCAGAAATATTGTTAAAAACAATATGCTTATTGCAAACTTGCCCACTTTGCTCTTCACGTGTATTACAGATCTAGTCTTACTGGTACGATGAGATAAAGAGCCAACCTGTCACACTGATGAGGACTGAGATCTTTGTTGTGAGAAAAGACGTGCCAGTCCAGCTGCTTCTTCCTGTAGAAGCTCCGGTCACACTTGTCACACCTGGGGGGGGGGAATTCAATGCCTTGGTCAAGCAACAGAGATGTGTGGCAATAATACAAAGTGTCAGGTCAAAAAATGTGTGGAACTCAGTTATCATTTGCAAATCGTAACTTCCTGGGAAATGCCGTTACACCACACGACTCCACTTAAATTAGGTGCTACTCACTTGAATGGTCGGAGTGACGGGTCATGCATGGTGGCAATGTGGGACCTCAGGGCATTCTGGTCCACAAAGGCCTTGTTGCAGCCCTTATATGGGCAATGTTCGTCCCTCAAGTTCAGGTGCACGGCCTTGATGTGCTTCTCGATCACCTGCTTGGTGTGTCCGGTCCGTCCGCAGACATTACAGGCGAAACGGTTCAGGTAGTCATCGACTGGGTGGGGTAAAATCAAACTGTAAATCAACCTTGTTGAGCTATCATTTGAATATATCATTACAGCCAGGTACTTTGAAGATGTCAGAAACAAACATATAGACAAACAGGCCAAAAACTGTGCACCTTTGGGGAGATAAAACACTTTTGATAGCTCAAGGTAAAACATTTGCATGACTCACCAGCCTTTCCATACTGGTCCTGATGTTCTTTTTTCTGGTGATGCTCCACAGCCCCACGATGCTTGTATGTCTTGTCACAGAACTTACACTTGAACATGCGGTCGCCACTGTGTCGAATCTATAACATTGGAAATAAACAATAACAAAATGTAAAAAACATCAAGCTCCTGGAAATGAAAAGTGCCATAAGTAGGTAATGAAATCATCTTACTCTCTTTTCAACTGGTAGAGGCTTGATTATGGACATTAATCATTATCATATTATAATATCTGAAGAGTTATTAAAACTTTTGTAGCCGAAATTGTTACAGTAGCAGTAACATTACCTAATTGATTTTTCTTGAGATATATGATGCCTGTTAATTACAATACAGTATAACAAACAATATAATATGATACCATATGATATTGCTAACCTCATGACGTCGTAGCAAGAAACCAGAAGAGAAGCCCATGTCACAGGTCGAACATTTGTGGGTCTTCAGTTTCTGAGGAAGAAAGAATACAGTTTTCAGTTTAAAAAAAAAATGGACAAAGCTTCTCTCCAGTCAGCATTTGGGAAAGAGTATGGTAGTTTTGACACACACCACAACCAGTGGACTATCTCTTGTACTACTGTGTAGCTCAAGGGCTATTGAACCGGAGATGGGCGCCGCCCTATGCACCACCTGTTGTGGGAAGGACTTTAACTTTAACCAACACAATGTATGGTAAGGCACTCACCTTGTCGTGAGTCCGGATATGCTGCTTGAAGTAGGTCTTCACCAGAAACTCCTTCTCGCACACTTGACACTTGTACTTGACCGGGTTCTCCCGGTGGATGTTCTGGTGGTCTAACAGGAGGGACTTGGTGCGGAAGCCTCGGCCGCACTGCTTGCACGACAGAGGCCATTTCCTGTCGTGGGCGATGGTAACGTGCCTTGCCAGGCTGGCGTCGGTGTGGAACCTCTTGTCGCACTGCGTACAGTGGTGCGCGGCGTCCGTGTGCGTGTACACAATGTGCTTCTTGAGCTGACCCTTTCTGGGGAAGAACTTCCCGCAGGTCTCGCACTGGTACTTCTGCGTGGTGCACACGCCGTGCGAAAGGAGGTGGTCTCGAAGTTTGCTCGGGGTCGGAAACACGCGCGCGCAGCCCGGCTGGGTACACTTGTGAGAGATGGGTGCCCAGTCTTTAGGGCGGTTGTGCACGGACTGGTGTTTCGTCAGAGTGCCCGTGTGAGCGAAGCGTAGCGGGCAGTGTGGACACTGGTGCGGCCTCATGTCTGGATCATTAGGGTGGTCGGCTAACTCGTGTTTGGCTTGGTAATGCCGACTAGTGAAGGTCTGATCGCACCCCTGATACGTACAGGGGTATCGTAGTGAAGGGTTAGGCTGGTGAAAGTGGCTCTCATGCTTACTGGAGGCCCGCTTGCTGATGAAAAGTTTCTTACAGTCGGGGTAACGACATGGCACCCACGGCGTGACCATTCTTCGAGACTTCCCTCTTCCTACTAACTGTATTCCAGGCTTGTACTCTGGGTCATCTTCTGTTCCTTCTTCCTGGGCAGTCTCCAACTGGTCTGGCACTTCCTTCTTGGTCTCAAGCATTTCGACGTCTTCAAATTGGTGCTGTGCCACGTGTTCCTGTAGGTGGCTTTTTAACCTGAAAGTCTTGGTACATCCCGGGTGGTCACATTTGCGTTGTTTTGGGTCTTTGCTCCCACCAGCGTGGGTTGCCATGTGAAGGTTGAAGGTGTACTGGCGAGTAAAGGACCGTGAACACTCGGAACAGTAATAGGGTTCGTTAGCTACTGTCTGATCTCTCTCTTCATCTTCTGCCTCTTCTTTCACAGTCAAGTCCTCATCTCCCACAGTAGTTTCATTTTCCTGATCTAACTTCAAGGCATCGGCTTTTAAAACATCTAACTTTTGTGGCTTTCTGCTCTTCCTGCGGGAAACCCTTATTATGTAGGAGTGATCTTCATTTTCCGACTGCTGTTTTGGAATTTCTTCCTTCCCCTTCCCAGATATGTGTTCTTCGTCACCCTCCTCTTTGTCAGCTGTGGTTTTGGAATACAAGTCCACCTGGAACTCCTTTCCAAACTCTTTCACTTTGGGCGCTCGTGAACTCCTTCTACGGGTTCCGCTTTCAGCTACTGCTTGGTTCTCACTGGCATTTTTGGGCGAGGCTGACTTAGTTTTCCTCTTTGCTCTTGTGGGCTTTTTCACTGGAGAAGAATCACGGACATAGTTGTGGTCGCCCGAAACTACTGGAGATGTGTGTATTTGTTCAGGCGGAGACGTCTGTATTTTTTCAGGCAGTTCTTTATCATTGCTTCCTTCTTTTTCAGGGGCGACGTTTTCCGATACAGTCTCTTCTGTAGTCACAGAAGATACAGTCTTCTCAAATGCTGCAGTACTGGTTTCTTCTTTCCCCTTCTGAACTTGATCGATAGCAGCATCATTTTCACTGCTATCTTCATTAGTACCTACCACAGCTGATTGCACACCTACCCTTTTGGGCTTCTTCCCCGAAAAAGTACTCTTCCTGGCTGTAAGCTTGATCCTCCTCTGGCTGGGTGGGCAGCTTACCGGGGCTTCCACTGTGGCTTCTGGCTTGCTGGTACTTGGTTGTGGAGCTCTGACGGATTTAGATGGTCCTGATGTTTCTTGCACAGAGGAAGATGTGGTAGTCATTTCTTTCATAGCCTGGGCATTGTCGCTTACAGTGGCACCTGAAGATAAATCCCCGACAGTTTTGTCCTCAAATCTGACTCTCTTAGTCTTACGACGAGGTGACATTGTAGGGCTAGAGGTTTGAATGGCAAGGCTTGCATCGAAACTGGTGCTTGCTTCCTTGTATGAAGATGTGCTTGGTATGATCTGTCCTGTACCAGAGAAACCAACAGCTCCATCGCCCATCTTGCTTACGTCTGGAATTATAACAGTCTTCTGGTCTGGTGACATGTTTAAACGCTCAAGGATCACTACTGGCTTTTTCTTCAGTGCCATATCCTCCATGTCTTGGTCTGTGCTGCTTGTGGAAGGAAGGATACGTGACCTTTTTCTGGAGGGGGACTGTGCAGGAGATGTGGCACCACTGCTCTTTGTCTTTCTGCCTGCTAGTCCCGATGGTTGCTCACCAGAACCTAAAGAATGCATGTTATTGTTAACAAATCAACCAATCAATCAATTAATCAATCAATCAATCAATCAATCAACCAGTAGTCATTCAAAACAATTACAGTATGATTATCAGATAATTGAAACTTAACTAGAACAGTAACATTTGCATTTAGCAAAATGCATAATGTTTACCTTCACATGGTCTAACCTAACTACTGCTAGATATCAATTCTTTCTCAAATACATTCAATACATGTACTAGTTACCAGTTACCATGGTGACAGACATCTGTTCCAGGTCAATGACCTTATGTGTTTGGAAAGGAAGAAGAAAGGAAACGGAGCAAAAAAAGAGTTTTCCTTCTGCAAGAGTAAACACAACCAATTATTATTATAACACACAATGCAGCTGAATAGTTGAGGTAGTGGCTCTCCTCAGGTACATGTATCTTATTCATGTTAATGCATCAAATTGTCTTTGATGCTTGTGTCTGGACAAATGTATTGGTGGTTACTACAACACTCTGTACCATCTCAGGTATTTCACCTTGTTGTCCCTTGAAGGAAACTTCCAAGACGTCAGTCTCTGTTGCAGTAAGACTAGCTCGTGTGGTCCTCCTGGTGGCGGTGACGGCAGGTGCCAACTCTGCTCCCTTCCCAGCATCCTCTGCTGCCTTCCCAGCATCCTCTGCTGCCTTCCCAGCATCCTCTGCACCAGGCTGCTGCTCAGCTCCCTTTTTGTTTTTTCCTGCACCCTGCCCCATCATGACCTGCAAAGGACATTAAAGATTTGTTTCAGCAGGGCTCGAAATACTTTTTCAGCATACAATGTACCTACACTGGTGTAAGTAACATTAAAAATTACCTGCAATATAATCTCCAAGCAGACCCTACTTTTCCTAAGGTGGCAAAACACAGAATCAAATTGGTCAGGCAGTATCCATTCACCAGAGAGGGCCCAACATGCGGTGGTCCATTTGACCACTATGGTAGCCCTTTGCCACCAATTCTACATTACAGAATTAGCCAACAGGGAGGTCATTAAAGGGAAATGGAAAATTTCATTTCATTAAAACTGCAACTGTAGATGTTCAATCAATTATTTTCAATCGTGCACAATAGCAACATTATCTACAATTTTTTACAACAGTGTACTAGTACATGTAATATCAACAGTTTTGATAGGAACGCACGGAACCATGACCATTTGCTATAAAAAAAAATCATTATCCTATGAAATCAGGCCGCTTACATATTGTATTGGGAGGCCCAGTCGCGTCTGTGTAAACGAACAAAAAATCCCACAAATCGCACCCCCAATAGGAGCCCCCAAAGAGCTTTTTTAAGCGACAGGAAACAAGGTTTGGGTACAGGGAAACTGTTTTGGGGGTTTCAACAAACAAACAACTGGCCGTTAACTCCTGGATAAGATCCAGATAATCGAGTCAACAACCTCTGCCCCAATCAGTGACCTGATTATCTACATAGTGCACAAATGGCACCCTTTCAGCTAAAATCGGACTTCACATCAGAGAACAAAACACCAACAAATGCGCCATAAATACTCGCTTAATATTACTTTTAGGATGGTTTATGATATCTGTACGCTGTTATGTTACGTTTGCATGGAGTAGATAGTTTTTAGTATCATGCGTTTTGGAAAGAAACCGAGAATTTTACCTGAAGTGTTTATCGGACGTGCAAAAACCCTTAGACAAGATGGCGGTCCTCAGTAGACTCATAAAGGAGGTGAAAGGTCATAGGTACAGGTCACTGATTCTGATAGATATGATAATGTTGTATATAGAATAGCATATATCATTTGATAAATTGAATCAACATCTACGTTAATCTATTTGTTCAAGCCTTCATATTCTATTTTGTTCGAGCCGAAACCTGTTTATCTGTTTTGACCTCTACCCAAGATGCATCAGTAAAGATGGCCGCGCACATGAGACAATAAATTTTCTCGTGAAAAAAGTCTACGTTGCATGCGCAATTTTGCATCTTTGGCGAAAAACCTCTTACCGTTGAGGTTCATATCAAGCTCCCCAGTAAGTGCCAGCATGGGAAGGCGGTGGAAGAAAAAGGTTTGTGTTTATACGAAGAGACAGAACTGTAGACGAACTGAGATGGTTTCTATTCTAGAGTGGGCATGTGTATGATGATAACTAACTTGTTGATATGCAAGTCATGTGGTGATGCTGTAGTATGTTCGCTTAAGCATAAACATTATGGCTATCTAGTCACAAATAAGCCACTCTCCTAAAATTATTGTCAGTGTGCAATGTTGGGGTGGGGGGTATAAAATAAATGATTCACCATTAACTATGATATTAAAGGTATAGAATATTGCTTGTTTTACTGCTGGAAGCCTTTGATAATTAGTTCCCATATGTTTGTATATCCCACAGAGGCCAGGACACGGGGGTCCGGGACAGAGACGGGACAGGCCCCACCGGGACCAGCGACCACAGAGACCTAACGAGTGGCAGGACACGTTTGTCAAGGAGAACAAAGACTTTGAGAGGTTCTACAAGGTTAAGTCCTTCTCTTCATGTTGTAGGCCGCAGGGATGGAAATTTAAGTGTTCTAGCCAGCTTCTGTCTCTCCTGTCATTTGACAGAATATTGCTGGTACTTGTCCTACAACTTATTGCATTACCAGCCATAGCAAAAGGGTCATACTTCACCTTTTTGTATCCATGACTTCTGGCTCTGATGAAGTTATACTAGATAAACTATTGGTACGGAGGCTCATAGGTGTTGCACAAAAAAGTGCTGTGCTGAATATAGTAACGTCTAGGATAATTTCCTGCATTGAACACTAGTTGTTATGTAGAGAATAATGTACGGAAATGTCAATTACTCAATATTATTCGACTGTTACAGGAACAAGGTATTGTCCCAGAGGGGGAGTGGGACCAGTTCCTGGAAGGGCTGAGGAGCCCCTTGCCTGCAACGTTCCGTATCACAGGGTATAAGAGGTAAGCTTACATGCATCTTCTACGTATGACAATTGAAGATTTGTATGATCATTTGGTTGCCTTAACTTCAATGTTTACTGAAGTACATATAAAATCCTATCTACAGGTACCTAAAGATTTCCTGCAAGTGTATTGTAACAAGTTCAATGAAGTGCACATGCCAAATCATAATGTATGTACATGAAGATCTTGTGAGACAATCTACTGCAAAAGTCTTTTTCCTTACTGACTGTAGTCCTGACCCCACCTTTCTCCCAGTCATGCGCAGGAGCTCCTAAGGAGACTGAAGGGGCAGTACATCAGTCAGCTGCTAGAGGTCACTTCTGAGGATGGAGAGCTGTTGGAAAAGCCCCAGCCTATCCCATGGTGAGGATGGTAACAAATGTACCCCCCCTCTTGTCTGGATAATGTTACAAAGTGGGTTTTGATCCAATCCTTAGCCCTTTTAGATAGGAATTCTTTTTTTTTCTACAAAACTGCACCAGTGCAGGTAACATTGAAAATAACTTGTACCGGATGAAACCTGCTGTACACCTGTATCACCTTAAGTGAATCTCTTACATCTAAAGATGTGATTGTCCAGACTTCCACTGTAGCACTCCCTGACCAGTTGTTGCACATGTGAAATCATCACAATGTTCTATGTTTTACTTTAGGTACCCGGATGAGCTTGCCTGGAGGACTAACTACTCCAGGAAGGACCTGAGACGGTCGCCAGCTCTGGCCAAGTTCCACGACTTCCTGGTTACAGAGACCGAGACTGTAAGTACTGATCAGCTCTGCACCGGTGGAATATTTTTATCATGCAATTCTACAAAAGATGTATATAATACTAGAGGGTAATATTTTCAAAGCAAATGCATATGAATGATATTTGCCTTCACATGGTCTAGCAAATGTACCTGATTTTACAAGGAATGTGGATTGCATGTTTGTAACTCATCTTTCAACACAGGTTATTACCTGTTCTGTTGTTCAATAGCCTTTGTTTATATTTATTTATTTGTTTGTTTATTTGTAGGGTAATGTAAGCAGGCAGGAGGCAGTGAGCATGATCCCTCCTCTACTGTTGGATGTACAGCCACACCATAAGGTAATAAGTGTTACAAAATGCTTATCAGATGACAAATTTGCTTTGTTGCAATTTCATTAGATCTACAGTTTAAACTTGAGTGGGTTAAATGACATCTTTCATCCCTTGTGTTTGTGTGTGCCCAGATCTTGGACATGTGTGCTGCCCCTGGTTCTAAGACTGCCCAGCTCATCGAGATGCTCCATACAGAGGATGGACAGAGTTTCCCAGGTTGCTTTTTTGATATTAATCATTCTGATCATTGAAGTTGAAGAATTATTCTTTTTAACTTCCTACTGCTTAAAACTAACCATGTGAAACTTTGTGCCAGAAGGCTACCTCAGTCAGAGAAGGTTAGCATGTCAACAGACAGCAAGTACCAGTTGTATATTGAGCTCAGTGAATTCAATAAGGCTATGAATGGAAATTTTTTATCTCACGTTCATGTTTAGTTTGTTTCTTACCAAGAATTGTTTCCAAATCTGAGATAGATTTTTTAATAAAGCCTGTTGTTAACACATTGCTTCCTATAAAATTTGGTTTAATGATTTGGTTGACGAGCCAATTATTCAGCATATTTTGCTGTTTGCAGGTGGTTTTGTTGTTGCCAATGATGCGGACAACAAGCGTTGTTACATGCTGGTTCATCAGGCCAAGAGACTGAACAGTCCGTGTTTCCTGGTCACCAACCATGATGCCAGCCACATGCCCAACATGACTGTACCCGCCGTAAGTGTTTGGTAGTCAAATTTGACTCAAGCTTAACTCAAATTCGATTTGATTCGTATAGGAAGTTAGGTGTGGCCTAAATCTGGAGAGACTGCTCCCAAACGTCAGCCAACCTTGGTTGGTGACGGGCTTTATTAACAACATTTGCTACCTCAGCTGCATTTGAATGGAATACCTTAAGTTATTATGAATAAACTTCTATGTCAGTTAATGCTTTGGTAGAGCTTGGTAAAAGGAAGAAATGATCTGTTCTGGTAAGACTGAGGGATTTCTTTGTGAGATAAGGCAACTCCCAACTTTCTAAAAACTGTTTATCACTGCAGGAAGGTGAAGAGGGTACTACAGGCACTCTGGCCTATGACAGGGTACTTTGTGATGTACCATGCAGGTTAGTTTTGTTTAATGTTGAAATAAATCTGAATAATCCATTGCAGGGCTAGCTAGCAATTTTGTTTCTAACATTCTACATAATACAACTCAGTGTTCGAAATACCTGTCTGCAGTCTGCAATCTGCAGATAGATTTTCAAGATTGCAGAAGAAAAATTTATACAATCTGCAATTTTGCAGCAGGAAAAATTGGCACTTGGGATTTGGTGCTCTTGGCCCCAAGGACAGACAACACTTAAGCTCCTGTTCTGAAACAACAGGAGTTTCTTCACTAATTTACATCAACTTTGTCTTGACTTGTCTACCTTTTGTTTCCTTTTGGACTTCCAAAAATTTGTCTTCACTAATTTGCATATCAATCAATAGTTCATGCTTATAAACCTTCAAGATTGTAGTATAGAGGCTTGTGTATTTGCAGAAAGTATTTCCAAATTGCAGAACAAAATTTTGACTCTTCTGCAATATTGCAGAGCACTGAAAAAAAGTATTTCGACCACTGCAACTTATCTTAATGTATAATAGCACTCACATTATCAATGTTGTACATTTGTAATACTGCATACTACTACATGTACATGGTAATACAGTGTAACATACATGTATGAAACAATGAAATATTTAAAAGGTTTTAATACTCAAAATGTTTAATATGATACCACGGCTTTCTTGACATACTACTAGTACTAGTACTGACTATAAGAAATTCAATATAAAATGTATATTTCACTTCTAGTGGAGATGGTACCATGCGGAAAAACCCAGATGTGTGGAAGAAGTGGTCACCAGGACAGGGCCAGAACCTGCACAAGTAAGCACGGACAAAATTATGGAAGTCAGACACAACCAAGTGTTTTATTCAGACGACATTTTGGCTACCATGTCACCTTTCTCCGGGCAATTATGACTCGTTCACATTGCATAGCACAGGTGTTGTTGCTTTACATACCTTGTACATATACACACAGTTACAGGGAACGTACAGGAGTGTGATACATACAAACATCACCAAAAAGCATTTGAGATTTTGGAAACCGAAAATTGATTGTTTGATTGGTTAGTTGATTGATTGATTGATTGACTGGGCCCTTTCCGATCCAGTCTCCAGTTGAGGATAGTGCGGAGAGGGATCGAGCTGCTGAGGGTGGGGGGGCAGCTGGTGTACTCCACCTGCTCACTCAACCCCCTAGAGGACGAGGCTGTCATTGCAGCTCTGCTAACTGAGTGTGAAGGTAAGCCTTTCTGTTCCATCACTCTCACTCACTCACTCACTATCCGGTTTATCGTCTGTTGTTTCCCATCTTTTGAGGGTTAGACATACTTGCACTGAGGCTCGATGGCAGCTCGCCACTTCTGTATCTGTATCGGTATAGCCGGGGACGTCAGTCTGGTACTTGGCGTAACACACCAGCTTGCCTCTAAACTGTGGGTTGACATCCATACATAACATATTAATTAATATGTTTGGACTCTTTGTTATGTTTTGTTGTGGTTTTGAAGTAATCTTGTCACAGTAAATTTAGTATACTAGTGATGTAAATGAAACTTTACAAAGCCATAGATGAATGAAGTACATGTATGCAATATCATACACAATCATGTTCTTGAGTTAATATTGAATGAGTCTTCCATTGTCTCACCTAGACTCTGTGGAACTAGTCGACGTGTCCGACAAACTCATTGGTTTGAAGAGGCTTTCTGGAGTCTCCTCCTGGAAGGTGGGTGTATTATCACAGCACGTATGCCATATTTTTAATGATAATTTGTTAGCATCCAGTTGTATTGTGGTCAGCACTCTAACTTTTGTATGAAAGGTTGGGAGCTCAAATCCTGTCCTAGCCACCAAAGTTCAGCCCAGCATTTGCCAGCAAATGTGAAATGTTTATCTGGCATCGAGGCTTGTATCTTTTATATCAAGTTGAATGTCTTGAATACATGTGTTGAATTTTAGGTAATGACCAAGAAAGGTGAGTTCTACAGCTCCATAGAAGAAGTGCCAACAGACAGAAGTACCAACCTCAGAAGGGCGTCCATGTTCCCTCCTCCCGACCCGGACAAGCTCAACGCCATGCACCTCGACAGATGGTAACTATATAGTTTAAAGCATCCAATGGAATTTCATGGTGGCAAAACTGGATTTTCAAAGTCAATTTTGGCATCAGCACATCATTTTCTTGCCATATTTTTAAATAATCTGACAAACGTCATTGCAAAAAGTAAACAATCATCTGTAAATATTGTGTACTAGTTGATTATTTGACTGGTGTTGCTTTTTTTTCATTTATACAGCATTAGGATTTTGCCCCACCACCAAGACACTGGAGGGTTTTTTGTTGCTGTCCTGAGGAAGACCAAAGCTCTGCCATGGACAAGACAGGGCAAGGCTGACCGCAGGAGAGAAGAGTCAGAACTGACTGGTCAGTATCAATGTAATGTGTATTTGTTGAGTGTGACGTGTATTTGTTGAAAATAAGCAGTATGCATTTGTTTCTCCAGTTAAATAGGTAGTTTTTTTAGAGTAATCATTACTAATGTGTGTATTTGTTTAGTGTAATGTGTATTTGTTGAGTGTAATGTGTATTTGTTGAGTGTAATGTGTATTTGTTGAGTGTAATGTGTATTTGTTGAGTGTAATGTGTATTTGTTGAGTGTAATGTGTATTATTACTTATTACTTTGTGGAGCAATGTAAAACCACTCCTTTTGTCCTTTAAAAGTACAATGTATCTGCCTTTCAGGAGACGAAGCCAAGTCGTCAGATACAAGTGCCGCTCCCGGGCAGGCAGGGGAGGGGGGCGTCAGGCAGGAAACTGGGGCGGCTGCAGAGGCTGATGGGAAGGGGTCAGACACAGGTCAAGGAGAAGGGGATGATGGGAAGAACGAAGATGAAGCAGGGAATAGTAACGGAAGTGAAGGCCTTGCCAGGTAATCTATTTGAGAAAATGTAATCCAGGTACTGATGTCTTTTGCTGTGAAGTTTGATACTTGAGATCAACACAGTACAGACAGCTCACCTTAAATTGTCCGTTGCTCTTCCGTTAACCTTCTTCAGGAGTTGATGATTCAATTTCTTTTCTCAGACCTCCTCCAGCCAAGAAAGCCAAGTTAGCCTGGGAAGGGTCCTACAAAGAGGATCCCTTTGTCTTCTTCACAGAAGATGAGGAGCTGTGGCCCATTATGAGGTTCTTTGAAGTTTATCTTGTCGGATTTCCAGATTTCGATTGAAGCTAGACAATTGTGTAATGATTGTTCAAAATTGCTTTTCTCCCAGAGCAAAATATGTAGGAAGTTTTGATGTTTTCTTTGCTTTGCGGTTGAGGCTGTCTAATGCAGCTAGTAATCGCTTTGTGATTTTTTCAGGGATTTCTACCAGATTTCAGACACTTTCCCCCACCTCCAACTTCTGGTTCGCTGTTACGAGGGGAAAAAACGTACGGTGTACCTGGTGTCCAAGGAAGTTAAAGACATCCTAACGTACAATGAGAACAGCCTCAAGGTACTTCAGAATCTGTAACAATATTTCACATACGTCTACCATGATCTACACAATGTTGCATTTTATGGATAACCTGTATACAGGGACAGAATAAAGAAGATTCTATTTGACTCATTTGCGTCAACCGTGTCTTGACTTTGTCTAACTTTTGTTTCTTATTGCACTATCAAAAAAGTACCTGTGTGTAAAGATCCCTCCTATATGGCTTGTCTTCAAGTTTTCTATTGTCTCCTTCTACAGGTTATCAACTGTGGTGTCCGTGTGATGGTCAGGAGCAGGAACGACAAGTCAAAAACCATGTCTCTCTTCAGGCTGGCACAGGACGTAAGAAAACCTGTTTAAAGTTGAAATTTTTCTTCCGACACAAAGAATTGTTCTCACTTAGAGCTTTCGACCAGTCACTCTGATCTTCTTCAATAGACTGACCCAGTGAGGCTTGTCATGTGGCTTTCAAACCATGATCTTGCTGTTCCAAAGTGGCATTACTACAGTAACAGTGACTGAAGGCCTGAGTAAAAGAATGCCTGCCGACCTTAACCTTTCTAACAAGCCAATAACCTTGACCTTTTCCCCTCCAGGGTATCCCCACCCTGCTGCCCTACATCAATGGGAGGAGGGTTGAGATCAAACAGGAGGACGCCATCCTGCTCCTGACAGAGGAGAACCCACACATCCACAAACTCACCGCTGAGGCCAGGGACCAGCTCAAACCTCTGGGTAATACCACAGACAACATTCTGACATCAGTGATTCATTGTCTTAATAGTTAATGGTAAAAGAAATGACATTTTCATGTGTAGGGTAGATTATGAGTCTTGCCTGAGCTAAGCCTGTATACCTTGTTCCTTTTGCAGAGGAGGGCAGTATTGTGATGGTGTATGAACCAGATATGAGGTGAGAAAATAACTCATCAGGAGATATTAGTCTAGTAAGAAGACTGCTTTCTGGAGTAGTTTAGATAAACTAAGAGTAGAGCTAGCTAGTGGAAAATGAACTTGTAAAGTTAACCTTTTTGATATATTTTGTCTGACCCTTACTTCTTCCCTTATGATGTCAATAAAAAGTGGCTGATTTGAGCTTCTCTTTGCTTGAGTAACTGTCTTTTACTGTATCTTATTACCTGGATGTCTAACCTTCACCAACGACATAACGATTGCAAGAATTGTTCTAATGGAAGGTTTTTTTGGTCCTGTTGCATGACCAGTAACCCAGAAGCTGTCCACTGTAAGATGGTGTTTGTAGGCTGGCGAGGGAAGGTGACGGTCAGGTCCTTTGTGCCTAAGAATGACCGGAGGCACTTCCTGCTGCTGTGTGGGGTGGACGTGGAGGTCAGACAGACCAAGAGGAGACAGATGGCCCTGGAGAGGGAGGCAAAGGGGGTACGTGTGGAGGTGGTCTTGTGGTTTGGGTTGTTGACTTAGAAGCTGCGTGTGTGTGTGTGTGTGCATGAATGTAATATTTGTTGGTTATACAGTTTTATTGTGTTTAACTCAAATAACTTATGTAACAAAATTTAAAAAAAATATATCTTAATGAAAAAAATCTTTGTGTCATTGTAACTTACCTCCACTTTTTGACACACTTGTGCAATTATCTCGCATTTCTGACATTTTTTCAATAGTTGGGCCCACACCGGGCACATTCAGTTGGTGGCACCACCAGAAACTACCAGAATGTAAACAAACATGGCTGACAGCTGTGTTTCCAGCTTTTAAACACACTCATATGGTGTCAAATTTTGGCACCTCCATTTCCTGAGTGCCACGTATATACAACTGATTAGGGTTGATTCAACTTGCATGTACTTTGCAAAGAAATGACCAGAAGATGTACTTTTTATATTTTCCTAATGTTACATAATGCACCTTTAATCTCCTTTTCCAACAGCAAACAGCAAATGAGGATGTTGAGGAAGGAGCAGGGCAGGGAGAAGAGGACAATGAGGAGGATGCTGAGGAGGATGTTGCCATGACAACTAGAAGTGATGATGATGATGGAGCCTTGGCCACAACAGAGACTAGCGACACTGTTGAGGAAGAGACAAGTGCAATAGAGTCTGATGCACAGTCTAGCATAAAAGAATAATTTTTTTAAAAGAATAAAGACTTAAGGTTTTGAAGTAAGATTCAGAAGAATGAATTGGTACCAGGGACCATTGTCACTGCAACAAGGCAAAGATTTGTTTTTTTTAAATCTCACATAAAATCTCAAGACTCTTTGCCACTTTCCAAGGCACTACAAGTTGGAAGCCTATCAGTATATATACCCAAGAAGTACAGGAGGCACCCAGTCAAAAGGGTGCACACATCAATGTCTTACAGTGTACATGTAACAGGAAGGACTTGGGGGGGAGGGGGAGTGGTTGAAATGTGAACAGCATTTTGTACCAAAATGGTAACATGATAGAAGATCATAGCTAAACTGAAAATTCAAACAACTTAAACCCACACCTCACATTCCTTCCTGGACCTTTGTACATGTATAAGCAATTGCAAATGTTGAAACACAAATACCACTTATTGCAATTGATAATAGATAAGTGTATTTTATGTCAAGTTTGTACACCTATTTATTTTTTGGTGCAAAAATGATGCTTACTGGTATACTGTATATCCTTTCAGACGTTCAAAAATGAATTGTACTTCTCTGTATGTAAGATAGAAGCCCTGTAAGACTTGCTACAGATACAAGCTACAGATACAAGTACTATGTAGACTTGCTATAGAGAGCCAAAAATCAATGAAGGTAGAAAAACATGGAAAGTAGTGACTTTTTGATGATGTCATGCCATGTTGTAAGTTCCTTTTATTTCCTAGAATAAATTGCTGGTAAGATAAGTTGTTTTCTATGACCCTCTTCTTTCTAAACATGATATTTCTTGATAAAAAGTTTCAGCTTTTAGGGGCTATTTAGTTTGACATGTGCTTTTAAATCGTTCAATGCACAGAAATGCCTACTGCAGAGAAATAGTTGGCAAATAGCTGTACCAACAATTCCCAAAACAACAATTAACAAGTAATCCCCAAAATGTTTGCTTTTGTAAGGCCCATTTTATCTTGATGTCATGGACGATATCCTGATGACCCCAAATCTCTGTGCATGAGACACCACCAGTGATAATCGAACTGAGCACATGTCACAATATAGGCATTTTGCGATCCACTCATTTTTCAACGCTTCTAAATACAAAGTATGAGGCACATTTTGCATAAGACATCTTTTGCATTTCAGGCAACGTGTTACCAGTTGACACAATTCTTGTGTGTCAATGAAAGAAACTATGTGTACATGAAAATAGATTCATAAGGGGGTTATGGCCATTGAGAAAGCGGACGTTTGACCTAATTACATTTGGAGTCTTTAATAAAAGAATCAGAGTTCTGTGCTAAAGCTGTCTTTATCCTTTGCACACCTCCATGACTATTTATAACCTTACTCGTATGAATGACAACAGGAGATCACAAAAAGTTCTTTTCAGCTGGCGGCGAATGTAACAACGCTTTGATTGGACCAGTTATAACTGCCATTTTCAACTTTTAAAGGAGAGCGGCAACAATGCTCTAGCTATTTAAAGGCAGTGTTTTAGCTGCAAAGAATACCCTGTAGGACTATCATTCCCGTAGACTGTAGACTATGCCCCTTACTAAGCATAAGATTTCGGTCAACGTGGCCCAGGTCAGCTTACTGTATGACGGACGAAACTTCGTTGATTTATGCTGTATTGTGAAAATTAGAGCAAGGAGCGAACCTATAACTTTGTGATCCAGAAACTGGATTACGAACCAATGTAAGTTATACCTAACAGATCCAGAACATGTATTTTTAATGTGTCCTCCATCCATCGTCATGGACGCCAGCCGTGTGTTTTGTGTAAACCGTACGATGGTACATGGTAAATGTAACAGGTTTCGTCCCTGTTCAGCTGCGTCTGAGATGCTGTGTGGAACGCAGTCTCGAACATTTCGAGGTTTCTTCACTTTTTTTGAGGACGACGCTATCATCGGAGTGCGCAAGAAAATCAAAAGAGGTATTGTGAAATGTCCAATACTAGTACAATGTATGTCCGAAGTCGTTCAAATACAGTAACAAGTAACCCTAATATTACTGCATATAGCAAAAACGGTCAAAACAATCCCAGAACACTAGCTTGTTGTAACGTCTTTATAGTTATATATTTAAGGTTGCGAAAACCTGAAATAATTGGAGAGGCATTTTCGTGCTTTGTAATTATCATAATATATACCAACAAAATCATACCCGTTATATGTCTCTTTTTTAATATGTCTCTTTCCCTGCATCCCCTTCACCTCTAGACGTATACAGTAAGTAGGCTGTTTACTAAAAATGTGTCCATTTCGCAAAGATTGACATTTAGCCTTTTCCCCAGCCATGTCACCAAACACTTACCGAAAGACCACCAAAGCTGTAACATTCAAACTTAACGGTCTTTAAGCGTGGTAACCTCTCTGCTATCCAAACCACGCCTAGTCTCATCTCTTTGCAGTTTATCTGTTTATGACTATTGCATTCTCCCAGCGTTAGAGACCTCCGAGAATTTTGGCTACGTGACATGTGACAGATGGTTGTCTTTTCTTGTTTGTTGTTTTAGAAGAGGTAGGCTACTACTGTGTTTGTGGTTTTTTGGGCGTCCTGTTTTGATACAGGTGTCAGCGATACGAATGACATGTTCTAAACAAAGTGAGTGAAGGAAGGCATCTGGGGAAGAGATGTAGCCTACGTTCCTAAGACAGATAAAGGTGGAGTCGATAACACTAGTATTTCAATCTCCACCATATGCAAGTGAGTGGGGTCGTGTGGTGTAAAAGCAAAGTGTTCGGCTCAGAACCAAGAGGTCCTGCGTTCGAATCCTGCCATGTCACCGATCTTCTGCCCTTGGGAAAGGAAATTTACACGACTTTTCTCACTTCACTTCACTCAGGTGTGAATGAGTACATAGCTTCGGTTAAGGACGTCTATCGGATAGAACGTTAAATGGAGGTCCCGTGTTTTGGGAGAGCCGCACCCCACGCACGTTAAAGAACCCACCACACTTATATCGGAAAGAGTAGGGATCCTTCAAGATATGAGTGGTTCAAAATCCTACTAACAGTCCTACGGCCGTACCTGGGGTCGTATTGAGGTCACATGCGTTAGCGCCGAATGACGGCCGCTCCAGACCCTTTTGATTCAGCCCCACTAATATTGTAAGCTCCTCACAATTCAGCCCTTGGCTGCACCAAGAGATTGGCCGGTCCGCCCAATAGCAATAACAAGCTAGGTAACCACGGTTTGCCATTCTTAAGCTTAAATCGCAATTTTCACAGATTAAGCACTTCGAATTAATTGAGAATGTGGTACACGACACAAAAATCAGGACAATTCGATGCCTTAAATACAAGTTGTGGTAACGCGTTGGCTGAAAAGTTGAAATAAATTTAGTATATTTTGGGACACCAAGTGTCACACAATTGTTCCCAGCTCTGCACAGTGACTCAAGTAATGGTGACATAATGAGAGCAAACAGCAGCACATCACAAACCTAATGCTGTATTTAGTGGTAATTATGTCAATTGTTCACGTCCCGTCTCCTAGTGTTCTAGAAATGTCAAACTATAGTCTGGCGACAGACTATAAACTATAGTACTATTCAGACGCCAATGTCTTAAACCAGTGATTACGGCAAGGAAATGTTGTTATCCCTTGGCTAACTCTCAGGTCTGACTTTAGGTGCCGTAAGATCCATACTTTGTTTCTTGGGTCTTTTAAGACACTAATTGTTACCTTTGACACCCCACTGTGACCTTAATCAAACCTTTACAAATATCTAAGTATCTCCATTTCTTTGTGAATGATCACCGCTATGGTGCCAAAAAAAATCGCGTTGCTTTCGTGAGTAGGACGTCAGGTAAACAGGTCGTAACAGTCTTTTTTAAAGATTTTGTATGAAACATTAGACCTTTTGTTTGGTGCTGTTTTCTTGTGAGTCGTCTCGAGGCTGCAATCACTCAGAACTGTGTCGTCCATCATTTATTCCGCTCCAATGCCTTCGAGGTGTCTAAAAACACCCTCCATGACGAATGGGCACTGTAATTAGAGCCTAACGCCGGCGGCCTCACGTTGTCAAGACACAAGCAGGTACTTCAGGGCTCTGTTTGATTCAGAACTTCATTTCTGTGGCGGATATACTTTTGCTTCCATCTTCTGCGAGTTGACCGTATGCGCGTATATTCTTCAGCTCAAGTCCAAGTCTCTGGCACGACAGCTTAGAGCTATAACCTGGGCGTCTCGAACGTAAGTGTGCCTCACTTAATTATCTTGTAAAGTCTTTAGTCTTTCCTTTCTGTGTTTCTTGACAAGAGCACCCGTGCTACATGTATACTAGCTTCCTTCTTTTCATGAACATAGGCTTATACCAACAACTACATAGGTATGTCAGTCGTTGGTATTCACGGATACGGGATATTGTTTTATTTGTAAGACTTATTTTGCTCTCAGTATTTTCCAACTTTCGTATGCATATAAGCTGTTCTTTATATCTCTTGACGTTGCCACGTAGTTGCAGATTGTTATGTCGGTACGTATACCAGTTGTTAGCAGTATTTTTTTACGGATATTGGCGTATTTTCTAAGTCCATTATGGTCATGATTTAAATGATAGATTCTATAGATTCTATAACATGTATTTGTTTGGTTTTTATATATGGGTTTGTGCTCTAACCCACGGTTAATGCAGAAGCGACAACATAACCTGCCACTGAGTCTTATATATATATACACTGTACATAATGTTGATGTTTGCTCATATAGGTAGGGGAAACATAATTGGGTATGTGCTAACTAGCAACTAGTGGCCTTTTCCCATGTAGTTTGCAATCACTACTCAGAAACAATTCCGTAATGAAGGTGTTTCCTCATATCTCGATAGTCTCTTACGGCTTTACAAAAACAATTTTATTGAATGGAATCGGAGCATCGTCTGTAGTTTGTAACTGTATGTATGCCTAGTAATGATGAGTGAGTGTGTGAAATGGGCAAACTGATCACCGAGTACTACTTTGCTCTTTATTTCACAATGTTTGGGTCCATTTTCCACCCGTTTTCGTTTAGCGACTTACTCTTAATCCTTCTTCAAGATAAGAAGGTAAGATAAATACCATCGAGATTTTTCATAATAGTAATGAAAATCCAATCCAACATAAACCATGAGAAGACCTAGTTAGCTGTTACTGTAATCTATAATGTGAATGACGTGCGTGATGATTATCCATAGTCGTTAAGGCACTAGGAAGATTGTCTGCGCTTCGGGGGGGGGGATTGGTGATAATCGGAAAAATTAAGCCATCTTAGTATCAATGGTGTTTAAGTAGATTTGAATGGCGACTGACAAAATATTTTCTGGTACAATGTTGACAAAAACAGTACCGTACGCAAGACGAAAGAAGTACTGGTTGTGTGTAAGAAAATCCCAATATTCTGTGTTCTACCATGGAGATGTATTTTAACTCCATGGTTCTACCAACCTGATGAAACCTGACCATTACCGTATATACACAGACCTGTGACCATGTGCAGCTATCAGGTCCAACTCCTGTATTCACCCGCCTATGTATATTGGACAATATAAAGAACAAATTCATACATTGACAATATCATAGTTTAACAGTACAAAGAATTGAGGAGCAGTATCTACTTTTTAAAAACATTTTTGAAGACTGTGTACACATGTTTGCCAAAGAATTGACCCTTACATAACCCCTGGTATCTACAGCTCTCTGCGTGTTAAGAAGGTCTTTTATGCACCAGACGGTATGCCTTTCAGATTGGAACTGGTGTCCTGAATTCTACAATCCTCAACCTTTGTTAAAGATTTTCGGATATTGATATTGACTTGATCCTTAGGATATTGCGAACGTCTTCAGACATGTATGTTTATCGTCTGATGTTACAATGTTTACGCCGTTGCCATGGTAGCCGATGGCAAACTGATCTAGCTGGTTTCCCTGCTTCATTTTTGACAGGATGAAAAGACAAAAGACAGCTTTTACTGCCCCATTAGTCTTTTTGTTGATAGGTTTTTAGGGAATTGTTCTGTTCCTAAGGCAAAAAAGTAATCCCATTTAAGGTTCTGTTGCAGTTTGTTGTTTGCTCAGGTGTGAAAGAATCATCTACAGGTGTGTAGAGTTTGTCTGAAACACGTCAAAACGCGAGGCGTCAAAATTCATAGACAAAATTATAGTTATTAATATGTCTTTTATCTTTATGCACGTCGTCTTTTGTTTCAGATGTTACAAAACTGACCCAGATAGTGGCTTACGTGGAAACATATTTACGACTTTAGATATGCTTTCCTCCATCATGTAACCAATCGTATATTTGATATATAGATTAGAAAACGTGACTTAATGCTGTTAATTGTGCGGCCGATTTCTTTGGTAACCCTTCTTATCGCCTTTTAAACAAAAACAGGGTACCTTATCATTGGCAGGGTGATGATCTCATTGTTACTCCTGCCGCCATCTTGTGTGTTTATACATGTATCCTATAATGATAGGGATTTAGCAGGTATTATATAGATACGTCTCCGAGGCACGCGGATGTAAAGTCGTATTACCGTTTTGTTAAGAATGTAAGAAAACCCCCAAGGCCAGAAACTGTATTGAGGCCATTTCAGATCTTTCCTTATTTCGTGAAAGGAAATTGATCTATATGAATATTTTCTAAATCAAGGACACTTCTTTCTTTTTTTGATATTCTAAATATCAACCAAAACGGCAGCCTCTACCAGGCTTTAGGACCGGCTGGAAAGAGTAGAAATTGGCCAAATTGGCCAAATAGACAAGATAGGTAACAATTGCGATGGCAGTCGGTGTAAACAACTCCCCTGGCAATGGTTATCCGAGTGTGTGTGTGTGTGTGTGTGTGTGTGTGTGTGTGTGTGTGTGTGTGTGTGTGTGTGTGTGTGTGTGTGTGTGTGTGTGTGTGAGTGTGTGTGTGTGTATAAGTGTGTGTGTGTGCGTGTTTGTGCGTTCGTGTGCGCGCGTGTTTGTGCGTGCGTGCGTGTGTGTGTGTGTGTGTGTGTGTGTGTGTGTGTGTGTGTGTGTGTGTGCGCGCGTGTGTGTGAATTTGTGTGAGGGGGGGCCTTTAGTGAGTGTGAACTCTGCCCTATTTTCCGGTCAATGACGTATTCGCCATGTTACCAGAATTGTAGTCGTATATGATTGATATGAAACGTATAAACTGCTTTATGTATCTTTTCTAACTCTCTATCTCTCTAACTTTCTATCTCTCATAGACATCAAGTGTAGAAATAAGACAAACATTAATCTTTACCTTTTCTATAGGTCCGTATAGCTGACTCCAGGTCGGGACTCCAACCATGGACACAGTGCCCATATGGCTTCTGGGAGTTTGTTCTCTACTGGCCGTTTTCTGTCCCATCGTAACTAGTGGTAAGTTGATCTTTGCAACGATTCAAGCTGAGGCTATGTTGATTTGATTATATGGCTGATATCCTTTAGAAGTCCAAAACTGATGCGAGTGTGCGAATAAAAAACAAGTTTGGCAAAAAAAGTTGGCTACATTATGAAATCCATGTGGTCATGAAGGGTGAGTGGCCTTGCGCTCAGAGCTAAGCTCGTTAAAAAGACTTTGCCACCAGATTACTACCAGCCTGTAACGAAGATGCGGCACACGTGCTCACCATGGACTGTTGACAACTGTCCACTGCAGGCTTTCAAAGGCATATGTTCTTTTTATGGTGCATTTTACTTTCGGCAGATTCCTGGATCCCGTCCTCCAGTTCGTGGGTCGTGGAATCGGCAGGGACTCCCTCAGGAGTTGTTTCCGACGCCGGGAAGGCCCTGGACGGAAACTCCGGTACCTACTGGAACCCAGAAGAACTGCCACAGAACTACAACAACTGGTACATCACCTTAGACCTCGGAGCTTCCTACAGTCTCTCCAAGATCAAGTTTCAAAACTACGGAGACACGACACACGACGTTTCCGCTTTCGCGCTTCAGAAGTCGTCGAGTTCGACCCCGTACGTCTGGGCAAACGTAGTCTCCAACTCAGGCGTTGCCACAGGCCATACTTCATTTCAAGAATACGCCTTTACAGCGACGTCTGCCCGCTACTGGAAGTTCATTGTGACACGAACACCAAATGGCTACCAGCCGTATTTGAAGGAGCTGCAATTCTATGGATCAGGAGGTGAGGAACCAAGTACATGAGAATATATTTTAGCGTCTTGAACTCGACCTTCTCAATTAAGTCTACAGACTGGGCTTGTGTTGATTTGCATTGTGGGTCTTTGCATTGATCCTGCTTATCCCATACAGTTGCCGTTGCCGGAGGCTGGTCGGCGTGGGACGCGTGGACGGAGTGCAGCGTGACTTGCGGTAACGTCACCGGCAGCCGGACCCGCACACGCCGCTGTGACAACCCCGAGCCGCTGTTCGGCGGGAGGAGCTGTGCCGGGGACACACAGGAGACGAGCGCCTGCAGCTCTGATGTGCCATGTCCAGGTACAGTCAAAACTGCCTAATCTCCATGTAGATCATAGGGTGGCAAAAGACAGTATCAAATTAGCCAGGCAGTGTACCCATAGGTAAATTGCCTCTCTGATGTTTTTCTCTGTTCTTATTTTTCAGTTATCGAAACAGGTGGAAGCGTCGGTGCAGATCATCTACGTGAGTGTTTTTAGTAGACACTGTGGAAGTAATTGATTTAAACATGACTGATTTAAACATTTAAACATGACTGGAAGAATCAATGCCCAAACACGAAGAATTTGACGTTGTTAGCGTTTTGTTGATATTTACATTGTAGCGACCTAAAGTGTGGCCTGTTTGTTTTTTTAACCAGTGTATCCAACACTCTGTATGTACGGGGACGGTTCTACCTACCGTGGATCAGTAAATACCACACAGTCTGGCCTGACATGCCAACACTGGGACAGCCAATCACCGCACGAGCACAACTCCACCGTCACGTATCCTCTCGCGGGACTGCACGAGAACTACTGCAGGAACCCGGATGGAGCAGCGCGACCTTGGTGCTACACCACGGACCCGGATGTAACTCGGGAATACTGCGATATTTCAAATTGCTGTAAGATTACATCTCTTATTTTAAACTGCTTTATAAAGTTAAAACTGTGGGTCGTGTGGCGCAGCGGCAGCGTTCTCGACTCGGAACCAGAGGCCCCGGGTTCGAGTCCTGACATGCCACCGATCTTGTGCCCTTGGGACTTTACACGACTTTCCTCACTTCGCTCAGGTGTAAATGAGTATTGTACTGTCCCTGTGTTGGTGTCGGCATTAATATAAGTTGAAAAAAACTTGAGTGTGTCGTCACCACGTCTTGTGATTACATGTTTCGGAATAAAAAAAAAGTTAAAACTAGGCTAATGCGAGAAGGAAATGGCCTTTTCTGGCATGTTGTACTTCAATAGGTCAATAGTGTTCTGGGTGTGGTTGGGACTAAAATTATTCATAAGGAAAATTAGGCGTGGTCTACATCTGGTCACACTGCTCCCGAACTTCAGCCAGCCTTGGTTGTTTTTTTTTTTGGCTGGGGGAAGGTTGAATGTGTGACAGGGGCTTTAGCTTTCCTCTCTTGAATATATCGTAGATGTGATTCTATGATGTTTAAAATTTAATTTTAACATGTCTAATGTTATTTGCCTACTGCAGTCATAGATGAATGCTACGAAGGTGATGGGGCGAGCTACCGGGGAACTGTAAACGTCACCAAATCGGGACGGGCATGCCAGTACTGGGCCAACCAGACTATTCACACGCACGATAATACTCCCGAGAACCACCCCAGCAGCGGCCTGGAGGAAAACTACTGCAGAAACCCCAACGGTACAGGTTACGTCTGGTGTTATACTGCGGACCCTGATGTGAGAGATGAAGAATGCGTCATTCCTAGATGTGGTATGTGATCAAGTAGATGAATACTGAATAAATAGGTAGATAGATAAATAAATTTGAATATACCAGGACACCCCTTTGGTCTACCGACTGCTTTTTCAGCTTCTTGTTGAGACCTGAAGATGTCAATTTTAAAAGACTTTGCTTCGCTCACTCTTTAAAGTTTCCCGTACGCACATGTCCAATGTCCAATGTTTTTGCCGGTGATTTTTTTAAAACTTCAGATAACAAATGGACGCGTTACGGCACCAACTACTTCCGAGCTTACGGTGAGGAGCGCAAGACTTACGCCGACGCCAAAGCCGATTGCGCCGAGGAAAACGCCCTCCTTCCGATCGTGAAAGACTCCGGAACGTGGGACTTCCTCGTCAACCTAAGGGACTCGTCTGGAATCACCTCTAATGTCTGGATAGGTGTGACTGATCTAGAAGAGGAGGGGACGTTCGTTTGGGACGATGGAAGTCCGCCAGGATGGGAACCCGATCCAAGCAGCCACAAGAGTCATTGGGACTGCGCCAAAATGACGAGAAGTGAAGACGATCCTCCCAATCAGCTGTTGTCTGCTAACTGCACCAATACAAAGTATTACATCTGCGAAAGAAGTATGTATGATTCTGAGCACCCGCCTATCATTAATCCGTTATCTACCTTTATGTTAACTACTTACGTCTAGACCCTTTTGTAATTTCATCTATATTTCTGTTTTATCTAATATCTATGTTTATGTATCTGTGATAGTAATCACATGTGATCGACAGCCTAAATATGACATACGCTTAACTCTGCAAAATATGTCTGAACTCTGCCTATGGTTCCCTTCAGCAGGCAGTGATTGCAAGGAAATTACTGTTTGTAAAATAAAGTATACAATGATCGTAAGATGTGAGAACAAACTTGAACTTGACTGATCAATGCTTGTTGTTTTTTACAGTAACGAGACCGTGTTCTCCGAACCCGTGTATCAATAACGGCACGTGTGTGGAGACTGTACCGTCAGGCTTCCTCTGCAGATGTGGACAGAACTACACCGGGACATACTGCGGTACGTTCTTCTGTTTGTTGTATGTAGAATTTAGAAATACAGTGACATGGTTAAATGCACCCATTGCACTTTAAGTTTGCGTACTGATGCTTTGTAGAAAGTTGCGTATGATAGCACAGAAATATGTAACATTGCACATATTGCAGATACCACTATGATCTAGGCCTATTGCGATAGCTTCTTCTATTTGTTGTATGTACAAAACTACAATGGCATGGTTAAAAAACCTTATGGCGCTTTGTTCACTGATGCTCTGTTGAAAGTTACGTATAATAACACTGAACTATGTAACATTGCACATGGAGCAAAAATACCACTGTGAGCAGTGCCATGATTGGTTTTTGTTGTTGAAAAAGTTTTAAGGCCCATAATACTGATCACCCGTGATGCCATCTTCCAAAGAGGCATACTTATACTTTTACTGGGTCTTGTGGTCTTATACTAACCATGCAATATGCTGAAAATGTAACATTATAATGTTACATTCAGCCTGGTAAATGGCATGAAGGTCTCAACTGTTATGAAGGCGAGACCTTCATGTCAGTTTGTAAGTGCGACGAGAGAAACGTATGCTCCATTCCAAGGCAAGGCATTATCTAGCACTTGCTAAGCTACACTGGGCTGTCCCTATACATCAGTGGTTATGGTGACACAGAAAAACCGGAGAAAGGATGCTGCCACGTTGGTACATGATGCTGCACTATCACCTTTACAATAACATCCAGGCTAGGGCACATTTAACCGCGGGAACTCCGAAGAACACACACGGTACAAAGGGGACATTTTCTCCTGACTGTTGCCGATGGACGGTTCATTCTCATTGGTTCCACGTCAGGGTAAAGGCAGAATCTCACAGGCTCCACATATCTCTTTTGTAATGGTGGCCAGCAGTTCACTTCTTGCATCATTTTACTCACATCTCAAACTTTTGAAAGAGCTGGCTCTATCCTACTTTCTCTTCTTGGTACTAAATTCTGGTATGCACTGTGATGTCTTCTCGTTGAATGCAATGGCTTACGTATTCAGAAAATGTCATCTCTCTCGACAACTTATTCAACCACTGGACACAGAGCTACCGGCGGTTTGCGTGAGCTATGTGGAACTGAATGAGAGCTGGCGAAGCGTAGACTTCTGGCAAAACAAATACGACTCCTCTTCTGTCTTCCGTTGCGATAACCGTGATACCAGCATCAGCGGCGCCGGAGGGTGGTACCGTTTCACCGGTCCCGCTGGTACGCAGATGCCTACCGAGCAACCCACGTCCACTCACCGCTGTGGGACACACGCCCCGGTGTGGCTGAATGGAGCTCATCCTGCTCTTCAGGACGGTAACGTCACGCGACGAGTATGTGCCTTCTGGTTGTCCTACAGCTGCTACTGGTCATGGAACATTCAAGTCAGAACATGTCCCGGCGGATATTATGTCTACCAGCTGCCGGAACCCCCGGCATGTTATCTTACATACTGCGGAGGTAAGGGGTGCTGCAGGTGCACATTTTATATGAATGAAGACATTTATTGTACATTTTTGCCCCACTGGGCTAAGCCCAGTTCACATTGAACAATCATTTACGATGTATATAAATGTATTATATAAACGTCAAGTATACATGGAATCATATGGCATCATTTCCGTGTCAACATTACGGACGTTAAAACGTCACGTTTTTGGGTCTATACGTCACGATTTTTGGTCCCTCGTGTTATCGTAACGCATCAAAACGCACCATGTTAAACGTAACATGATATTACGTTACGTTGCTTATGATACGTTACAAACGTCACATGCACCCGCGCGAATGAATAAGTGCTGTTCGCAGGTACTTTTTACCACAACTTCATCACCCCTTTACTTTTCTAATGGTTCCGTCCACATCAGCCGTCAGATTAATAGACGTGTTTTGGTGTCGTCATCAATTGACGTGTGCCACATCAAGTGTCAAAATCAAACCAGGAAGGGTCCGTCCACATCAGCCGTCAGATTAATAGACGTGTTTTGGTGTCGTCATCAATTGACGTGTGCCACATCAAGTGTCAAAATCAAACCAGGAAGGGTCCTTGGACATATACAGGTGAGACAGAACGTGCACTGAAACAAGATTCCTGGAATACCAACGTCCTATCTCTTTAGACTCAGAGGTCCCGCAACACATTCATATTGAATCTCCGGGACGCTAACTTAAAATCCTCGATTTTGAACCGGATTTCTTTGCAAGAGGAGTGAAAAAGCGGGCGGTCTACATCAGAGCTCACAGACCTACCCTGAACAGAGACGGGGGGCGACACAAGTTATCTTGAACGGATGACCCGCTAATACGGCCATGTGTCTCTTACGTCACGTTCCAAGAGTAGACGGGTCTATATTACGTGTACAAGGTTGATGGAATCAGCCGAAAATTTGGGTAAGTCCCGATTCATTCCAGTGTTGGTTCGGCCATGGTTGGCTACCGGTTTGCTGATGTTCGGGAGTAGGTCTGGTTGTCAGTCAAATTTAACTCAAATTCGATTCCATTCATATCGAAAGGTAGGCGTGGCCTAAATCTGCTCCCGAACACATGGCATACATGGCCACTTAATTCACGCTTTTGGAAAGTGCCACTTTCAATTGTGTAAATTTTGACTTTTTAGAGACTGGGTAGGGGGAACTTGGAAGTGTCCATTTTGTATGGGGGCATTTTGGGTGATGGTCCATTCCCGCAGGTGAGGTCAAAGTAAGAAAATTGAAAATCCGGGTGGTATTATATTTTGAGTAAATGTAAGTTTTGGAATGTCCATTTCTGCAAGATGTTGATATGGAATCAGTAAATGGGTAGGGAGATGGAGTGAAATATGGTGTATTTCCTCCCGAGTAAATGACCTGGCTTTCTCGTTTTCAGGTATTTTCTTTTCTGCACCTTTCCTATTTCAGCAACACTGAAAGATACTGCCATGGATGTCAATCGGCACAGACTGTACTCTTGAATTTTGTAGATTGTGATCTTAAGATGTAAATTTCTTGGTGACTACCAACCCACATTGTCACACATGTCTTCAACCAGGCGACTCAGTGTCACAGAAGATCATCTTCCCCGGTCCAAGAGGCACTGATGACTATGCCAGGATGGAGGCCACATTGTCTGAGGACTTAACAAGCTTTACCCTCTGTGTGCACATGCGCTCCAACATGGATTCCAGCAATGTAATCAGCTTGGTCAGCTACGCAGTGGCAGAAAACAACAACGAGCTCTTTTTTGGTAATCGTGAATTTAAAGTAAGTATAGAATCGCTTTCGATATTAGGCTTCTGTTGTCTAAAGCATCCTATTTTGTTGCTTGCTTAGTTGCAAGTGTGTCCTGATAGTTTAGACAGAGATATTATGACTTCCCTTTTGTATCCAAAGTCATCAAGCACAAGGATTTTATATCTCAAGTCGTGAAAAATGAAATTGTGACTAGAATGGAAGACAAATATCAAAAAAAGGAAAAAAAAATTAAAAGGCCTGCATGAAAAAAAAATGAGAAGAAAAGCTAGTGGAATTTGTTCACTTTCATACGAAATTCCAGGTCATGTGGATAAAAGAATGAAAAAAAAGAATGCATTTAACGAAGTGGCAAGCGGAGATGGACATGGGAGAAAACAGATATGTTTTATCCATACCGTGGTATATAATGAAATATAATGAAATATAAATTTTGGTTTATAAATCAGCTCATGTCCTTTTTTGTCGTATTCAGTTATGCATACTAGTACAAAACCGTGGCAACAAAATGGCCGACCCACCCGTATGGGATGGTAAGTGGCACGCAATATGCACCACCTGGAGCAGCAGTGATGGGGCCTGGCAGCTCTACGCTGACGGCGTGCTGACGGCTTCAGGCTCCGGGTTTAACGTGGGAGGAAGAGTGCGCAAAGGAGGAGCATGGATCCTCGGACAGGACCAAGACGTAGTCGGGGGAGGATTCGATGCTGACCAGGCCTTCACCGGAGAGCTGTCGGGAGTCAACCTCTGGGACCGCGTGCTGTCTCCTGCCGAAATAGCAGCGGACTGTAGTTACCATGGCAACGTGATTGACTGGGATACCACTAACATTAGAGTCTTCGGACAGGCCAGCAGGGCTGAGTATCAATGCAGTAAGTAGTACGTGTTCATTGATATATGATGTTCTTTACAGCTTTACAGGACCTGCACAGGTATTAAGACCCTTGAATGTGTCTTAGACAAGCCTTTCAGCACCAAGGAAAGGTGCTGCCATAAAAGTCAATCTGCACAGTACTTTATACTGTTTTTTCTAATGTATGCAATATTGATTTTGAACTAAAATACTAATGAAAATTGGTGCAACTGTAACTGCAGACTTATGAAGCCACTCCTGTTCAATAATCATTTAATAACTTTGTTAACATTGGTATCATTAATGTTTTTGGGTGGTGGGACTTTGGCGCACTAATATGTCAACTTTGTGTATTTATACGTTAATTGTATTTTATTGTGTGGCGCTGTTGATATACGCTATAAACCTGAGTGCAGCGCCACACCGTCCTTGTTATGTTTTGATGTTTTGATGAATAAAAAAAAAACTTGTGAAGCAGTGGCGTTTTAATATTTTTTCGGGGAGCGACGCGAGAATGCGGAGGTGGGGTAAATTGTTACCTTAAGGTTTGTACTAATCTTCCCCACCAACCTCTGCTAGAAACTGGCACTGTCTGCTTGGAGAGTAGAGAAGTTCAGAATTTGTAAGCATTGGGCAACTATGTTGTATTTTTTCTCCCTGAATATTGATCTGAATATGTAAGGAACTGACAGGAAATACACAAGTTGTACCGGTTCGGTTTTCAGGTGACAGTTACTCAGATGCCCCCAAATAAATATCTATGATTTACATGCCAGTCATGCACAACGTAAACTGATGACGACATCACTTTACGTTCATGCCAAACCGTGAACAACGTAAACTGATGACGACATCACTTTACGTTCATGCCAAACCGCGAACAACGTAAACTGATGACGACATCACTTTACGTTCATGCCAAACCGTGGACAACGTAAACTGATGACGACATCACTTTACGTTCATGCCAAACCCTGAACAACGTAAACTGATGACGACATCACTTTACGTTCATGCCAAACCGTGGACAACGTAAACTGATGACGACATCACTTTACGTTCATGTCAAACCCTGAACAACGTAAACTGATGACGACATCACTTTACGTTCATGCCAAACCCTGAACAACGTAAACTGATGACGACATCACTTTACGTTCATGTCAAACCACGGACAATGTAAACTGATGACGACATCACTTTACGTTCATGTCAAACCACGGACAATGTAAACTGATGACGACATCACTTTATGTTCATGCCAAACCGTGGACAACGTAAATTGATGACGACATCACTTTAGGTAGCAGAACAAAGTTTTTAAAGAACTCCTAGTCATTGTGACACGGAAATGATAGAGTATGATGTCATGCAGCCACATGTACATATCGGTGCGTTTTGCCATACGTAACGTTGACCTGGCAAACGTGACATATTGACTCAAAATGCGTGATGTATGTAGACCTTAAAACGTGACGTATGCAATTTTGATACGGAAATGTATACACAGGACAGGTACTTTCGACTTCTTCGTTAATTGTATATACTGTATTGCATTGCATCATATTGTATTGTTCGTACTTGTATGATTAGTTAGGGTCTGGTTTATCGAAGGCTGAGTTTACAAATTTAGATGTTACTTCTGGGTACGGAGGTACTGTTTTTGGAGGCTGAGACGTTGGGTTGTCTCTGTCCAAATTGCTTCAGTTGGGTGGGAGGTGATTTTGACGGTTGATTGATGACTCTGAAGATGACTCAGCACGCGCATGTGGAAGGATTCTAGAAGTGGTGTAACACTCGATTAAATTACATCACCTAATCCCCGCCACACCCCAAGTACATTCAAAAATACTTCCCGGAGGTCTGTCAACTTAAAGGTGACTAAAACACAAAATGAATCTCTGCTCTCTTGTTCAATTAATCAATGTTGGAACACAGTTGCGAAATCTGACGTGCTCTATGTCTATCACACTATCCCTATCTATGTCTATCACTGGTAAAGTAACGAACTGTGCATGAAGATGGTAACTGGCATCTTACTAACATGTTAGTAATATGGTCTGATACATTTACAAGTGATCCCAAAATACATGACCTTAAAAGGAACTACCTTGAAACGACGTGGTACATAGTTGGCCTTGATTTCTTTACTGACGCTCCGAAACCAGGCTCAGTCATCCCTCCATAGTATGCAGTATTTTGTGCATTAGTCAAATCATCATATATCACTGGTTTCATTTTACCACAAATCATATAACACGTATCGCAGCTCAAGATGTTAGTATTCTCAATGTGTTAGTATTTTGTATTAGTTAGCATCATTAATATTGTTATCTGTAGCAAGAAGTGCATAGTATATTACATACGTGGTCATAAAATGTAAAATGAAAGCCCCGCTTTAAAGTAATAAAACATAGCACATCCATGTTTACTGATTTATTCATATGAAACCATTCTATTTGTTTGTTGCCAATAGATGCAGTAGCAACGACAACATCTCCGAGTACTGTTGGTGAGTTTTCTTTCTTTGTCTTCTTTAATCTATTTGAGTACAGTTTACATTGTTTTACTAGATAGAAATGTTTGTGTAAAAATCAGAATAATCATTGATATGTAAAAAAAATGTACTTTTCAAGAACCCAGATTATTCACTTGCCCACGTTTCAGTAGCCCTTCTGCTGCCTTCCCCAGGATGATACTGACTGCATCTACCTCCCACTGCAGCTAGGTGTCGCTTCTGTGTGAAGGATGCGGTCCCAAATATGACTAAGCATATGTATCCCCCTCATCATCGTTAGTCATATTTGGAACCGCATCCTCCCCACTACACCTTATAACCATTGAATTACAATTTTGATGAAAGTATTCACAGATGTTGCCACGATTGTGTTACACATACTAGGCGGAGAGTTAGAACACGCGATCTACTCTCCGAAGCATAAGAGTCGCAGGAGCATTTCCGGAGCAGAACCGTGTGGTCTACCGACGTTCCACCACGTCCCCCAAAGCGATTGTTCAGGGTCAGACATAGCCAGGCATCCCGGTGTTTCACTCCAGTTCTGCGCAGACGCTTGCTGTGCCGTGTTGACATGTCTGTCGTTTCAGTACAACGTCTATTCAGAGTGTTTTTTGAAAAACAAACTTTGCCTGGATGTGGAGAAAGGGTATGCGGCAGCCGGGAACATGTATGACCGCCCTGCCGTATCAGGTTGGTGATGATCAAGCCACACGAGGCACGATCTAACCTAACCAAAGCTTCCATCATCATCATCATCATAATCGCGATTCGATCTCGCAGACCTACATTCCAAGCAGAGGTTGGTGGAGAAGATTGTGACTTTTCTATGTCCCCGAAGCATATGATGGAAACAATACAATCCTCTTCATCAACCTCTGTTTGGAGCGTAGGCAGACCCTCAGTGCCTGCCATAATAACAATGGGATTCTCAGCTGCTCCACAGCTGTTTCGCTCGGAAACAAGAACTTTTTCGTCTGTAGGTCACCTGTTGTCTGCTACAGGCTTTATCTTGTCATTCTGACCGCATGCCTGAAACCAACATCACCGCGGTATTAATATCAATGATAACGGCGCTTAGCATCCATAATCAAACATTACTAAGACCCTTTTTATCATCTTCATTTCAGGATCGCATGCACATCTCCTCGTTTTGCCAGCTGTAACAGAGGGGTACATAACAGTTGAAAGTACACGTTTACAGTTGCTCGTTTGCGGATATGACTGCATACCCTTTCCAGGTTGAAAAATCGTGGACTCGCAGGCCTTTAGCTAACAACCTCCATACTTGTATTCTTAACTACTTAGTAATACGCAGGTGAACTGATGCTATCATCAAAATATTTTTATACCTTTCTTATACATATCTTTCGTGTCCACTTGTATTTCCCGCCTAATTTCCGGCTGAAAATTCTGTTTCTACAGCAACAACAACGACGCCATCAACAACAGCGGCGACGACTGTACCTGGCACAGGTGAGAATTAGAACACCCGTCTTTATTTCTCTTCTTATTCTCTAAATACGCTTCACAATATTACAGAATTTTACATCAATCTGACTTGCTCTCATTAGAAACGAAATTGAACAACTGACAGTCAATTGCAAATAGTCCATACAATGATGCATCAACTTATTTTCTGCTCCAGAGTGTCCCGCAGGCTGGTCACTGTTCAGTGGAAAATGTTACAAAGTTTTCACCGACACGGTGACATACAGCCAAGCCAGACAAGTCTGCATAGACAACAGTGGAAGCCTGGCAATGGTCAAGGACTCTGAGATTAGCAGCTTCGTGAAAACTCTGTCATCGGACCACAAATGGTTCGGGTTAAGCGACGAGGTCACCGAGGGGCAGTTTCTGTGGGAGGACGGGACCAGCCTGACATCGACAGGGTTCACGGACTGGTATCCAGGCGAGCCGAACGGTGGAAGTCTTGAAAATTGCGTCCAGTATTGGAGACGGACTTGGAATGACAGGAGCTGCACAGACCAGCTTGGGTTCACATGTGAAGTACGAGGTGAGCAGTATGCTGAGGCATGAAACAAGAAGTTTTGTTAAAACGCCATTAAAGTAAATTTGACACATTTGATAATTAATAATTAACATCAATAAATAATCTTATTTGACAATATCACATTATGAAATGTTGTTTTGCCTGTGTTTTTAAAAGATCTAGTTTTAAAAGTTTACGTTTAAGAAAATGGGAACCGCAAGCAATAAAAGATGCCTTCGATTTTTTCAAGACATTTTAAGAATGCATCATCATCATCATCATCATCATTCATCCTCCGTAGAGGTGGAGCATACAAAGTTAGCTCGCCACAACTGTCTGTTGAATGCATATGTTTGCGATAATCTTCCAATAAGCTGTTGTTACAGTACCAAATACACATTATACGAGGTTTATGACTCTCTCTTTATACCTTTACAGCAACAACACCAACTCCGACTCCAACGCCTACCCCAATAACAGGTTGGTCTTATGGTTATTGGAATTTGTATGGTAATGTCTATGGCTATATATGCATTCTTATTATATCCCAGAAACCGTGTGGTAATCACAGACGTTGGAAGACCTTGCGCTTAGCTGCTATAAGATTGAGGAACTAGTTTAGAATCAGTCAAAAGCATAACTGCTACAGTTCTATTTCATTTTTGGTGGTAGGGGATATGGCACAGTGATAGGAGTTCCATTTTGAATCGAATTTCATTGAGAATTTAAACAATCTAACAACATTAAACATTCTATTCTAGTGCATGAAAGTTCTGTAAACATCGCCAGAGGGCGCCCTGCCTGGCAATCCAGTACACGCTACCAAGAAGGCACACCTGACAAGGCAGTAAATGGAGACAGATCAGGATATTACGATCGTGACCATTCCTGTAGCCACACCGCCGCAGACAACAATGCCTGGTGGTACGTCGACCTGGGAAGCTCACACAGCATTGAGAGAGTCGTCATCTTCAATCGAGAAGGCTGCTGCTCATGGAGACTCAACCCTTTCCGAGTCCACGTCGGCAACTCCACGGCGGTCACGTTGAACCCCTCGTGTGGAGGAGACCACAGTGCCCCTAACCTGACGGTCGCATGCGGCGGCCTGACCGGGCGGTATGTCGGGGTGCTGCTTCCCGGCAGCAGTCGGGTGTTGACGCTGTGCGAGGTAGAGGTGTACGGAAGTAAAGGTACGTTTCTAAAGCTCCTGTCATATCAGGAATTTGGCCCCCGAATACTAGCCTAACGCCCCCACCATGGCTGTTCGGCGAATTTGGTTGCTACTAGCATTCGGCTGCGCCAGCGATATGTTTCAAAATTTTTAAAACATTCGGGATTTGGTTGGCTGGTACCAGTGTTCGACTGTAAGTCAACAGAACACCAGCCAGCCATGAGGGAGTATATCAGCAGTGTTCGGGGGTCGAGGAAAGGTCGTGAATGTACATGTGAGAGAGGTATGAAGCTGTTTGTGAGGATTGGTGGAAGTTCATGCCGCATTAAGCATTTCCAAGCTGACGTAATCCTAGCAGTCACAGCATAATCAATGTGAATCTTTTATGATTCACCATGCTTAAACTTTATCTTCATTTTTTACTGTTGTTTTTCTCAGGTTGTAAAACTCTTGTGTTTTGTTTTACTGTTTTTCTATTTTTCTACTCTGAAAGTTCTGAAATGGCGCGACGATTCCCGTTGTGGAGACGGTTACACTGTTGAAGACGGGAGTACCGCTGAGTGCAACCCTGACAGTGATAGGCCATGCTGCTCTCCGTACAACTACTGTGGATACACTACAGATCACTGTGACTGTGAAGGTTGTGTCGACTACCGTAAGCCAGGTCTGTATTTAATTACCTTCGCCAAGAAGGTTATGTTTTCAGTAGCGTTTGCCGTCTGTCCGTTTCTCTGTCTGTTTGTCCGTTTGTCTGTTTGTCTGTGAATCATAACTCAAGAAGCTTAATATGCATTGTCATGAAACTTGGTAGGTGAGTAGGTCTTGATGAGACCTAGAAATGATTAGATTTGGATAATTTGGAAAATGATTAGCTCCAGCTTCTTGGTGTCTTTAAAATACAACCACAAATCAGACTCTAATTTCGTATAAACCTGAAGATTCACCCTAAAATAATAATAGCCCCGTGCTACTATAGTTGTTAGGCAGTTTGGCTTTATCTTAAGCCTTAGGAATAAATAGATAAATAAATAATCGTGGTCGTTAAGAGTAAAACTTATTTGTAACCCCCAGTTAAGTGCGATAGTTGGACTAAATGGCTCAACGTTGACAATCCTGGGACCACCGGAGACTGGGAGTCGCTGCATAACATCCGCAGGAACCTACCGGGACAGGTTTGCGACACGCCCACGAAGATCGATGCCCGCGTGGTTGGTACGGGGCAGGACGCATGGTCCACGGGAGAGAACTTCGCGTACTATGACGCCACAGCTGGCTTCGTCTGTAGGAAGGTGGACCAGCCGGACCACACGTGTTTGGACTACGAAGTACGATTCTGCTGCCGGGACCGTATGTCATACGAATATTTTTACCTTCGGTTATGTTTACGTTGAGGAGGTTTATCAGCCACGTATAGATCAACAATTAGTAGAATATTCTTCAATCAGTGACTGTTTTGAAAGGCAGAAAAACACCTACGTCCAAATTTTCGATGTCTACTGTACGTCTTGATCACAGAGTGACGTAGTCTCGCGAGAACACAAGACTAGGCCTCCCCGCTTTCCTACGAAGCAGATGTAAGTAGGACTTGGGCAGCTCCCAACCTTCGTTACGATTCATCGCTGCACGTTCAAGTGGATGTGGACTGCCTCCTTGATCTTTCTGCCGGGACTTTCATAATTAATGGAAAATTGCTATAATTTCATAATAGTAACTGCTGGGAATTTCATACATTCCACATTTGGAAGTTAAGTAAAAGTGAACATCAATTAACATAATCTATTCAAATCATGACCTCATTTGCATAATTTATAAGGAAGTGCTAGAATAGCCTTTTTGTTAAGATAAGGCTGTCATTGGGTGAAGAATATGATCAACTAATCCATGCAAATGAGGATCTCATTTGCGAAATCAATGAGTAAAATGTATAGATCGTGCACCGGAAGGGTTAACATCATTTGGCGAAGGTAAGAGGTCATGGGACTCTTGTTTTTACGTCTATAATAGTTATCAACCAGTTGTTTGATTTTCACATTCTTGGTATGTTACCTCAGTATGCATTGTTGATCAGAATCAAGAGATATTCCTTTAGCGCAAATCTGTCTCGTTTCATTGCCCAGGAAACATGGAAGACTGGACGAAGCACGGATCTAGTTCCTACAAGTTCCTACAATCTACATTCGTAAATTACACCGAGGCCAGAGCCCTATGCGACGCCGAAGGCGCGAAACTGGCGATGCCAAAAGACCAAGCAACTCACGACTTTATAGTGGAGCTTAGAAACCACTTTCACACCAACATTAATCTTTGGATCGGACTGAACGATATAGATGTTGAAGGCGACTTTGTGTGGGAAGACGGTACTCCACTAGGAAACTTGACGCGTTGGTTTCCCAATCAACCAAATAACGTCAACAGGCTACAGCACTGCGCCGTCCTCACACCCGAGACTAACCCGTACCCCAACCAGTGGCGGGACGATAAATGCAGTAATACATGGGGAGTCATCTGTGAAAAAGGTATGTCCTCACCAGAACCTGGTTTTTTAGCGTTATGTTTTATAAATGTTCATGTCATATGCACCACCCGGGACTTCCATGTCCACCATAATCACGTATGGCTATCCGATGGACGCAAATCAAAATATTGCCAGGTAAGTTGTGAATGTTGGTGATAGAAATTGCATGAAAAAGAATCTGCTTGTATGATCACGAACAAAATCAATGATTCGCGTCTAGTGACATGGCATAGAACTGACATATCACGCATCACACATCATCAGAGCAAACCTTAAAGACACACGAAAAAAGGTTACACTTCATTCTAGCGTGTGTCTTTACGATGCTTTAAGATGGGCTTAAAGATAGCATTTCGTGCAGTGCAAAGGACACACAGTGGCTGATCTTAATTGCATTAATGATGTTTTATTGAGCGACTTGGGTATCATTTCCAACGTACCTCCTAGCATGCGCTAATCACTTCTGCTAACTTCCAACACCTCCATACTTTGTCCAAAGGCTGCCCGGAAAACTATATTCAGTTCAAAGATTCGTGTTTCCAAGTGTTCGAAGAGCCCAGGACGTTCTCCGAAGCACGTGCAGCATGCGCGGCCCAGGGCGGGCTGCTAGCCATGCCTAAGGACAATGCAACAAACACTTTCCTGATGAGTCTGATGCAACCCAATCTCACATGGTTCGGCCTGGAGTATCAAGAAACCGAGGGGCAATGGCGATGGGAGGACGGTAGCGTCTATGACTTAGAAAAAGATTTTGGCAACTGGGGGCCAGAAGAGCCAAACAACATGGGTGGAAATGAACACTGTGTTCACTTCACAAAACTTTATTCATGGAATGATCGACGATGTCATCAGACCGTTAACTATATCTGCCAAATACAGCTAAGTAAGCTCTCGTTGCTGGCTATGATAACATCTACCAGTCGCAATGTGTGATTGTGTAGCCTTACTTGAGTGGTGTTGCAATTGTGTAGTGGTCTTGTTGGAGAGGCACACAGTGGCGATGGTTGTGTGGTGGTCTTGTTGGCGAGGCACGCAGTTGGAAGGGTAACTTTTTAAACGAGCTATCCCGGGGTAACTAATAGTTTCTAGCTCTGCCGGTGTTCCTCATTCCTACCCCACAGTAAAGCTAATTAGTTTCATATCTCACTCAGTGTTCCAATGTGTGCTTGTAGTTTGTAGGTGTTATATAACTTTCGCTACCATAGCTGTTCTATAGTGGGTGTAAATCTGTTTTGGAATTTAGAGTCATGAATCCTGTCACGATTGGGAATCCTGAACTTAAGTTGATAGAATCTCCATACTCTTTCCTTGCAGCTCCACCGGTCCCGGCACCTACTACAGGTTAGTCCTATATATCGTAGAAATGAATATCATGAGGTTATAGGGGCTGGATCACCAGAATCGTCATTTTAGAACGAGCTTTGTGTTGTCAACTGCTTCCGTCCATTTGACAGGAACAGCGATAGGTCCCCCCCCCATATATCTACATATACATATACATATACATATACATATACATATACATATACATATGCATCATGCCATCATATCATTCAATTAGTAAATTTTTCAAACCTGAAGAAGTGTGACATGTGACATTGGACAAAATGTCTGTGCTTAGGGCACAAGTCCCAGTCCAGGGCCTGGCCGGGCAGTTTCCCGGAACAAAAGGTATGATAAACGACAACAGACAAAAAGAAAAAAAAACCTAATCAAGAGTGCTATGTTGATATGCTTTGTTTGAATTAATTTCGATCACTGAAACAGCCCGGCCGGGCCCCGGTTTGGAAATGTACCCTGAGCATCAGTTATCCAACATCTTCAATTACAATATTTACAATGTGAAATGCCTACAAGGACATTTTAAGCAACCTCCAGTTTCTGTAGAACACATGAATATTTCCCAAAGCAGAACTTCCAGAGGACACTGTGTACAACGTGACGACAAACTCGTCGACATTCCGATGGGAGTTGGAGTCGGTTCCTGCCATCTCCTTTGCTGTCGAAGCAAATGTCAGATCAGACGTGCGACTAGCCCTGTCTCCGGTCAACAACTCCACAGGCACGATGTACGAAATAATCATCGGCGGGTGGAACAACCTGCTCACTACCCTTCGGCGGACTGATTCAGAAGACCATATTGCGGTGAAACTCACCCCCGGTATACTGCCTGAGGGACAGTTCAGAAGGTTCTGGGTGCGGTTTATCAAAGGGACTGTGAGAGTGGGTAAGGACAATCAGACCTCCCCGTTGGTGGAATGGACGGACCCGTCTCCCATAGATGTACGGTTTGTAGGATTTGCCACGTCGGAAGGGATCCTCGGACAATTCCGCTTCTACTCAACGTTATCAGGCAAGCTAGAATTATTTTTTGAGCGCTTGGCTTTCATTCCTCAAGTTCAAATCATTAATTTTCACAGCGTTGTACTAAAACAACTGCAACGGTGAATCCCTTTGTGTGAACTTCACCTTTTTGGTGTGGCGTCATCCAAGGGTTTTTCTTTGGCGTTTTTGGTTGAGAATGTGTGGTGTCTCTAATCTTTGGTTGATGTCTCTTATAAGTCCTTTGTCTATCTATCATGTCTCTATGATTGCAGTGACATTAAAACATCAAAGACATACCGTGTTACGGTAGAATCTAAGGGCTTTCTCTGTGCTGATATCGATGGTGATTATTGACATAGCGGTGGAGGTTGAAGTGTGTGGTCTTCTGATGTAGAAGGTCTCAAAGATTCTTCATGGCAATGACCTATTCCTGAGACTTCTCTTTAGGTATATACTCAAGGTTGGCTTGCGTCCAACTGCTCGGTGAGTATTATGGTGAAGGCCGTGTATCTGTTCTATGGTGGTCAGCAGTCTCTCTGTCAGAAAATTTCCGTTTTAAAATTCTGCCATCTTTCTAACACCAATCGTTGACATTACCATATTGATTTTTATTGCTTGAATCGCCCATTGTTGTACATCACCCAGACACAATCTTCTCCGTTCGGTTTACCGCCGTTGTTGAGATCCCGTGGAACGAGGGGTATAGACATCCTGCTTCAATGGCCTACCAAGAACTGGTGAATGATACGACTCAGGCAGTAAGTCACTGGGATGCCATTCTAGAATTGGAGGTCACCAATACAATTCTTGTCGTGCTTTCATTAATTGCCTTTTTAGAGGTGCTACATTTGACCCCCCTCTTTGCAAATACATGTTGTCCTTTCTCGGTGAAATTTGCTTTGAGGAGAAAAGGAAGCCTATTTTTTTCGCATTTCTACGATGTTTCAGGTATCCAGAATCTTTGCGGTCGATGCAGCATTCCACAGTGTTATAGTACATGACATCAGGTGTGTTGGTTGACATGGTACATAATTATAATAGCTGGCAGTGTACATCTACATGTACTTACTTCATTTTCCTTAAAGCGTGATCATCAGTAGCAAAGAACTTTTCAACAAAATTGTGCCAATGAGAATATGAATCAGATGAATCAGATAAATGTTATTATGCATGCGCGGTCAGTGCTTATAGGTCATATGCTTTGCTTACGTCCTCCACAGTCCGGGGTCCGTTGTGGTGATTTTCAGTGTTCAGTTCATCGGGGCTCGTCCAAACGAGACTGCTGTGCACGCAAACATGGCTTCGGCAGTTGCAGACTCCCTTCTAGTCGTGGCAGGCTATACCGTCAGCGAACTGTGGCCGGGAGGGGGTAAGATTAGCATACAACGTGACAACAAAGGTGTTGAGGTTTTTGAAACTAATGTGGCAGCGACGATATTAACAATTGGTGAGTGCTGCGCTGGCACCCAACGTCATCAACGTGCGGTGTGCACTGCTGACGCCTGGTGACGCTCTTACCGCTCCTACTCAAGACCACGCGCGCTCGCAACAGATTGTGCTCTCGCGAGAGCAGATTCAAAATGGCGCCGGTATTTGGGAAGGGGCCTATTCTTGAACTCACTGCTTGCATACAGGTTTGAAGTCATCAACTCACATTACAACAGCTATTGCAACCTTCCGTGTCTTCTTACAACTTCTGGTTCAACTGTATGTTTTCCACCTCCTTGTAATACATAGAAGGTTTGTCCACTTTCATCCACCAGTGAACATCTTTTTATGCAGTGGCTATTGATTTACAATGCAACCGTGTGGGTCAGCTGGACCATGGGGTGTGTGTTTGTGTGCTGGAGCTAGTCATCAATATAACTTCTGCGTTTAACTATTCATCAGTATAAAGTCTGCGTTTTCATCTTAACACACACGCTTTCATATGCATACTTACCTATGCGTGATATAACTTGGTGACATTGTTGTATAACGTTACTTTCTCCACCATACATAATAATGCTTCATAATGCTGTTGGTTACCATTACAAGATAAAAATCTTGTTGTTTTGTGGTGACTTCTAACCGGCTTTTTAAAACGAACAGGTCAATATAGAAATGGTAAGTACATTCCGTATACGTGGATACACGTACATGTATATCAATAAGTATAGAGATGCCTAAGTTCACTTGGTAAAATATGTCTGGCAATGTTTGAACATGATACTCTCATTTTATTGACAGTTTTGTACCGTTTAATGGTATCTGTTGGTAAAAGCTTGCCTAACATACACATATACAAATCGCAGTAATCTACATGACGTGCAAACCATTGGAAACATAATGGGGTACGCTTTTGATGTGATTAATCTTAAGCTTGATGAAGTGAATACGTACGTCAATAACAGAGATAAACGCTGCTGCATGTTTCCCCACAGCTGAAGGTGGGCTATGTTCGGGAGTAGTATGTGCAAATCACGCCGTCTGTGTGCAGCGGTCAGAAGGAGAACTGCAGTGCACTTGCCGCAATGGCTACAGCGGTGACGGCACAGTGGAGTGTCAAGGTGGGCTTCTTTGTCTTGTTTTGTCTCTCACCTACTACCTCATTCAGTGGTGGAATTCGAAATGTACCTATCCCAACATCCCTTGCAGAAAATGGTATTTGATATTGTTTTATGATAATTGTCAACAAATGCCATTTTCATCACTTTCCCATGCTAGTATGAATAAGTAATAAAATCGCTTAGTTTCAGATAAGCATAACTGTGTGATAGTATATTTATACTATGTACATGTTGTTTTGTGAACTATACAGATATAGACGAATGCGGCGATGCTTCGCACAAGTGTTCGCGGGACGAACTGTGCTTCAACACCGAAGGTTCCTACAGATGTGCCCAGTGTTACCCGGACTTTACCGTACAAGGTGGGGCAGACATACCTGCCTCTGCCGTAACCATCTTACGAAGGGTCGGGTTCTTCCTCCGAACCGAGACAAACATTGACTGTAATGTTGAATATACAGTTTCCTTCGCGTGGACAGTTTGGAGCGTGGAGGGAAGCGATATCCAACAGCTCAACACCACAGGAAAGCTGAAGACGTCCGCGCATGAAATTGCAATTCCTAAAAACTTTCTTCCTTTGGGGCTGAACATGCTGAAGGTCGTGGTTACAGTACTGGAGAAGGAGTCAGGACTTAGACTGAACAGGAGTCTGGAACGGTGGGTGAGGATCATCTCCTCTCCGATAGAGGCACGGATTGCAGGAGGGTCGGCGAGAAGTGTCAGTTTTGGATCGGACATGACGTTGGACGCTGCTGTGTCATACGATCCGGACAGTATCGTCAAGGACTCAAGGTTATTCAACTTCAGCTGGACCTGCAGAATCGGACAAGGTAACAACACAACACAACGCACGATATTTAGATGCACACATGTAGCAATGTACGAAAGTGTTGTCATGTGTGTTGTTAGTTACAACACTCTGGTCTTCCAGTCTTTGTCCAGTCCAGTCCAGTGATTGTATGTTGATGTATTGTTATGTTCGTATGTACTTCACCCTCTCCTGGAAGAATAGCTGTCACCCATAGATGGGTAGCTAAATGAGAGTCGTTCCATAATAAACCACAATAAACAATAAACTGAGTCAGTCTACTGAAGAAGACCAGAGGAAACCCCCACCTAATACAGCAAACAAACATTTACTAGAAAACCTGTCTTCCAGTGTCACCTTGTGACGAGGTGTTTCTCAACGTCAGCACCAAAGCTGCCTACGTCATCCCATCCGGGGTATTCAGACCAAACGACACCATCATATTTACAGTAGATGTGAGCTTCTCCGGACGGGTTTCCGGGGTGTACGTACAAGCCATTCATCTAGGAGTTGAGGACCCCACTATTTCTCTGAGGTAGGATTAGAGATTGTATTTGACAAGGCAAATGACTCAAAGCAAATCCTCACCACTGAGCCTATGGTGGTAACAAGCATAAGCTAAGCCTGATCTCTTATTGTATAGAATGTTTTATTTGATTTTGTATAAGTTATTTTGTCTCTGCTGCTACCTTTCAGTTATTTAAATGGCTGATAAATTTGTTATATTTATCTTTTGTTTGGAATTATGATCAGTTAGACATTATGTTCTATTTAGTTATTTAAGTTATTTATACCTTTGTTTATTTGTTATCTATGTTTTATTTTATTGACCCCAGGAAGAATAGTGCTTTTAAGCACTAATGGGGTTCGAAATAAACAAACAAACAAACAAACAAACATGAAAAAGCCTTGCCATTGCCGTTAATTGCAATAGTTGCTGGTACTTTTTACAAGCTTTTTGCGATAATCATGTTATTATATTAAGAATGAATATAGATATGTCATCGGCAACCACTTGTGATTACTGGAAACATACTTTAAAGTTACCGTTCGAAGTAAGATTATTATAGACATAGTTGATGGAGGTCGATGACATATTCACAATGTAGGAAAACAAAATTAATGTGTCTTTACATGGCCACGGTAATTGCAGTCAACAACAATGGCAACAACAAAACTTTTAACCTCGAAGTTTATTATCACGCGCTGAACTAGCAAAGGTTTTGAATAAAAGGCATTTTGTATCCTCACCAGGTGCAACAGCAACTGCAACAACCGCATGAACCCGTCAGAGCGGCTGGCCCTGCAGGCTGTGTGTGACAACTGTCTGCAGGGTGAGCAGCTGTACTACAACTGGACCTTACAAAAAGCGCCCTCTGACTACAGACGGTCGATCTTCAACTGGGAAACGGACACAACCACTGGGAACCTTTTGCCGGATCTCGTTGTGCAAGCCGATATCTTTACAGTAAGATTTCGTCTTTCTTACAGAAATTATTGCTAACCGGCCATATCCCCCTTTTTAACGACTATACCATAATGTTGCGAAATTGACAATGATAATATTTATTTTGTACATCCATGCCCATGTAGGCTAAATGCAGTTTCACATGAGATAGTCGTATAAACACTCCAACTTAAAGATGTGCTACACTACATCTACGTACAAACGGACGACCATATAACGGACGACCATATAAGGCTATCATTAATCCATCGTTTATAAAAGGTTGTATATCTCTGATTCCAGTCTCGAAATTCACTATATATTATGTTGTTCTCTTAGAAACCCGGAGCCTATGTCTTGAGAGTAGACGTGGTAAGAGCAGAGGGTGTTTCAGGGTTTGCCGAGTACCGGTTTGAACCAAACACTCCGCCCACGGTGGGGACTTGTTCAGCTAGTCCGGAGACCGGTGTCGCGATGGTTGATGAGTTTTCCGTACAATGTACAGGTATACCTCTCCAAGCTACTTATATATTACTAGTTGATGCATATTGCTGGCAGCTGAAGAAAAAGACAAACTGAAGTTATCCTTTGAACAAAATTATCGTTTGAACACTTTTCTTACTCACCTAAATTAGCCAGGGTCAGTATGAGACAGCGAATTGTTTTGGTATTGTTTTGGATAACTCTTTTGAACTTATTCCCTGACCAGGATTTGCAGACAGCGACCTTCCCATGACGTTCGCGTTCTTCTACAGCACAGGAGGACAGAGACTGGTAGCCATCAACTCTACCGCGGGGGATGATGAGTTGTCTTTGTTCTACAGTGGACTGGTGTGTTCATGGCCTTTATAATCTTACTTTGTGTTCATGAGACTTTTGACTTAAGCCACCTTCGCATGTTCCGAACCTTCCCCCGACCACCAACCAACCAAAATTGCCAAAGTTCGGGAGCAGTCTGCCCAGATTTAGACCACACTTACATTTCTATACGAATTGAATAAAATTTTAATCAAAGTGGAGTAACGGTGAAATATTAAAAAAAACTTTATGACGTCACCAGGTGCCGTCCACCCCGCCAATACCTTTCCCGGTCGGTCTTCCATCACGTGACTTCAACGTCACCATCGTGGTGAGGGCGACAGATGTTCTTGGGGCTCAGGCTTCGGTCAGTCTTGTGGTGAAGGTATGACATCATCAGCGATTCTATTTTGACATTTCTAATGATTTTGAAAGAAGTCACTTGGCTTCTCATTGACTCTGTGTATTAAAGAAGGCCGGGTTGACTGATGGAAAGCTCTAGGTGAGAACAATCTCTTGTGTTTGAACGAAAGTTTCAACTTTAAACATGTGACTACCTACACAAACTTTCATGACAATTTCAAGGACATAGTTGAAACGGCTGAATCTTTTCCCCAGGTATTTCCGCTTCCTGTAGAGGAGACATCAAGTGTCGCCACTCAGCTTACGATTGGAGCGAACAGCACTCTGGGTAAACTGGTGCAGGGTGGGAATTTCCAGGCGGCAGTACAGATCTCCAACAGCGTCAACTCCGTTCTGAATGTCGAGGCTACAAATGCTACAGACCAGGACAAACAAAACGCCACGCAGGTTTATTAGATATTTGCTTATCTACCTATTTATCTAGTGAACATTTTCCTAAGTTTGACGTCAAAACTGGGTCAAACTTCTATCTATCTAAGTATCTATCTATCTATCCATTCATATATTTCTACGTGAAATAAGCATTACATATGATCTGCCTACAGTACATACCATGACCAGATAAACCATACTGCATAAAGCGTTACATGTAATTATTATCTATATCTTGCATGCGTGCAAAAACTGCGATCGCAATGAACAAATGAATCTTCTACCCTTACAGGTCCGCTCTTCTATCATCTCTTCCCTGTCAGAGTTCAAGGTACAGAGCGTGTCTTCGGTCAACATCCTCGCCAATGCGCTTAGTCAGGCCACGGTGGTACAGGAGGAGGTGTCGACTGATTCACAGGTTAGGACATGTTGTGTCTAAATTGAGTTAAATTTGAGTCAAATTTGACCCCCAAACACACTAAGAAAACTGCTGTCTTACGAAAATGGCATGCGAAAAGGTCGAAGGTGTTGAATTGCCAAGTTAATTTCATGTGATATTGGCACGGTTGTTCAATAGGTGACCGCCGCTGCGAGCTTGGTGGATCTGGTAGGGATCATACAGAATCAACCTGAAGAGGAGCTGGGGATTGAAGAAGCGGAGGAATCGTCCGTCTTTCTAACCTCAGGTAACAAAAAAAGTTTCAAGTTCTTGTATTCACAGAGTGTATATGTATTCAAGCTATTTTTTGTGGTACACAAGCTACTGGTATGACATCGTAATTACCAGGTCAAGATAGGCTCTTTGACAGGTTTTAAAAACGTCTATGGTTAGGTTTATGATTTGTGATGTTGTTGTGTCGCTATCTATCAGCCCTTGTGAATGTCATGAGAGCATCTTCATACTCATCTCAAGAGGCAAAGAGCAGGCTTACTGGCAGGACCAAGACGGAAAGGCTTCAACAGGTGAGACAAGTTTTTGCTAAACTTGTATTGAGAAGAGGATATTTGTTTAAGGCAATGCAGGTAGACTGATAGGGAGACATCTGAGAAAGTTTCAGATGATGATGATGATGAATGGTTTATTAAAATGCAAATCACTTGCAGCCCACAGGCTGAATTGCGGATTCATTACAAACATTTTCAGAGCTCGTGTTAAGATAAAACATAGGGTCAATTATTATATATAAGTATAACATTGTCATGCAACCGGAAGGAATAATCACAGTTGATGGTGACAACTCATTGGCCCATAAGTTATGAGCATTTTAACCATATCACATAATCTTTGATTTTCCATGCGCGTGCCATTGTAGACCCAAGCCGCAACGAGCAACGTATTCGGAGCCTTGAACACGATGAATGACGTCGTCCTCAGCCGCAAGAGGCCGAACGAGAAGCCAACCCTCCTCCAACAGGACAACTTTGAGCTGTCTCTCCGGAAACAGACGTGCGACCAGATGAGTTCACAAATCGTCACGACTACAGAAGAAAACGGCGGGTGGTTTCGGACACCAAACGCGTCAATCCTATTTGGGGAGAACACGTGTCGAGATCCGGTTGATTCAGAGGTATGGTAGACTATATATGCTCAGTATAATACATCTTGAAAAAATGAATCAGTCCCTTAGGCGTCGCCAAAATATTCCTTGGTTATGCTGGAGTTACATTTCCAAGCCGGGGACCGGCCGGGAGGTTGGCGGGAAGGAAAAGTATAATAGAAAAGACAATGTTTTTTTCTTCGTTCTGGCCCGGCAAGGCCCCGGTTTAAAATTGTGACTCCAACATAAGCATATCTGATGATGCTAAATTCATCTCTTCTAAATTGGTTTTCAAGTCTTTTCATTGGAGAGGTTTGAATATGTGTTGCAAGTGACAGCCATTCTGTGGTCTAGATTTGTCTCAGCTTGTGTCCTCTTTCAATCTACAGACTTATCAAACGACCTTGAACCCATATGAGTACTCTAGCGACTCTGACAGGATCCAGTCGTCTGTTGGCGCCCTGAAATACAAGAACGACAGGGGCGAGCTGGCGGTGTCCAACCTGGAAAGTCCCGTGGAGGTGGTTGTGGAGAGAAAGGGCGCAGTACAAGTACAGACGGAACGGGGCAGAACTGGGCGGGCTGGAACAGGTGCCATGTCTGTGAGTACACGCATTACACTTTTTTCAATTCGATCTTTATTTGCAAAATCATGCCCTGAGGCTAATTGCTTGTACATTATCAAAGAAAGTAAGCTAAAGCAAAAGGAGACATACAACTGCTGTCTGATCAACTTATTCTACGCATTGCTTACTACTGTTCAACAGGTACACAGCTTCAATGTCACTGACGAGGAAAATTCCATCCACGTGATTGTCACGCCTGATTTGAACTGGGTTCCGATCCGCCTGTATCTTTGGCGCCAAGATCAGCCAATCAAAGGACAGTATGGTTGGAACGTCACGCTACCCCTGTCGTCTGACCAGCTGTACTCGGTCCGGTGGTTGGACGGTGAAGACATTACTGCTGACCCTTACAGTTGGTTCTGGACTCCGGAGGATCTGGCAACAGGAGAAGGGCAAAGATATTACTTGGGTGACGACATTTTGCAGTCCTGTGTTATTGATAGAACTACTTATTCTCACTTGCTGATTAAAACGCATAATGTTTTGCAATGTTTATTGAAAACTTGCCTGAGGGCTAGTTGGAAGTACAAACAACATGTGTGAAAAAGAAAATACAATAATAAGTTACTATAGTTTTTGTTGAATTTGAATTCTTCTTTTGAGACAGTGCAGACGAATATATCCTGTGTATCAAAATTTATGTGACATCGGTAGCCACCATGTCAAGAAATGATTCAGATCAAACATTGGAGAGACCAGTCAACTACCAAAAGAAAGGTAAAAACAGTATAGTATTACGTGTCATACGTGCACGTTCCAAACTGAAACTATCCTTAAGCGAAAACTTTAATATATTTTATGTAGTCTTAGGTGTTGTGCTTTTCAACACGTTTCTAAACCCCTACACATCTTTCTCAGGTGTGGAACACGTTCCGTTTAACCAAAGCGGTTTTGACCTGTCCGATCTCCGGGAACTGGAGAACGGGACATCAGAGGTGGAGTTTAGCTACAACGACGAGAACTTCACCCTTCCCTACACAGTAACAATCCTGTCCACCAGGTGTCTGTTCTTCGATGATCAAAGCCACAGGTGGAAGTCAGACGGATGTAGGGTATGAAACGTTTGTTTACATGAGTTACTCAAGCAACTGGAAATATTTTGAAAACTGCCAGACGTTTCAAGTAGCAGCCACTACTTTTCGTCAATGCGTGACAGTTGCCAAAATCCAGTTGCTTGAGTAGTTGATCTCGTGTATTTCATTACCTGGATGTGTAACCTTCAATGACGCTTTTTGGCGTTGGATCATGGAGATTTTGCATTGGTTGATTTCGATATTGGTTGAACAAACACTATAAAACACAACACTCTAATAAACATACATACCAAAACATGATTAACTCTCCAAACCTTGAAGCAGAAATCAAATTGCTTGTAATGCTTTACCTGTACAGAGTGGACCACTGACGAACGCCAACATCACACACTGTTTCTGCGACCATCTGACAGCGTTTGGGTCGGATTTCCAGTTCTTTGTGGCTCCCAACTCCCTCAACATCCTCAAAGCGCTGCAAGGATTCAACAACATCAGCGAAAACCCTGCTGTTGTGATAACCATCAGTGTCATAGTTGGGATCTATCTTCTGATGGTTCTATGGGCAAGGTGGAAGGACAGGAAGGATGTAGAAAAGGTAAATGAGACAAATATGACATTCATGACAAGCTGAACATTAAATATTTGGCATTGACCGCTCAACCTTTTACAGAATTTGAACAGAATTTGTTATTGGTAGTTGATTGATTGCTTATGTAGATGGTTAAGTAAACCACGTCTTTCCGAGGTTGGTGATCATTGTTAAAATTCAGATATTACATGTCTTTCGTATCATGGTTAGGTTGGAGCGACCGTCCTGGGCAGTTCTCCAGGCGGGGGCTGCAGTGTGTATCGGGTTGTTGTGTTCACCGGTGCCAGGTCAAATGCAGGGACCACCGCTAAGGTACATCAACAGCTCTGTATAAAGTTAGAAGAAATTATCGTATTATGTCAGGCGTTTGATAAGTCATTACGAATGAATGAATGAATGAACGTTATGGGTCGACAGTTGTACATTTTCTTCATAGCTGATTGAATTCTGCTGCTTACACATTCATCTATCCCAGGGTCTCGTCTTCAGGAACCAGTAGATAATGTTGGTCGTCATACTCTCTTCTAAATGAAACAACGTACTACTAAACTAAAATTCACTTGTTTCAGGTGTCAGTCATGTTCTACGGCGATACCGGCGAGTCCGGCCCGCATGACCTGGATGACCCCAGACGGATGACGTTTTGTACGGGAGGAGTGGACTCCTTCCTCGTGACCAGCTCGGGCGGCATGGGGCCCCTCAACTACATCCACATCTGGCACGACAACTCTGGGGACGACCCATCCTGGTAGGATCTTCTTTCTTTTAAAAGGATTTATTGTTTATGGTATGTGTGAGTGTGTGTGTGTCTGTCAACCTCTCAAAAAAAGTCTTGACTTATAAACACCATGGTTTCATGGATGTCTAAGATCTACGAATTCTTGCTGTGCAATGAAGTGGTGAAATGCATGCTGTGAAGATGCTGATACGGTTTTACACCTTATTACAATCTTATAAGCTACATGTAGTTCTGTAGCTTTCAAAGTCTATTCTATTAAATGGGAGGGCGCATTGTTGCTGTCATGTAACATATGGCAAATGTTATATTTACGCTTTTCAGGTTCCTGAGCAAAATTATTGTCACAGACGTCAACACAGACCGCAAGTACTACTTCCTATGTGACAAGTAGGTATTGTACTTTACATTTACTTTATCTCGATTAAATTGATTATTTGCATGACTGCAATAAAATTAGGATCAATATTGCCCTGGTAAAAGTTACATTTGATTGTTCCAGGTGGTTTGCTGTTGAAGAAGGAGATGGGAAGGTTGAGCGCATATTTCCAGTCGCATCAGACAAGGAGCTGAAACGTTTCAAAACCATCTTCTCGTCCAAGACCGGGGCAGGATTCCGTGATGATCATCTTTGGTTCTCTGTGCTCGGCAGACCTGCATACAGGTATACATTACCGAGGCTGGCCGTCAATGTATTCCACAGTCTTTTGTTGTCCGTTGAGCCCCCTCCCATCCTCAACCCATCTCTGCAAGGTTCCGATATCGATTAACCGTCCACTTGCAGGCCATTGCTTGGCCTCCCATCTTCCCTTTTACTGGGCACCAATTCATCAAAAAAGAATTAGCGTGTTCTACCCTACGATGTAAAGCTTATAACAGATATCCCTTTACTTATATTAGGTATCACATGTTTTGTTATTTTACAGCACGTTCAGCCGCGTGCAGCGTGTATCCTGTTGCCTATCGCTGTTGCTATGCACCATGCTGGCCAACATCATGTTCTTTGGCACGGGGGACTCTTTCCAGAAGCCTCCTGCTGTGAACATCTTCGGCTTTGACGTTCAACTCCCCATCTCCTGGGGAGAGGTAAAGTGTACATGGTTTACCTTTTGGTTTGAAGGCTTCTCCACATTTTTATCATGAGGATGTTATTTTGTCGTACTGATACCTTTCATTCATTTTCTTCTTATATACATATTCTTAGATCATGATAGCCATCGAGAGCGCACTGTTGGTGTTTCCTATCAACCTGGCCATCGTGCAGATATTCCGCCACTGTGGCCCCAGACCAGCCCAACTGAAGAAAACTGACCAAGACCACGGAAAGAAAGCTGGCAGAGAATCATCGGGTAATCCAACCAGTAGTTGTGTATGCAAATGAGAAATAACATATACACAAGATCTAAATATTTCGTGATAAAAAGGTCTGAGGTCTCCTGCTGATTATTCTTTATATTGCAGAACATTCAGAAGGCAAGAGGAGCTGTATCAACTCGTCTCCCGCCACCGTCATTACGGAGTTCACCGACGATGATCGAGAGCTCATACGAGAAATATTATCATCCTGCAGGACACCATCTCAATTAACGAACATCAAAACTTCCATAGCAAAGAGTCGGGCGTCCAAATCAAGCAAAACTACACGGCGGCTCCCTTCGGGTGATGGTAAGGTTATGTGTGACGGTGAATGCGATGTGGTGAGGGAAGAGTGGTTTGAGGGTGCAAAGAAAGGACAAAAAACACGCAAGGTCAAGCTTGCGTGGCAAGACAAGATCTCTCTGCCTTGGAAAAGGGGTGAGTGTACAAATAGTGGTTTTGCAGAGAAACACATACAACTAGCACCGTTATTCACCTTGTCTTCACGACAGCAAAATTTCACGGTCGGAGGAAAAAGGAACATGTTCACGGAACATATAATCTTCACGGTGGCGGCATGTGCATGGAAGGTGCCAAAGATGCCAAGGTAAAATGATCTGATAGCGGTAATGATAAGTTCACGGTACAGAAGTGACCGCGAAAACCGTGAATATATAGAAGTGCCGTGAAAAACTAGGAATTACAGCACCCTGACTATGTTGATTTAATTTTCAATGTTTTATCACAACCACTTTGTTTTAATAATGCGAAAGCAACTTCCTCCCCTATCAGGATCGTATGACGTCAAGCGAGCAGAATCAGTTAAGAAAAAGAAGACGAAGAAAGCGTTCCTTCTCCCATGGTGGTGTGTATACATAGGTAAGACACCAGCATCAAGAATCAAATTTTTCTGTTCGGCATGAAATATTTAGTCATTGTGTGGAGTGTTTTCGTCATTCGGAATCAACATGGCCCAATGTACTCATGATAATTGAAAGTAATACAATGTCCCTCTTATGTACAACATGTACAGGCTGGTTCTTGGTCTTCTCCTCGTGCTTCGTGTCGGCGTTCTTCACCATCCTGTACGGGTTCGAGTACGGCAGACAGAAGGCTGAGGCCTGGCTCTTTACTTTCCTTACCTCCTTTTTCTTCGACCTCGTCGTCACGCAACCCATCAAAATCCTGCTGATCGGAATAGTCTTTGCTCTCATCATTAAGGTACAAGTCATTGTGACTATTCATGTGTTTTTCTATAATATTCCTTAAGGCCATGTTGATTTGATTATATGGATGACATCCGCGCGCGCATGAATTTTCGGCCGTTTCCAAAAATCTGTAAATCGTGCAAAACAGTTGCTTAATGAGCAAAAATATACCATAAGTTGCAAGGAAAACATTTAGAAACGATACCAATGTCGTAGAATGCCAAAATCAAACGAAACAAGTATGATGTTTTTAAAAAAACACAGGCGACGATTTTGTGTTTAATCTGTTCCGTTCTTGATACAATTGTTCTTTTCATATACGTACACATATAATTTAGGCCACAGCTAGTAAATTTTATAGATGATATCCTCCGCAGACTCCAAATCTAATGCGAGCGGGCGAAAAAAAAACAAGGCCGGCCAAAAAAAAAAAAGGTTCCTACAATGTGAAATGTACAAATGGTTTTGATTCAGTAGGAACATCACATATACACAGTCAGCATCACATATCACTGCATCAAAGCATGGAGGTAGAAAAAAAGGCCATTTTCTACCTCCATGATCAAAGTAAGAAACATACAATAAATCAGAGCCTTTTCTTGTCTCCTCTCTTCCTAGTTATCTGCCATCCACCTTCCGGCATGGCAACAGACATCTTTGCCCATTTTCGGCATGTTGACCACTGTCAGAAGGCAGCAAAAGTTCTTGTTTTTTTTCCAAAATCAGACGAAAATTAATGTGCTCGTGGATGTCATCCATAAAATTTACTTGCTGTGGCCTTAGAAAGAATCCAGAATTTCTGCTACAGTACGAGGAAAGCCACCAGGGGCCAAAATCAGTTACATTTTTGTAGGCCCAGGCAAATTTATGTTGTGCGCTTAAAAATTAGAATCGCTAGATAGGATTCACTCCTTTTTATTTGTCTTGGGGCTACATGTACATGCATGTACCTGTAATAGGGTGCTCTAGCCTGTAGTATATTGATAAGAATAAGTATCTTAGGTTATATACGTTTCTTGTACCGTAGGCTGGAAAAACACTTTCTTGTTCTTGTACTGAATCACTTTCCCCTGTTCTGAGAAATGTAAGAGATCTTTGAGAGACATCTAGTTAATGACCCAGGAAGAACTAATGGGTTCCTGACGGTAGGGGACCAGGGTCTCAGTGGCTGGACATTGCCTTATTTGGTAATGGTCAGGGCTTTTCCACTAATGCCTAATGAAGTGATTTAGAATGGCTGATACAGGAAGTATGATGCCCTTGTTCCAAGAAATCTGTGTGTAGGTGGATAGAGGATATAAAACCCATGTACTCGAGTAGTCAAAAGAGAGAGTTAGAATCGGAGAGGAGAGAATACACGTCACTATGTAGCTCTGGCTCCTGTGTCATTGTTCCGGGTACGTACATCTAGAGTAGAGAGTAGAGTGGTCGGCCGGGTAGGACTTTCTACAACATCGGCAGCTATCTTACGAACTTGTAAGGGTCACCCATTGGAACCGAGGTCACTCAAGCTACCAGGTATTTGGCGTTGACCTTGACCGCACCCTTACATACCGAAGACACGTATAGGAGAAATCAGCCGTTCTTCCCTGGCGATATAATGACATACATGTACTTACTTACTTTACTATAATATATGGTGAAGTTCCCGCTTGAACACTTTCCACTTCACTCTATCAGAAACTGGACTTAACTTTTGATTCTTTGACCTATCCTGGGTTCCCAAAATACAGATAATTTCTTCTCTCTGTGTGATAAACCCACTCCTCGCGGGCCAGATCCCTGTTCAAGGGGTCGTTGACCTTTGCTTGAACCTGTGCTCTCCATCCATGGTGTGCGGGATGACAGGTGACAATAATTAATCACGCTGGACACTGGATAGCCCGGTGTACATTACTCTGAGGTAATGGATACCCGCAGTTTAGGTTACTGTTATTCTAAGATAGGCCAATAGGATGGGATCTAGGAAACATGATACTGACTAGGGGGCGGAGTTTCCAGACTCTTTCTTGCAAACTCCAGTCCCAAACCTCAGTCCGGCTGTAGCTGTGTGATGGAACAGACGTGTTCTCTGATGCGATGATCTAATAGTCTTGAAAAGAGGACCATTCCCGTGGCTTCTGAGGAAACCTTCCCCAGTAAACCTTCGGAATTCCACCGACAGAATCAGGTTAGTATTACTTTGTTGGGTAACTTAAATGTGTGCACACAAATGCTGTAAGATATGTTTCAGAACGTTCACTTGTAGGTTATTTTGTACTGATTTGTCCATGAAACTATTTGCCCTTATAGATAGCAAAATGTATCTTACTAAAGGGCCAAAATCTCTATATTCTCAAATATGTTTTGTGTACTTTCCTATATGTTCATAATAATAATGCTCTACAGCCTTCTTTACTTTATAGACCCTATCAATTGCAAGCAAATGAACGACTCACTGTTTTCAACCGAGTGGAAAGTGTAAAAATCTCTGAATTCGGAAAACCCATTAACCTTTGGTACACCTTCCTATATGTTGGATAGTCGGGGCGAGCGGGGACCAGATCGGACAGGAATGGCCGGGCGAGCAGAGAGCAGGCGGACGGCCGGGCGGGCCAGCGGGGAGCGGGCAGCCGGGCGGGCGGACAGTACCCCCAGCCGTAGAGGTACAGATGAACCTACGAAGGACAGGTTGAAGCTATTGAAAAGGTATGTTTTAATGGTACTTCCTATGTTGAAATATGCCATAATCGTATCTGTGTAAATTTTGCTATCACAGCCGTGTTTTTGCAGTGTCACATGTCTTTTTAAGTGTTTAACTTGACTGTGGACAACAAACCTACATCTTGTTATATCCTGAACTAGCTGGGCGGGTTGATCACCCGTCACCGTATACGTAGAGAAATTTTTGGGAAGTTTGCCTTTGTCTGGCTACCAGGCTACTAGTATCTTGACCGACAGTCGCCCGTATTTCATAACAGTTCCTTGACCCACTTGCTATTTTCTCGTGTACTAGTATGTGCTTTGTACGAGTACTCTGTATACGAATGTGAAGTAAACTTTCGTCTACTTCTGTTTGAAATTCTTGGTATTTTTCAAGCAGACTTTTTTTAGATTTCTACATTTTTTCTATGTT